GTTCTGTGCTCTTGGAGAGGAGCTTGCAGGCCGCTTAGTGCGAAAATTGTGAAGTCCTGGTTGGTAAGCACGGGTCAAATCGGTGCGACCGGGGCAGGACTCTGGTAGGACGTTGTTTGGCGGGGGGGGAGGAATGACGGTTGTTCGTCTCACATCGTGTAAATTATGTGGGAGTGTTAGGGTGACAATGGCTTTAGTAGTTTGGAAGCCGTGTCTTCGCATGCCAATGTGCGGCCCTCAAATCAGGTCCTGAGGCATTATTGTAGTCGGCAGTTGGATTACTCTGGAGCCAAATTTTTCATTGCTCTGCATCTGCATTGGGAACGCCGTGCGCGTGGGGGAAGCATATGGGGGCAACAGGGCAACTTCAGCTCTGAGGGTCTTGCAAGTGGGAGTTGTGCCGCATTGTAGCATATGCCTCAGCGGGAGGCAGTACGTTCACGTGAAAGGGCAGCTCTAGTTGGCAATTCTCCATGTTTCTTTGATCCATAGTTCAGCGACAAATACCTTGACATCAGCGAGGACAAAGCTGCACCTGGCCAAACCATCAAAATAAGTTTCATCTCCAATTCGCAGTGCAGAGGCATACGCAGGCAAACGCGCTTCCAGCACAGCGGCTAGCGCGTGAGCATCCTGTCGAATCGTGATAGACGGATTCAGGGAGCATTGTATGCATTTGAGAAAACTGCATAGGGCGTACATGCCTGTTCAGCGAAACGTTGCAGGCAGGACGTTGTAGGGTTGGGCTGTTCAAGCTGGATCTGGGCTCTGGGTAGATTCGTACGTAGGCAACTGCCTTCGTATGCTGTAAGTGGTCAGTTGGGTAAATGCGGTGGCAGTGATGATAAAGTTTAAGCGTTGTCAAGGTTTCACGCTGATCTATGCTGCTCACTCGTGTGCTTTCGATTACAAGTAAGTCTGTGCGGCTCATGGCTCTACATGAAATGCATGCCGAACTATTCAAGAGGTGTGTGACAGGGCACGGAGGGTTTCTTCAGGACTTGGTTGGATGCACAGCGCGGAGTGTGTAAGTCGCTCGACGACTGGTTGTTCCCCGTTCCGGTGGGTGGTGCACAGAGCTGTGTCAAGCTTGTTCATTTTGCCGGCACGCATGCGGCTTTGCCGATCTGCATTCCTTGTTTGCGGGAATGTATGGAAGGTGCTTATCTCTGATGGGATGTCCGTGAGCAGCAAGTGAAGCATGAAGCTGATGCAGCCCTACGTGACGAACCTGCACGTCTCATTATTGTTTATCGTAGGCCCGATGGTTGTGTAGATTGTGCTGGACGCAACGAGCCCGTCTGCATGTATGTTTATAAATAGAACACTACGCGGTGGAACACCCTGCAGAGGATGGTAGGCAACGGAACGTTCAGTGTCGGAGGATCACTATCTTCGCGAAGCCAGTTTCACACGAGTCGTTGTACCCTGTGAAAGAAGGAAGTCATTTTCAGGTTCTTCTTCCAGCATTAGGTAAGTGGCTTATGGACGCCTGCCCGGCGAATAAAGGAATCAGAACGGCGTCAGCGCAAGCTTTGTCCTTGTTTGTAGTGCTGTGTAGCGTTACGTACTCACGAACGGTGAAGTAAGTTCATCCAGAAGTGAAAGTGCGTTGAAGATGCTAGATCAGACATTATTGACGCTAATTCGAAAGTGCGACTGATAGAAAGGGCATTTTTGTATATCTGTATAACAGTGCTGTGTACGAGGGGAATGGCGAAAGCTTCGAGAGCCGTTCAAAAAAAAGGTGCCAGACCATTCGAGCGGTGTGTGGTGTGTATATGGGCAAGTTCTTCTGGAGGTGCACTTGGTTGGCACGGAATGATATTTACACGTTCACACAAGGCTTTGATGCTGTGCCGCTAGTCTTTTTCATCTTCCAGTCATGCGCGCTTTGTTTGGTAGGAAGTATGTGCGTCTCGTCACGCATGGGAATGTGGACGGGTGTGCTTAGATGCGTGCGTCCGCAGGTGCATTGGTGGAACAATTTTTCGGCGCAAAATTTTCCACTGGTCGGGAAGAAGCCGATGAAGTCTTGGCCTACACGCGATTTACATTGGCCTGAATAGACGCGAATGCGCATAGGTCATACTTCGATCGAAATTAGTACCCTCTCCATACCAGTTTCGCATACGCCGTTGTGCTGGTGCGCAGTTGGATGGCTTCGCTGGTACTATGACCTTTCTAGTAAGAACGCGGTGTGTAGCAACACTCATTAGGGCTTCTTCCAGAAGCTCCGGAAGTTTAAGAAGACTGTGCTATGCACGTGGGTAGAGTGCATAAACTCAACACGGCAACGTTGTGCCGTGTTTCGGGGTAAATGGCGTGCGAATTGGGGTATGCGTTCCTTCACTGGTGTTGTAGGAAACAACGTGGATGTTGGCTGGTGCATTTGCCTGAAAAATGTGCTTTATCAGGGCAGTTTAGTTCACCTTCAGGCACTCATGTGCATCGCGTGCAATATGAGATTGTACAGCACCATCAGACGATGCTAACAATTCACAACAATTGTTGACCATCGGGGAGATTGTCCCGTAGTGCAACAGGGAGACAAGGCCGATGTACATTTCTTCATTAGACCCACGTGCCTGGTCAATGGTTCTCTTTCCAAGTACTTTAGGCCCCAAATGCTTGTAATGCGTGTTGTGTTGCTTGTATTATGGCTACGTACGAGCACAGAGTGAATGATGGCAACAAGCATAGTGACGGTGTCTCCTAGCCAGAACCGGCAGCTTTGGAAGTAGGGCGCAGCGGTGTCTTTTCACCGGACTTGTAGGACTAGAAGGTATGGGAATGTTAAAGGCACTTTCGTACATCTTAGCAATGCTTTGATTTGTGCACGAGGAGGTTTGGCATGGAATGCTTGAGTTTTGCTTCGGGATTAAATATGTATAAAGTAGAGGACTTAACTGCGGAACACCGTTAAACTTGGGCAACAACTCAATACCGATAGGTTGCATTGGCCTTGGTGCCTTTGCGTTTCTTTGACTCTGTTTGAGAGCCTCTCGTGAACCATCCAAGCGTTGGGAGCTTGAGGCGGGTAAGCCAACGTGTACAAGACCTATCATTCCTAGGAACTGAAGAGACTTTAATGAGTTGCAGGAAATTGGGCTTCCTGCATCGAGTGCATCTCTCCGGAGCCGTCGAAATTTTGCCCGGTCCCTTAAGCCGGCGGCCCCCGAAAGCCGTGCCAGTTTTCAAATACACTGAACATCGACATTTGCTTCACAATAGCAACCATTAGTGTGATGGTCGTAGGAATCTCAGTGGTTTTACCAGGGCACTGAGTGTTAGAACCTACGGCACTCTCCACAATTCTATTGTTGATATGGAGAGGCTAGTGCTTTTGCGTGCTATCGGTAGGCAATTGCATTAGGATATGTATAAGGAGAAGTTGCAGTTCTCGAACAGAATTTGAGAGGCAGCCGTGATAGCAACAGAAGTTGCACTAGCTCATGCTGTGGAGGCCGGCCTCAGTGCAACGATAATCTGCCTTCCTTGGCTTGCCTTGCCCGCAGCAAGTGCGTCTCACTATAAGGCGCACCACAGGGCTGTCTCAAAGATTAACAGCCACCACCGCAGGCTATGTACGCATGTTATGCCTTAAGTTGAGCACTGGTTCGAACCTAAAGCGTGGCGGTACGGGTTCATGCGACGTAGCTCTTGGCAGGGACAATTTTACACTAACACGCGACTAAGGCAACATGTTTAGCTCGGCCAATAAAAATATTGGGGGCATTTAAGTGTATGCAAGACAACCGACGAAACCTCTATTTTTTAAGCTTTTCTTATCAATATCGAACGTGGTGCATGTTCTATCCGCTGTGCAGCACGTAACTGGGCTGGGGAGAACAAAACTCAGGGGTAAGTCGTTAGGGTGCTCACGGACAACAAAGTACCGGAAAGTTCTGTTGTTTCCAAAGGTGACTTCTAGAACTGTTCAATACACGAATTGACTAGACCCGTCGCACCAAAAGCATGCAGCCTTGTGAATGCCCCTTGAAATTAAGCTATGTGTCCTGTACTGCAAAGACTGCTGGTAAGCAGTGAAACGCAAGGAGTACTGCCCTAGATAAAATGAGCCCGCTGGCTCCAACAGCGAGTCAGATCAACTCTCAAGGTATTCTGGCACGACCAGGGCGTTGTATTGAAGAGAGGTTTCCCTGGCGCACGAGTTTCGGGTAGTTGAACAGTAACATCCTTACAAAGGGAAACAGTACTACAGGAAAAGATGAAGAGGAAGCTTATTGCGTTAGTCCAGATATGCAGGAAGGGCTCTGGGGAACGCATGCGGAGTCAGCTTCCTTTTGCGTCAGCATATATAGAAACCACAAAAGGGGGAAACGAATGCCTTCAGCACAACAACGAACGGCTCGTTGACAAAGATGCTTTTCCTTCTTATTTCAGTATTTGAAATCCTCTGTGGAAGCGGAAGCGAGAAAGCTTGTCTTGTGATTCGCCTCGGGGGCTTGAGTGGGTCGGCGAGTTGCGTGCGAACAAAGCGTGCCGGCTACTTGACATCTTCGCACTTTTAGTCTCCTTTTAAACCGGAAGAACTGGAACTTTATCCCCAATTGTCACCAGAACTCGGAGGAAAGCAACTGGCGAAGGGAACTAAGGCATTGAGTGCTCTGCAGAGCAGAGTCCGCCGGGGAGCAGCGCCCTATCCATGTCTGCCCTTTTTCCACTGGAGAAGGAGATACTCCAAGCATATGAAATCTTCGTTAAAAACACAAGCGCATCACATCCATGGTTGGCTGGGTTGTGCACATGGTTAGAGACCACAGTACAGGCGGCAAGCTGAAGCTGTAGCACCGGCTGTGTCGCACTGCCCAGTGGCCACCTAGGCTTTCTCTGTCGTGCAACGTGCATCGGGCTTTCCATGGTGATGTTTTCCAGGCATCTTCCTGTGGCTTGCGTACTGGCTGGGCTCATGTGCGTACGTTGGTGAAGCCCCGTGGTGGTGCTGCTGCATGTAGCGTTTAGTGGCTCTTGTGGCGATGAACGATTCCACAGTTGGCAGTAAACTAGGCCATGGCAACTCCTTAGGAAGGGCTGGTCTTCCAAATGCAAGTGCAAATGCTGACAACGCCTCCCCTTCATTCCAGTATGAGGCTGCGGTAGAGATGCCTTGTCGCGCACATGCTGCTGTAAGTGGAGGCTTGAGCAGCAGCAACGCCTGCGGTATGGACAGTAGTGGGTCCGTTTGTGAAGACGCAAACAGCAGATTCATTTCAGGAGTTGCTGGAGGTCAAATCTCAAACGGCGCGCCGTTGGGACGTCACTTTTGTATCGATCCCCTGCACGCATCAGCAATGCGCGCTGGCTCATTCAACCAGGAGGCCTGTTCTGGTATGCCAGGGATGCAAGCAGGGGAACTTCCTGAGCAAAGCAGGGCTTCTGACGGTGCGATGGTGGCACCCTTGAGTTGTACGGCAACCGATATTGCGAAGAAGACGAATCCCGTGCTGCAGTATGCATATTGCAAGGACGGGAACAGTGATGTGGAACGAGAACACTGCAGCAGCTCGGTGCATGCATCATCAGCTTCTCGTGGCTGTATTAGAGGTTGCGTCGTGGCGACACAGCCAGCAGACGAAAGCGTCAGCAATCCACAGGATACCCAGCCCGCAGCAGGCGGAGCAGAAGCGGCATCCCCAGCCGGTGGAGTTTCCTGGGCTCAAGCGGAAGGGAGATCTTATCAGGCTCGTCTAGACGAACTGGTCCTCCTCTCATTTAATGCGGGGCTTCTGGAGTATAAACTCTGCGGCCTCCGCGTGTACCAGAACCCCCCGTTCACTCAGCGTCGTCTTCACCACATCCCGGGTACTCCACTTGAGACTTGCGTGCCTAATTTCTGTGGTCCTGGTGTTCTGGTTCATGCTGTTCTACAGATCGTCACTCATTACCTTGTCACCCGTACGAATAGTCGATTTTCTCCGGCTGCAGTCTGCGAGGTTATATGGATTTAACTGTTGGAAAGGCATCCTGCTGGTTCTGGTGTCTCTGTTGTGGTGATGCCGTTGTTTTCAGCGGCGCTGTTGTCCACTGAAGCTGACATAATTTGCCTTCAAGAGGTTTATGGGGACAATCACGCGGACTTCATCATTGAGAGCACTCGTCACAAGCTACCTTTCGTTGGTGAGTTAGTTCTGCAGAAGCACCATTCCTGTCCCTTGACGGGTTGTTTGTTCCACTTCCCACGCTTACCTTTACGGTCCTACCCATGTTTCTATGATGGTTGAAGTTGTCTGGTTTTCTACTGCAATTTCCGGATCAAGATGCTGCGGGTTGAGGATTGGGAGAGATGAACTGTTTCAGGCCGCCGCACGTCGGGGGGTCGTTTTTCTCTTCATAATGGCCTCATGGTCCTCAGCAAGTATCCAATAGTCCACACTCAGTTTCACAGATTTGAAGATGTAAGTCAATTTATGGCAGGAATGCTGTATGTAGGGTGAATATACTTGGTTAACTTCTCTGGCGTACTCATTGACCTGCGTTCGCCGAAAGTTCATCAAGGGTTCCGCCGTAGGGCTGAAGGAATGCCTGCTCAGCTCCGGTATGTTGTGCTCCTATGAGATATCGCTTTCCTTCTTCTTCTGCAGGTGACGTACATAGAGCGTTGCTTTGCGTCAAAGGGGATGCTGGAAGTGGCTGTGGATGTTCCTTCCATTGGCATCAGTGAGCAGTAGACCCTTCCTTATTCACAGCATCTGAGTAGACGTTCTAGAGAAACTACGAGGATCCCTGTTTGGTGCGTGAAGTGGCATCTAGGTTTCGCTTTTTGAAGTGTGGCGGCTGCATTCTCAACAGTGCATGTAGGCAGTTTGGTCTGCTGGTAGTCAAGACTACGAGTGCATGTGCTGTGCGTCGCTTGTTCGTCCTGGCAGTCGCCATTTTCAATATTCATTTGGCTAGTGGAGCTGTCGACCCCGAATCTCGCTATGTGGAAGACGTGCGAGCAGCAGAGATACGGCAACTATTGAAAGCTTGCGACGATGCAGCAGACAGAGGTCATGTTCCTCTTGTTATCGGCGACCTGAATGCCGGTGCGGTATTCTCCTGCTATCTGCACTCCTGTTCTCAGTATACATTACCAGAAAAGGTTCTGCGTATCCTGCATCCGGACAGCTGACGGTAATGCTTTTGTGTATGAAGTGCTAGGTGGTGCCCTATTCGGATCGTCTCGATTTTCTGGTTGAGTTCCTTCTTTTGCCGTTTGTGCAGCTCCCCACTTATGCGCTTCGAACTACAAATGCTTTGTGGAGCGAGGTTGGCGGGACTGCTGGTTGCATGTGCACGGGCACCAGCGCCATTTGCTGCAGCATCACTTGCTTCATCAGCAGCAGCTGTTGGAAGAGCAACAGCTAGACGATCAGGGAATAGAACTGCACGACCGACACATTCGCAGGGATTTGTTCGTGCGCGTTAGGAGACAGCGGCGCATGAAGTTGAGGAGAGGTCCGGACCTTGAGACACTGCAGCCGCCGCCCCAAACGCCACCACAAGGGACGGCGTCTTCCGCGCATGGGAAATCCATGCAGCAGCGCCAGGGCGGCAGCTCCCAGGCTACGTCACCTCGCGTCCCCACTGTGAGTTCTGATGCGGACTCCAGTGATGCAGAGAAAGAGCAGAAGCAGCAGCTGTTAGGGCAACGACGCAAGCAAAGGAAGTTCCTCTCTCACAGGAACGATGGATCCGGTCCAAGCAGCATATCAGTGCAGCGAGAGACCAACACCTATTTCGGAGGTGCTACGAACGTCAATTCGAATGTAGGGGCTGGAGGTAGCTCACCTGCGGACACTAGTCGTGATTTTTCTCGAGGAGGGTCGCTAGAGCTGTGCAGTAGTAGCTCTAGCGATGCCACCGCTGCAGGGCCACGCAGACCCAGAGTTAGGAGCAAAAGTGCTTTAGGTGGCCGTACTGACGGTGAAGAATCGATTCCGCCGGCAGGAGGTTTACTGGGGGGTTATTTTGGCAGGGCAGGAGGAGGCGTCCAGCTTCCGTTAGCCTTTGAACTGCCAGCTGCTGCAGCGTGGGCGCACCGCGAGTTTTTCCTCACGGCAAAGCGACGGCTCATCGAGCAGCAGCAGAAGTGGCTTGGTGGAGGGGACAAAGCTCCAGTTCTGGATGTACGTCTCTCACTTGCTGCTCCGCAACACCACCAGCGGGGCGTGGATGCGACTCCTCTTGCTAGTGACTGCTCTCTTGCGTCATGCAGCACAGCACTCACTGCGGCACGCAGTGGTGACACAGCGTTAGTCCCTGCGAAGGCCTGGCGCCCTGGATTTCTTGCTCCAACTCCGGTAGATAACCAATGGCCTAAGGATGGGGCGGATGGCACTGTTGCTGATTGGCTGCTCTCCGACACAGACGAAGAGACAGAGTCTGGAGAAGGCTGTGACACTGTTATACATTGCCCGCCCGAAGAGGATAGGGCATCTTCCTCTCCATGTTCAAGAAGAGACTTCACTTGGGACCCTGAGAACCCCCTAAACTCAATTGGGCCACATGCGGGCTGTCACGGGCTTCGCTGCGACTATGTATTCTTGCCTCCCCACCAGTTTGCTGGGGGCTTGTATCCTTTCCTTCCTGTAGCTGCGGACATCCTTATGCGGGACCCTCGCGTTCTAGTTGATGCGTGCTGTTTTGGTTGCTTTGGGGAGGTGATGCTCGTGACATTAAGTGATCACTACGCTGTTCGCATTACGTTGCGCCGAAGCACCGACACAGATATTGCCGACTTCTGGGGCTCCTGTGCAGCAGAAGCGGCTGCCCTTCGCTCCGCCCGTGCAGCAACAGGGGACCAATCAGCTGCCGACTAGGCGGCTAGCTTACAAGCGAACGACCAGCGCGCTGTGCCTGTGAAGGCCGGCGGTAATTCAGGTTTGTACAGAATTCTGGGTGATAAGCCTCAGGCACATTTGCAGCCGACGGCTTCCAGCATAACGATTATGGGTTGTATTCTTTCTGTGCCTCTTCTCACATGTTCATGCATGGTTTTTTGTGAGTGGAGGGCGCCCTAGGCAGATCGACTTAACCGCACCTGACCGTTTTTCATCCCGTGAGCGTCTACGAGATATTGCCGTAATTGCATCGCAGACCTCTAAAGCGGAACCACTTATGTCTTGCATTATTTTAACTGAGAATATATGTAACAATTTCCCTTAACGAACTGCTCATGCACAGTTCTCGCTGAACGAGAATGTTGGGACCTGCGTGCGGAATCTGCGTTCAACTGTTGATCCAGCGCCAAGGCGCACCGGCGCCAGCAAATGACATTCTCATCCCGCCTGTCTATTGTTGGTAGGCGATATGCGTAACCTTTCGGCCAAAGTTCGGCCAAAGTTATGGGAGAATAGTCAATAGAAAGTTCCCTGAATATGCGGTTGTGCTCTCTAAGGCGGCTATTCTAAGAGAGGCAGCCTTGAGTAGCTTGCCCGTAGGTTAACACGCTCTTGTGTCTGGACGGCAGGTGTACTTCTGGATACGCCCCCACATGTTTCTGAGTGCACGATAAGCTGGTTGTCTTCTTCTTATTGTTTCTCTGGGCAGGGCTCGCACTCACAGCCCAATATCCAAAAGCTCTTCAGCGGGGTCGATTTTATTGCCTTTTACGTCATTCTGAGTTAGGGAGGGGGAAGCGGCCTTTCTCCGTTCTCTGAAGCGTAGGTCGTTCATCACCGCTGCTAGTTCCACCCTTTCACACCTTAATGTCCTCTCAGCAGAAGGGCCAGTTGCGTATTGCCTCTCTCCAGGGGATAGACCTGCTGTGAACCATAGACAGCGAAGCTCTGTGACCAACTTAGGAAGTCCGTTGGCCAAAGACTGATACTGTAGAGATCCGTTGCTTGCCCACTTTGTTAGTTTCCTTAATTCTTCCAAATCCTGTTCCCCTGCCTACTTAGGGAAAAGAAGTCATCATAGCGCGTTTCGGAAGGATCCTATTGTGCAGATATGCTCCGAAAAAGTCGTGCTCTTGACTAGCTACGGATTCCGTCTTTCAGATTCTAACCAAGACGACAATAGGAACTGTAGCTGTCCGGGTTCGTCTTGAAGACGAAGGAACACCTCTAGAGAAGCAAGGAATTATTTAAATGATCGGCAGCGGATGATGCAGTGTTCATGCGTGGCTTTTTAGTGCCAAACGCACTTCTCGCTGGATAGGCCGCTGCTACTGCGTTCCTTCAAGTACGACGAGGAGCTCACCCGTTGCTCGTCCCCAAAACAGAGGTCAAAATCGTTACCAACTTCCGTTATGCAGGGAGAAAACTGAAATTTCGATTTCTGCGAAACTGTCAAAAATGTCCTCTATTGTTTCATAAAGCCTCCTTCTAAGGATTGCTATGCGAATGGCTTCCCAGATGTAGGGGTGGGAGTCCCATCTCACGCTTATTCTCTTCAACAATGCGGCGCTACCAAGTGTAGGAAGACTCATACATATCTGCGGAGGATCTTCGTGAGGTGCAAGCGGGTCAAAATGTTTGTGTATTCCAAAAGCCAGCTGACCTCCCCTCCCATTTCCAGGTGTTGTCAAAACAGTGGCACAAAGACCTGGGCCTGGTCAGGAGAGGCTGTGAAGTATAATGAGCACACCGGGGGAGGCGGCCTATCTCGGGTTGCCGCACTGCTTGCTGCAACGCCGGCTGCATGGCAACCCCATTTACGCGCATACTTAAGCAGCCTTTGATGCACGCACTAACATAGTAGATAATTGTTACTCGCTTTCTTCCCCTCGGTAGCCAACCTGTGCAGATAAGACGTCACCCGAACCATGCCGCAGCGTTACGCGTGAGCTGTCACTGCCCCCTACTGCCGTACCCCCATATAACCTGCAGTTCAAACTCGTGAGCTGTGCCATGAGGGAGTAGTCTAGTGTTAATCTTGTGCATTTTAAGAATATTTTTCTATAACGGCGCTGGCGTAGAACCCAGCGAAGGCCGCATCGCCCCACAGTGCATAAGGGGAACCTCTATCCCACTTGAAGTTTGGAATTGTGTGAGGAAAAAGTTGAAGATTGAACATGTCGCAGTCCCTAGCCAAGATGCAGCTGCACTGTGCAAGACAACACGGCGAGATATGAAGAGCCACGAATGAAACAACCGACGTCTGACAGGGAGGGTTGCTGTTACTATTAGGAGGCTTACAATTTTTTGTGCAAAATAACATTTTGTTTATTTCTGTAACAGAGCACTCGTATAGGCACAACTCTTCACGAAGAGTCGTACTTAAAGGCAACGGCCCTTCCTTTAAGGCCCACCGCGGTGGCTATTTGGGCGCCGTTAACCCCGTGGGGCTTTTCGTCTGCTTGGTAAGCTCACATATACAATAACCCTAATTTTGTTTCCCTTCTTGCTTAGGTTGCTTAGGTATTCTATAACCGTCTTCAGCATCACAGGTAATCCTTTTCGGGCGTTTCCCCCGTTCTGCTCCGAGAAGTTCATCCATGTGGACGCTGAGCCGTTTGCTTAACTTAAGGGCAAAGCTGGAAATGCGAGGTACTGTATTTGCAGTTATCTTGTTCGCAGTACTCTTTAGCCGCTCAGCGGTGGCAGAGGAAGCCTCCTTGCTGCTTCCCGCGGAGGCGCCGGCGGAGGGCGCCCTCCCGCAGCTCAGCAGTCAGGATGAGGGCGTGAATGGAAGCTTTGAAAGCTATGCCGCGAATGGCTTGAAAGCTTCATTAGAACTGAGGAGACTACAGGCTCAGGAACCCCGCAAGTCGATCCCTCATCCTAAAGGTTTCCCGGCGATTCTGGGTGGCGCTGGCCTTCTGGGCCATGCCGCTGCGCAGGGGTGGAAGGATTGGGACACGGTTGCATTTCCGAGACCGGCTGCTGCACTTCTGCTTGGAAGAGCGAGATTGGATACAATTAACCTTGGCTTATTTTCCTTCATCATTGGACTCTTCCTCCTCTGGTTAGGGATGAAACGCAGATGGAATAGTCATAAGGACAGGAGCCAGAAGAGACTTGAAGACATGCTGCAAAAAGAAAGGACCGCGGCACTAGCACAAAGCAGAGGGAGGGCATAAAACCAGCAATGAAAATAAGTGGTCCTCACGCGTTGCAAATCAATTTCTTCCGTCCGAGCACAGTAACGATTTGTAGTTGATTGTACTTCAGCGATTCTTGACAGTAGCATATCCGTCTTGCACACTTCACTGTGCATTGTTTGAGTACTTGGACCACTCTACGATGGAGAGGTTGGCCTACAAACAAGTGTGGCTTTTGCATTACAGCTTGCTTTGCTACCAATCTTATTAAGGTTTTGTCACTGGGCCAGGTCTGCAGTCCTTGGGCTCCCAATCGTTTTGAGAACTGGGGTAGATAAGCCCATTCAGACGGCAACCCCACAAGGGAGGCAAGGAGAATCAATTTCATCTCTTGTCGTTCCCGTCTGTCCCAATGTTATTATTTCGAGGGAAATGTGCACAATTATGGAACTAGGAGCACAGTTAGGGTGCATTCCCAAATGCCTTGTCAGCATCAGGCGTCCCCAGAGGATGGTGCTCGCTTTTCTTAGGCTGTCGACTGCAGCTTTTCTAGGGGAGCGCATGTTCATCGCCTTTAGTATAAGCTTATAATGCGAGTAGCTCAGGTGAAGTAGTTCAGACTTGACTTCTTTTTCGCCTGAACTGCGGCGATACCCTGGACGAAATCCTCGTGCTGTAGCTCTGATGCGTTGCGACGAAGTGCAATCATCCCAGCTTCGACGCAGACGGCCTTTAGCTGAGCTCCGTTAAAGTCGTCAGTACTCCTAGCAAGCTCCCGGAAATTCACGTCTGCACACACCATGGGAAATGAGTTCACCGCTGTACACGTCCCGTGAACCAACGCTGATGACTTTTCCGATGTGGAAGGCCAAAAGCACATTCTGGAGAATGTATCTGCGGTGCGGTGGCAGCGGACCGACCCGCCCCCAATTCAAGTGGAACCTACCAGCCTTGTTAACGGTCATCTTCCGGGCATGAATTTGCAAAATTCGCTCTCTGGCGTCTTCGTTGGGGTGAGGCAATTCAATTTTTCTATCGAGTCTGCCCGAACGAAGCAAAGCGGGGTCCAGTACGTCTGGCCTGTTGGTTGCTGCGATTACCTGCAAAGCCAAGGATGCCAAAATCACAGCGTAGTAGCAGCTGCTGCGTAGTGAACCAGACAGAATATATGAAGAAAATTTTCTACACGGATGCTGGAGGAAGCGAGCGAATGGAACCCTTGCACGACGGTTGCACTGAACCCTGGAACAATAAAAGCCAAATCCCAGAAACTTACTTTGATACGATCGTCGCTGCTGAAGCCGTCCAGCTGGTTGAGAAGCTCAAGCATGGTTCGTTGAACTTCACGATCTCCAGACAACTCGCTATCGAACCGCTTCGTTCCGATAGCGTCGAGTTCATCTGCAATCAGTTGCCACGAAATCGCAGTATCTAAATGGCGCACATCACTAAACCACCAGAGTCGCAAGTTACATATCCTTACGGAAAACAAAAATGCAGACGGAAACATGTGTGCGCTCATCGATGAGGGGAAACGAAGCAAAAAAGCTGTCGGGAGCTAACGTACCAATAAATATGATTGCAGGCGCTTTTTCCTTTGCCAGTTCAAAGGCATCGCGGACCATCTTTGCACCATCACCAATAAACATTTGGACCAGCTGTGGGCCTGCCAATTTCAAGAAAGTCGCCTTGGTCTGCAGAGTCAGGCACGTGCATATGCTTCAATCTACCTGCCCAGGATTTGACGTTTCCACAGCAAGCATTGTGAGCCCGTGGCAAAACTCGGTAGGGGTGCATACGCGTGTATCGGGAGATGCAAGCAGACAAACGTAGGCACGGCAAATCCAACGTGATGAGTGCTTCACTATGGGCGCCTTGTGGTCGCAGCGCATTAAGAAACATCAATTGTACTCGAAGCAGCAGCACAGATAAAGCACTCAATAAGCACGTAGTGCTATCAGATGCCTCCAATCCAGACATAGAGCGGATAGTACCTGCGCTGCGCAAGCTCTTGCTAGAAGCGTCTTCCCTGTCCCAGGCGGCCCGTACATCAGAACTCCTGCGCCATAACCCGAGCTGCTTTACACAAGAGATGTGTTGAAAAATTCTGGATCCAAACATTCAATAAACGGCCAACGGAAAACACGAGTGGCACATACACCGGAAAAATATGATGCGGTTACTCAATCTGAGAGCAACTCATGAGTTGACGAACACGCCAATAACCGTTCGCGAAAACGAAGGGCAGAAGCAGCTGACCTTTTGGTGGTCGAATGCCGATTTTATCAAAGCGCTCCTTGTGCGTCATAGGAAGAACTGCAGGAAAACAGGGGGCAGCAAAACCACGAAGTACGTGCGTGCTTGCGTGTCTGCGTCTGTCGAAGCATGAGCGTGGATGTTCGTCTCGTTGCGTTGATTCTGTGGGCTTCAACTCCTCGCGGATGCATATAACCCCACTTTATACACTTTATTCTGCCACTCCATAAGCTCCACGCCATCTACCAACGTGGTTCGCTCGATTTGGTTGTGCGTTGCGCATACCAATGGCCTCAATTAGTTCTTGAATCTGTTTGTCGAGGCCCCCAACATCACTGTACTCCTCTGTGGGCCGTTCGTCAACCTCCATTGCCTTTACCCTGGCATCGTATTCCGCAGGCAGCTTATCCAGCACCAGGTACGAGTCCTTGTTGACCCCTACCTGCACGGCGCAAACAATTAGTCCTAAACCCTCAACAACTGGTTCTCAACAGTAGACCCTCAATCCTTACGAACATATACCCACGCACTTCACCACAGACGCCGTTCGCAACGCAAAACGAGAAGACCAAGGCAAACGCTATACTGCAGAAGCAAGCGAAAGTACAAGCACTTGCACACCAGGTCTCCCGGCTTCAGTTGGTCTGCCTCCACAAGGCCAATGACGGGAAGAAAAACAGTCTGCAAAGCCCGCAAAACACAGCGCAGCTCCGCCCCCCAACCCTTAGTCGACATACGCGTAGCGACCCTACGCTGCACTAAGTTCACTAGATCGTTTACTCCCGTACCTGTCTTGTAGAGGTCTTGATGACGATGCATTTCCCCTTTCGCTGGAGGTCGATGTCTGTGGCTGCCCCGTCCTCCTCTCCCTCTTCCTCATTGTCGAACAACTGCAACACACAAATACAAATTCTACAAGCATGCGCAGAATGTAGTATTATTTCGGTCCAAGAAGTCTCTGTTGCGGCTGCTAGCCCCTGCCATCTGCAAACGCCACCCTGCATGCAGAAGTACAAATGAGCGCGTAGACGCACGCACGGAAGGTGACGAAGGACACCATACAAACGCACTAGCGCCAGGTCACACTCATTGCTAATGGACATGGAACCGTACTTGCGAGCAGAATGCAGCTCTGTAACGTGCCAATAACCCCCTCTCACCTCGACAACGCTGCCGACGAGATACGGTAGCTGCTTGTTGAGCCGGATCTTTTCGATTGCTTCTTTGATCCTCTCCTTTAAGACACAAGGGCGCGCAGGCAATAGGCACATACAGCATAAGAAGCATTTATACATCCAAACTACACGAGTACAGCCGTACTCTATCTCTACGAAAAGCATAAATAGCTGCTATATGCACCAACGCGAAGTTGAGCAGTCATCGCCCTCCTTGAAGTGATGTGGATCCTCGAGCGCCCTGGACGTAACCATGCATTTAAGGCAACTGTAGCAGTGAAGAAACTTCGCCGATACTTAACATTTCCGCTTGGAAAGAGTACCTGCATGTTATTCAGCTCGAATTTGAGCTTGTTTGCTTCACTCTTGAAGTACTTGAGCTCGGAGTCGACTAAAGATGTCCTCATCCGCAGTTCTGCAGCCGTGAGATTAGCAACCTCCGCGGTTACACCGTCTTCTTCCCCCCAAACCTCTGCTGAATCCATTTTGTGCGAATATGGCAGATGCAGCACAGCGAGGTGAGCGAGACACATAAAGCGCACACCCGCACAGCCCCCGCGTCACGCGGGCGATAGTTCGGGCGGATGAAATCGCAAAAATAAAGAAAGATGGTCTACACAGGTGGCCCTCGTGCCTTCTAGACCTATTTGGCGTGTCTTATCCTGCTGGGGACGTGGGAACGAAGAGGTGTGCCGATACACCACTACCCTAAACCGACTCGGCACCCGGACCTTTAAGGAGCAGCCAGACCAGCTCTAACATGGAATAGCATAGGTATTTTTACATAAGAGGGAGAGGACAAGCGACAGCCCGACCGGCTTTTCCTGCATGCAGAAGTTGCGACCGCCACACAAGCAGAACAGTGGTGATTGGAAAAGTGAATGGCCCACAGACCCTGTGGCTAAGATAAACTGGAGCTAATTTGCCGCAAAGGGAAAGAAAGTAGCGCCGGCAACAGCAGCAGTTGCAACAGGAACAACGGCAGCTACTCCAACGGTAGCCACCACGGTCGACTCGTTTATTGCTCACAAACTGTCGTCTGCGTTGCTTGGGACCCTCCTAATTAAATTAATAAACTACTGTGTCTAAATGCAATTTGTTGTTGGACTTTTGCCCTATTCTCGTAGCTGGTGCTTCTGCCCTTTTCGCCTATATGTTTCCCTTCAGCGCACGCGCAGCCGCCCGCAGGCGGCTACGCAAGTCTTACTGCGAAGGGTAGGTCTTCGTGCGCAAATAAATTATTCCAAAATATGCAGGATAACAATACTTTGCGAATTATTATCCAATTGCACTAACTATAATAGGTATGAGTCGTTGGCTCTAGAGTGGTCGTGCGGCGCGCCTTGTTGCTAAAGGTTAGATGCTGTGCGTGTAGGATGCAAGCAGTGGGAGAGACAGTTGATGCTCAAATTAGTTTCTAAACTATTTTTTATGTCATATAGGATTCTCCTTCTAGCAGAAGGTGCTTGCAACTATCGGCAGCTTGTCGCCGTAACCTAACTGAACGCATGGCTCCCCCTAGAACTACTAGTGGCATAAGATGCAGATCAGTTATTATTTCAACTGGTAAACAAAACGTTTAAAGGAAACTGGAACAGCTGAAGTGCAGGCGGCGGCATTCGAAGCCCAGTAAACTTGCAGGTGGTTCCTGCTCCAGTGGTTGCTTACTTGTATACTGTCTAGTGTGTACTAAGTTGGTGCATGTATTTCTACTTCAGTGCAGTCTGCCGACAAAAGGCTTAAATTTTTGACAATTGCCTACCACGTTAGTGCACGCAGCAAGAGGGGCTGTGGGTCTGCCTTGCAGCGCTCGTTGCGGCGGGGTGCATTGCTACTCATTTCAGGCCGCCTCCATTGCCCCAGCCCTGCGCTCTTCAAGCGGCTGTGGCCAAGACGAATAGGGGCTGGAGGGAGGCCAATTACTTTTAGTAACTATTGAGTATTTTGGTTCTATTGCAGCTCACGGCGATTCTCGCATTTGATGGGGGGCCTTCGTACCACCTGTAATCATGTTCAGTACTGGAGGGCCCAGTAAGCACAAAGCGAGTAACCCTTTGGGCTACGCATGGGGAAGGCGGTCGGGGATGCTTGCCTGTGGTATTACCTGTGCGGGAGCGGTTTTTGCGCAACGTGGGTAGGCTGGCCTTTCCTCCCCATTAGCCTTAGCAGTCATGGTGCTTACTGACCGGGGACAGTAAAGAGGGAGCGCTGCACTTTTGGGGAGCGCTTAGCAGAAGTGAAAAAATTTATACCAAGGTAGCTGACGAGAGCACTAGTCTAAAGATGCCAACTCTGAAAGAAGGTGAAGGCTGCGCCATGAAGTAACGTAATCCTCGAAAACTGACCCGTGAAGTTCTTATCTACGGAGATTGGCACCTGCATACTTACATTTTGGTCTGCCAAGACTTAGTTTGTCTGCGAACACTTCATAGGCCCCCGTGAACCGGGTCCACACAGTTTTCTGCCTTCACGCTTCATTCCGTGTAGTTGGGAATGGATTTTTGCTCGAAGTCCTGCTGCTCTTCTATGGCGAAAAATTCCTGTGGATACAGTAGGTCTACTTATGTGCAAAACTAATGATAAACAGTGAATCTACAGCTGCGCCATGCAAGGTGGTATGCACCGCCAAACAAAAATACTTGCGGCGCCTTTTCCACCTGCGCTGTCAATCGGCTGGTGCGAGATGGGCAATCCCCTAAAATCACCCCGGTCGCATGCGGCCGCTGTTCAACGCTGCGAATAGCGCATTCGAAACTAAGGAATAAACCAGCTGCAATGCTTGTTACGAAAGACTTTGGTGCAGGCATGCGCTGCAACTACTGTAACGCTACTTGATCTGTAATGATGAGATGCCCCTCTTACAATTCCTGCTGCCTTAAAATGCACTGTACAGTTAGGAGTGTACACAGAAGCCATCTGCGACAGCTATGATGCGTGTGAGTCACGGGGCGCTTCCCGAGCAAATTCGTCGACGGAGTGCAAAGAAGCAGCTGGTTAGCTGGTCATCGGTACTAGCTTGACAGTGTACATTCCTGTTGCCAAGGACATCAGGCAGCCAGAATCTCAATGTTTTGAGACTTCGTGTTTTGCCCTCACGTAATGAAGAACACACGGGGGTCTATTTACACACAAGGCCGCACACAAGTATTCGCAGGAAGGCACATGCCCTACTGGTTCGGTGTCCACGTTCGCGCCTGCCACCGCATCTAGTCTGCAGAGCTCGGGCAAACGAATAAAAAGGGACTTTGTACACTATCTTTCTGTTAAACAGGCGGCCCTGCACGCGGCGTGGCTATGGGTGAAAGTCAGTCAGTTTTGGCGGCATCGCTCAGTGGTTGAGGCTTGTTGCTGCTCGCCTTATCCTGAGAATTTGTTGAGTTTTCTACAGTGACTGGGGAGCTCGCGTGGTGTTGTGAGGGAGGCTGGCTGCGGTTGCCGCCCAGCTGCTGGTGGGAGTTGTCCTTTTTCTGTCTAAGGCCCAGCGTCCCCTGCAGAGTCTCCTTGAGGTTCGTGAGCTCAAAATGACTATCATTCTTCTTTTTGGTTTTTTCTGCCGGGCCCTCTTCACATATCTCGGACGCCTTTAGCGCAGCCACGTCCTCCATATCCACGTCTAAGTCCAGCACCCCTAAACCATCTCCAGAACCTTGCCCGCCCTGCACAAAGGCGCCCAACAAACAACGTAAATAATTACACGCAGGGAAAAGCTTTGGAGAAAATGCACTAAAAAACAGACGAACACCTAACAACACGAAGGAAACAAGCGCTATCCTAGCAATGCTAGCCAACACGCCAAGATGAATCACGCAAGATAGGGCGTCGCATAGGTTGTCTCCTAAACGAAACAACAAGACGACAAGAGCAACAACGGAACGGCAACCGAACAAAAAACAGTAATGCCAAGACAACAGCAAAATACAAGAGCAAAAGCAACAAAAAGACAACAGACTCAAAAGCAAGAATGAGGACACCCGGGTACGAATTGTGAGTGGCGAGGCAAGTAGGCAGCTGCATGCCTGGCACAAAGGCACCCAGCCAGAAGCTATTGATTTGGCGAGATGTTTGCCACCAGAATCCTTTCAAACCCCCTAATTACCAACCCCCTCTCCCCCGTGCTCGCAAATGCTAATGTGGACAGAGCGATACGCACATGCCACAATGTATCCGCAAACCAGAAAGCATACGTAAAAAGCAAAAGGCGCTGGCCCAACCACAAATACGCGATGAAGAGTCATGCCCACTGCTGCCTACATTCAACCTGCTGTACATTCTACAGCCGCGGATTGCCGCTACGCTACAAACAGGCACGCAGGCACCCAACAGGTTCGAATGCATGCAAAATCCAACGCGGAAGACTTAGAAACGTACAGAAAGTAACATACATTGCTTACCCGAGGCACTAGGACACGCTTCTCCAGAAAAGGGTCGCTGCCTCGTCGCCCTCGATCAACCAGTTGAGCGAGTGGTCTGTCCGCATGCCGCAAACAATGGAGTAGCAGAAGGATTTGAGCCATAGGAAAGCCGGTAGCAACTGGCTTGGCTCTAGGCGGATGAGTCACAGCAAATGTTACATTTAGTGCTGTTGCAACAGCAGCTGCAGCGCACCTGCAAATCTTCGGAATATTGTATACTACAAGCATGCATACTTCTATGTTTGAATAAGCTTAAACACAAGCAGCCGCTACAGTGGCCTGCATATGCGTGTATTTGTGTACTTCCCAAAAACCAAGCACTAGGTTAAAACGGTACTTACCGGTTGGCTTGCTCCTGCCACAAGGCCCACTTCTGGTGCTGCAATTTCCGGAGGTTGTATGCAGCAGCTAATGCTAACCAAAGTATCCAAGGCAACGTTAGGACCATGACGAAGCTGATCCAGCATCCGAAGAAGGTGAAGAGCTGGGGAATGAAAAGACTGCCGATCCAGAGGACAAAGAAGCCAATGCCTATAGTGGAGACAAGAATGGGCAACCACCGTTCTGTTGATCTATAGAGCAGCCAGACGAGCACTTCAAAGCCCGTGAGGATCAAATATCCCAAGGCAAAAGCAATAGCCACCCCAGCCGTATACACCATGGCGTCAGGAGGGACGAAACGAACGCACAAAAGGTAGCGGTAGTTGTCGAGAATATCATCCATTACATCCTCCATCCGATTCTCAGCTATCTCCTTGAATTTCAGGCAGACATTGGTGGGATTGGAGTAGAAATCAAAAAAATGATGGTGATTTCTCAGCCCAAAACAATCGCTTTCCCACAAAACGCACTGTAGGTACAGCTGTAGGGGCCCCCGCCGCTTAGAAAAATCTATGGCTTTGTACGTCAAAACACAATACTGCCACACAAAGCAAAACATAACCAAAAGGGAGGCCCTGACCATCCAAATATACAGCATGCGGACCTTGTGCGCTTGCCTTCCCGACGTTATGTCGACATCAAAACAGTGCATCCTGCGCCGCTCGAGGGTCACCATGCGGAAAGCGTGCGGCAGAATAGAAACCGTACGGGATATGGAGTACATGATAAACAAACATATTATAAATATAGAACTCAGGACAAGTGTGAGTAAGTTGTATGTCTGAAGTGACCACCCCAATGGCTGGGGGGAGTACGGGATGTGCGTAGGCATCTCCATCTTGGCCAGGGAGTTCATAATGCTCTCTGTGGGCTGTATGCACTCTGTCACAGTGCTGTCTGAGGCACTAACGCGGCAAGAGCCCCTGAGCAACTCGTCCGTAGCTCTCCCCTTCGGCCACCGTAACTACAGAAACCGGCGAAGCTGCAGGTGTTGCCTACGAGAGAAGAAATGACCCAAGCATCGGCTTCGCCATTTCCTCCCAGACCCAAATCCACTCGAGGTGATGGATCTGGGAGATCCTCCGTAGCACGTACTGTTGCAGGAATAGGGGGCCCCTGCTTGCTAGGGGATATTCCTGATGGACTAGCGCCTCATAGGGGGTTCCAAGTAAAAACAAACCTCAACACCACTCAAAAGACTTGGAAAATGGCTCACAATAGGCAGCTGAGACAATTGACACAGCCGGGAATGGAGGTCTCTGCATGCACTGCAGCTGGGAGCCCTGACTCATCATTGAGAGGAGTCCCTCTGTAGAAAAGCAGGAGGTGGTGAATTTCTAATTTAGTTAGAAACAAAAGGCTTCTCATTTTGTGGTGACAACAAAGGGAAATCATTTATTCTGTTCGGGGGGAAGGGGGAGGGAGGGCGGCCCGGGAAACTGCTAACAGGTCTTCCGTAAGTAGTGGCCCAGATGGTGAAATGGCTACGAAGAACTGCTACCTAGAGAAAAGTCCCGCATCAATTCCCATTTTCTTTTAGCCTGCACTACTTTGGCTGCAACCCAAGTTGTCTTTCTTCACTTTATCTGACTTCGCATACGTACATCCCAATCGCCAGTGTGGGTGTCGTTGGTGGCGTGCGAGAGGATTACCTTCGAGCTTTCAGATTCGCTTTCTGCCTCAGAGCAATAGATTAGTCTTCTTCTCTGAGTGCTATCAGCTACTTTACTTCAGGATCTTTTTTTTTTGACCTCCGGTGGCTGTTCAGCCAATAAGAGGGTGCTGGCATTGCGCACACGGCGGTATGTCATGAAAAAACCGGAATCGAGGGCCTCGCTAGATATTGTAGATTGTGTACTGAAAGGCCACGAAATAATGGCCAGCACACTGACTTCCGCACGTCCCGTTTAAACTGCAAACCCAGTCTCAAGCGGGATGAGATTCCTGAGGCAAGAAATGGCACGACTGACTCCAGGCAACTGTACAGTGGCAACTGCGTCGCTGCAGTGCGTAGGTTTGGTGAGGTAACTTGGACGATTCAACTCCGCACTCAACTGAATCCAAAACAGTGGAACCGTTTGAAATGGCGGAATTCTGGTCATCTCATCTACGTATATGTGGCCAAATTAATGCTCTTCGTCCTGAGTCCCAACAGAAATTATCCGGATAGTTGAGTTAGGTAAAATAAAGGGTGAAGGTGATGTGGGAAGGAGACGACTTGCTGTTGACATTATTAAATAGAGCGGCGAAGTGCAGATCATTCTTCAGATGCATCGGGCAGGGAACAATCTAGCGCAGTTTGCCAGTTGTTTATATTTGCTGTAGCTGCCGCCTCCCTACATCTTCCTGCTGCCGGCCGGCGCAGGGACGTGGGTATTGCTCCTGTTGGGGCGCTGTTCGCGTTCTGCCTGAGCAGGGAAAATCGCTTTAATACCGACCTAGCCAAAACGGGCAGTAAATACCAGTCGGTTAGCAACGACGGAATGCGCTTGTGGCATGGGCTTTAGCCATCCCTAAAGGGGCGGCTCAATACCAGAATATGAAAGGGGAAGCGTTGTCAGCTGCCTCGCCGCGCTAGTTGGGGAAGGTACAGGCCCCAGTAACAAAATAATTGGCTCTCGAGTGAACCTATGTATGTAAGTATGTGAACTTCTGCAGGCAGCAAGTGTATTGAAGGATCTATATTTATGCATCTATAGTTCTCTGGTCAGCCCAGTATAAAATTGTGCCGGGAAAGGCTGTTCTCGGCAGAATATTATGCTGGGCTGCGCAGAAAATCTACGTACATAAATATAGATGCTGAATCGTGTAGGGCATTTACGTGTTCCTCAGAAACTTCTACGGGCAAGTCATCCCCATCGACTCTTTCTAGCTGCCTGCCTCCCAATATTTTACGTAGTATTCTTGCTTTTTGTTAGTTCTGTGCGTTGCTAAGAGTCCAGAATCATTTTTTTCACCAGGTGCTCGTTCTTGCAATAAAATGCAATTCAATTCTTGCAGTGGCGTTCCTGAGGCTTCTTTATGCACTGCTGAGATGTTGTAAACAGCAGTTGGAACTCTACAGCTGCTAGCTTTCGGATTAATATACCAACAGCCAGGTCCAGTGTGAACTCAGGCAACCATGCTCCGACGTAGGGAAGCCGGCGAACAACGGGTCGAAGAGTGATTATTAACCCTTCCCGCTCCGGCACAAGGTATCAAGATTATCTGGTGAATTTTATTGTGCATAATGCCGCATATGCAGCTAATGCGGGCGCTTGCGTTGCTGTCAATTTGACCGTCTTGCTCCGGATGATTTACGACGGTCATGTTATTGCCGATACTGAGCATCTCCGTTATTTGGCGCCAGCAAGGTCTAAGAAACGTTGGGCTGCTGTCAGTAATGATGCTTTTTGGCACGCTGGAGGGCTTCCAGGAGTGACAAATGAATACGTGGGTATCTCCCCCAGCTATAACTGAACTCAAACAGGGAACGACGTGTGCACATTTGCGGAGTAGTCCATTCACAATGAGGGTAGGCCTAGTGCGAAAGCCGCTAAGATATCCGTCCAGGTCTACTTAAAGACTCTGCATATCTGTGAGTATGCCTCGGCTTTGACTGCTGATAGTCTGGACCGTCGGAACATACTCTTTGGCTGAGGAGCATATCCTAAGTCACGAAAGCAACCTGGCCATCCGCTCCGCTGTCGTGTTAACCCAACCATGGGCCGCTAGAGCATGTTTGGGCAACTTCCACGAAAACCTTTTGCGGAACGAAGGAAAAAGCACTGCAGCCAAGTGTCTATCTAAGGAGGAAGAACAAAATTTGTACGGGAAACGGGAATCATCGAAGACAAGCGCTGCTGTGGAGCAGTGTGTGCCTCAGTAATAGGGCCTCAGGAGGGTGCATCAGCGACCACGTTGGTTGGGATGCTTAGCCATGAACCCGTGAGCAGGCAAAGTTGCCGAGTAACTTCCCTGTCTAAATCTTGGAAACTCTTTGCCAGGTGTGCTGAAGATTGGCGGCCAGTTTGAGCAGCCAAACATCTGTCATATTATTATTTGTCATATTAGTAATATTGACCTTTCTTCCCTAGCCCCCAGACCGCGTAGGGCACCATGTGGGATACTTCTGCCTTTTTCTGTGAAGCGGTGCAAGTAGCAGGAGACTAGTGGCCAGTGCTCGTAGCCCTCTTACTGTTCTATTCCCTCTCCACAGCTTAGCCGGTAATGCAATGCCTTTTCCCGCGGGCAGCTCTGCAATAAACCACTGATGCAGGCGCTCTATGCCCAATGCGATGATTTCACTCACCAAGGCTGATAGTTCTTGATGTAGCGCTCTCTCCTTTGCTCCAGTGGCCTTTTATCCACTTGTTCAAGCTTTCTCGATTTCTCCATAGGCTCTTCCCTTGCCAACCTGGTGGAAAACCGCATATCGGAAGGCTTCCATTGTCCAGAAAAGTGGTAGTACATCACCACTCATATCGGAAAAGCTTCCATTGCCCAGGGAAGTTGTGTTAGTGCTATGCACAGCCTTTCCCGTGTCTCTCTCTCCATGCAAGATCGTTAACATAGAAACTGTAACTCTTTGAATGCGTTTTGAAAACTGTGTCACATTGCAGGTGGTCCAAGGAATTCCTCCACTGCCCTTTGCATCGGGGAGGAGGCGCCCGTCAAATTTGGATGATCGGCGAAAATGAAAGCATTATTAACGAAGTTTTTGCTTCGTAGAAACATTTATGGGTGGATGATGCATGGATAATGTGCTGGTTCCAATGGGGCAAGGCGCCCAGCCCTTTCTCGCCTGCCCCTCCGATGTCAAATCATGACGAACCTTTATTATTTGTGAAGGGAAAATGATGACCCTTTGAAAAAGATTCTAAACAGAGTGTAGAGAAGCTTTTTCTCTTTCCTTGGTGTAAGTGCCTTAATGACCTATTAAGGCCGTCTGGGGATGCGGGTTGCAGCCTCGTCTGCCCTTTTAAGCCCTGCATTGATTCCAAGAATAGCGCGAATCCCCCACCAGAAAACTCCCGTAAGCTGGAATAGAATGAGAATGCCGGGGATAAGCAGTTTGGCTTCCCTTCCACTTTCCGGCCATCCTGAGCACTACGGTACTGTGGAGGCGGCCTGCCCTGTATGGCAGCACTCTTTGCCGCAGCCCCTGTTTCCAGGTAACCCCGTAGGCAAGCCTACTCTACCCTCTTTTGATGTATGCAAAAGGGCCAAAGACAATTATTATGTATTTACTGTGACGTCAGTAATTAACCTGCATGCAAGTAGGTGCAGGTTGCACACCATCTCATTGATGGCATGCCATGGTACCCGCAGGAAATTTCCACCGAAACAAGGAACTGCTTCGTAGTCGTGCATGCTGTTACATTGTACTCACTGTATTTTCTACACTAATGACTACTACTACAATTGTATCGATCTAAATGCACTGGTGTTCTGGTTGTGCTTTCGGCAGGCCGTCAATGCAGATGTCCACTATTGAGGCAGAGATCCACCTACAGTATGAGGGGCCCAATAAAAACACATATATGTCAAGCAAAGGAAATGCCGTTCTTGTAGTGTGCATACAAGGCTCGGAGGATGATTTCCCGTCGCTGGCTTCAAAGCCCTGGCTTAAGGTCCTCACGGGGGCCAACAACACCAGAGAAATGGCCAATGGAACAACCCTTGGAACTCTTGAGTAATCGCGTTGCTTGCACTTGATAATATCAAAACAGTCTACCAAGCAAGCATAGCTGCAATGCTGCTGGCGTGCCGGTCCACCCAGCCCCCCGGCCACTGCATTACCAAGGCCCGGTAAACTCCTACATGAAATTTAAGCAGAATGTCATCATTAGAAGATAATACAAATATGCGTTTCAAAATGTAAATGATCGACTGTTTACTTGAGGCAATAATACGGGGTTTGACGGGCGCTACGCTCTGGCTACCGCCAGCCTTGTTTTCACTCAGGTTGGAGGCCGCTACGATATTTCCACACTATAAATATATTTTTTTCTTCTTTTAATGAAGTGAGTCTTTCAAAGTACAATTAAAAAAATTCCGATCTTCTATAAAACACTGAACGTCGGACTGCTGCCTCTATACCGTGCGGAGCCCTTAATCATCTGTCTGCCTTGCATGGTCACTGAACACTTGCTGGATGACATTAGCGTGTCTAGCCATATGGAGGCTCATTTAGCAGGTCCGTGTGTTTTTTGGCAACTATCGCCGTTTTGTACCTTAAGCGCACACACGGCAGCCCTGATCACTGCAAAAGGCGCATTCTTGAACCTGCCCGTTGTCTCTTGCCAGCCAGCTGTAGCTGAGGTGCGGTTGCGCCGTATCAGAGCTAAGGGTTGGCCCCATAATGTTTTCCGTTGATTCAAAGCGCTACAGAGGGCTCAGGATAGGCCTGGTCAACGGCATATACACCCTTAACGATGCTGGGGAGGAGCGCTTCGCCGCACGGGAGGCCTTGGCGGGGTCCCATGAGGGGCCCTTGACCGCCTATGAGGCCGCTCTGAAGATCCAAGAGCAGTATATGGTGAAAGATGAAGCGCAAGAGGAAGAAGATAAGCAGAAAGAGGAGGAGCAGCGGGGCCTGAGGGAGCGAAGGGAGACCGACGAGATCCTCACCCTGCAGCAGATGCTGCCCGAGCTGCTGGGGGGAGGCAGGCTGAAAGAGGCACAAGGGTCCATCTGCTACTTCCTCGATAGGAACCCCCACAGCGCTGATGGATTCGTGCTGCTCGCGGAGGCCTTGGGCCACCAACAGAACCAAATGGGGGCCCTCGCCGCTATCTGGGGCGCTATCCACAACTGCCCTGGAAACCGCCGCCTTCTGCGTCTGTTAGCGCAGTATGAGGAGGCCTTTCTGATGCAGTGCTGCGAGCTGCCTTTAGAGTTTAAGGTTAGGGCGCTTCAGTCGTCAGAGGGAGAAGCCCCTGCAGGAACCGGGGACCCTGGAGGCCCCTTGGAATCTGTGTTGCAGCCTCAGGATGCGCCAGTAACAATCGTGAAGCAAGGAAGCCACATGGCTGCCTTTGCAAACAGGAGTCTTGGCCCAGGTGATATGATCTTTAAGGAGAAGCCGTTTGTATGCACTCCTCTTGTGCTGGAGAGCGGGCAGGTGTTCAGCTCTTGTTTTCACTGCCTGCAGGAGCGAGGGGACCCGAGCCATGCTTTCTCTTGCCCCGTATCTCCTAACACGTGCCCATTTGTTTTCTGTTCCTGGCAGTGCCTCATGAAGAACGCCCGCCTGCACGCTGTCGAGTGCACCTGCATGCCTTTGATATTCGCAACCGCCAAGGAGTCCGGCATGGCGGTGAGCTATGTGTTGCATCTCTTTCGGGTCTTGGTAAAGGCGTCTCTGCAGAGGCAGATGCAGGTGCCGCGGGACAGCAGTGGTCAAGGGGAGGAGACGCTCGAAGGCGACATCGGCGCCCAGCTCTTCAGCTTATACTCTTTTGAAGCCGAAGTTCGCAAGGGCCAACCGGAACTTCTGGCGAAGCTCCAACTGCTGATACGCCGCCTGCAGCAAAACGTTCCCCCCAACATGCTGCTGCACCTCACGGAGAAGGAGTTGTTGCACGTGGCTCTGGTTGTTTTGCAGTACTCCCAATACGTCACCGCCAGCTCTGCAGCAGCAGCAGTGCAGCGAAGGGATCCCGACTGCACTCTCGGGCATGTCTTTGCCCCTGCTGCTGCGCTGCTGCACCACAGCTGCGTGCCCACAGCGACGGTGACTCTGGACGAGGATGGCCAGCTGGCTGTGAGGGCGCTGACGCAGATTCCTGCGGGGGGCTACATCTGCATTTCTGCAGAAGAGGATCTGTTCAAGGCACAAAAGGACCGCAAAGCTGTGGAGGCCCTCCCCCGAGTATTCGGCTGCGGCTGCGTCCGCTGCAGGGAAAACGACGAGGGGGGGCGTCTCCTGAGGGGGATCCGCTGCTTCAAGTGCATCCGGGGTTTCCTCTGCCCGGCCAAGGACCGCCAGTTGCTCGCCCGCCTCAAAGCCTACGGCGAGGTGGGCCTCCTGCCAGCCCGGGCCCCCAGCGCAGTCAACGCCCCCGATAAGGAGACATCTAAAGAAAGCCCCACGCAGGCGAAAGCCTCAACGAAGTCCCCAAAGCCTAAGCCCCAGCCCAGAGAGAAGAGCTCTCACGCGGGGCAGCACGGGGCAGATGCAGAGGCAGTTGACGAACCGTGGCTGTGCAACTGCTGCGGGCTGACAGGGCTACAAGCCTCCAAGGCTTGTGGAGACATGGAATTAGACCTCAAGCAGAGACAGGAAAAGGCTGATGCGTATCTCGTCCAGGGTGCCAAACAACTCGCCGCGCGCTGCTACAGCGACCTCGTGGATTTCTACGGCAGCAAACTACACCCCCAACACTCCGTCCTCTTCAACGCGCACACTATTCTTGCAGGCCTTCTGGCAGAACAAGGCGGCAAGGACCTCCCGCGGGTGCGCCTCCCTGGTTCCTGTCTCCTGTCCCTCGTCTCCTGGGACTGCAGGGTTGGGGCCTGAGACTGTGGAGCGGTGTCTCTCCACCACAGCAACAGGCCGTTCCCTACTTGGCTAGCTAAGCATGCAGCAACATTTTGGTTGTGACCTCAGTCTCCAGTAGGGAGACATCTGCACATGCAGCTCCGGGGACCTCCTTGTTGCTAGATGTGGCCTTCTCGTCTCTCTGTCTCCTTCCGTTCTGTGGCCTTTGCAGGCCCTCATCATCCTTAGGCGGGCGGGTATGGCTGCGGAGACGGTCTTGCCAGCCACCTCAATGGTCAAAGTACATCTCTATTTGAAGCTCGCAGAGCTGACGTACAGAGTATGTCTCTTTACAGCAGCGACAGCAGCAAGGAGGACTCAAGGCTGCGGCAAGCGTTTATTTGGCGTTTTGCTCTGTGTCTCTTGCCTGTTACAAGCGTTCTACCGGATTTGCTCTTTGGGGGCAGGAAACTTCCTTTCTTTGCGCTCAGAGGAGCGGTAGAGCTGACGGCCTTGGCTTCTGCTGCTGGTGCTGCTGTTATCTGTCTCTACAGGCGATGCAGCTAGAGAAGCAGTGCCGTCGAGGTCCCTCTGTTCCTCCTGAGAAGATTTTAGAGCCTTTGTTTTGCGCCTTGTGGAACTGCGTGGCTTGCATGGGGAGGGAGGCGACCCTGTCTGTAGCTGTGGGTCTGCGTCTCCGTCGGTTTGCTGCCCTTCTTGGTGTCTCCACGCCTCCTCTCACTTACGCCCCTGTTGTCCGCACGGACGAGGTCATCGCTGCCCTTTATCGGGGGGCAACGGACTCCAGCGCTGCCAGCACTGAGGTAACGCCTCTTCACCCTTTCCCCTGCAGCGGGTCAGCCATTCCCTCCAGCTGCTGCTGCAGCTGCAGCAGTCGCTGGTTTGCTGCCAGGCGAAGTGCAGCTCCCTTCCTTTCGCTGAGAAATTGTGAAGCGGCTGCTGGTCCCCTTTCGGGGCTTGCGAAGAGCCGCTTGCATACCCAGCTGCCATCCCTGGGCACCAGAGGAGACGCCTGTCGCTGCTGCTGCAGGTGCTGTTGGATTCTGCCGCTCTTGCGTGTGTGCTGCTGCAGCATATCCGGAATCTGTTTGTGCAAGACCCCATGTCGATAGCTGCGGGCCTTGTCCGTCGCGGCTTGCACTTCCCGCTTGCACTGGAACTGTTCAGGGCCATGAAGGACACCCAGCATCTCCCCACAGGCCTCAGCCTTCTGGGCCTCGCGTGTCTCTACGCCCACGAAGCTATTGTCCGCGCGTAAGCCAATGCATGCTGCCACGACGTCGCTCTTTGCTAGAGCGCCAGCAGCAGCAGCTGCTGCTGATGTTACGCTGTCTGCACATGCTGCTCTTGTCTGTATAGGGGAGGCCAGGCTGCCGTTGCTGCGGCTGGTGCTGCCACTGCATTACTGCTACAGCTGGCTGGGCCTTACCTTGTGATGGCAGTCTGCTATTGTCTATTGCGGTGTGTGTACAGCTTGTTGAAGATGGGATACGACCTTTTCGCTCAGTCTCCATTAGGAATGACACCCCTTCTAGTGATGTGCGCCTCCCACGGAAGCCCTCTGGCTCCGGGGAAGAAGGGGAATTCTTCTGGTGTTTTTACTTCGGAGTCAGCACCCGCGCTAGAAGAGGCAGAGACGGAGACAGAATCTGCACGGTTGGCAATATTACGGCTGATGCTGCAGCACTGCGACTCTTTGGACGCCACAGCAGCAGTGGTACATCGCCACAGGCTTCTTGAGAGGAAACAGTCTGCATCTCCCTCTCCCTCTTCCAAGGCCCCTTCTTCAGGGCCTGCGGGAGAGACAGGCCAAGCTCAGGACCAAGCTATCCACAAGGCGAAGCCCGGAGGGCCAACGTTAGGGGCCAGCAGGAGACGGCTGCTGTTTGCCGCAGCCCACCGGCTCCTTGGGAGGAGCCAGGCACTACATTTTGCTGCCAGCAAGGGCAAGACACGACTCTGTCGGCAGCTAGTGGCTGCTGGGGCAGACGTCGAGGCCCCGAATATTGAAGGCGCCACGCCGCTTCACTTGGCCTGTGTCGCAGGGGCTTTGGATACTGTGAAGTTGCTGCTGGATCGTGGGGCCGATATCAATACCCCGACTTCCTCGGGGGAGACAGCTTTACTACTGGCTGCTTATTGGCTGCAAGAAGATGTCATTTCGTTGCTGCTGCAGAGGGGAGCTGACCCCACAGTGGTGACGAGGGCGGAAGGCTTGACAGTGCTGCATGCAGTGGCCGCAGGCGTGCTGCGCCAGACAAAACCTTTGTTTAGGGGCCTTGCATGGGAAGGAGACCCCGCTGCTGTCACCCTCGAAGGCCTCTCGGCGGAGACAGTTGCCAGGGGGACTTACACTCGAGGGGGCTTCAACTCGAATTCACAAGATTTCCAAATGGATCTCCGCATTCCGTCTTCCACCCCAGACGACAGCGACCTGCTTGTGTTCCCGGGGGAGTTGATGCAGAGGGTGCAAAGAGCCCAGAAGATGCTGTTATCTCTCGTGCCCCACTGCGACCCCTGTACGTACACCCGACGCACTCGCAGAGGCTTCACAGCTGCAGACCTCCTGCTGCATTCTTGGGAAGGCTTTGAGACTAGGCGGAACCGACTTTTAAAGCTAGGGGACCTGCGCCTGGCGCCTTTAACCCCTAAAGAGAAGACGCAGCTGGCAGAGCGATGGCACTTTGTGCTGCACCAAATCTATGTCTTGAGGGACCTCCTAAGGCCCCCTCAGCCCAATGGCACAGAGGGGGCGCACGGTGGGGACTCAACCCCAAGGCCTGATCAGAGCAAAGCCATTGAACATCAGAAGCTGGTGACCGCCGCTCCCTGGCTTTTCCGTGACGAAGTCGCACGGGCCACTGCCAGGGCCACTAGAGGGGCCCCTATTATGGAGGCAACTGTTAATGGCTGAGCCCCCAGGCCCCGCAGGGGTGTTCTAGGCATTATATCCCGCGGGCAGTCTTCCTCTAGTGCTTATATTCAGTTATCCCAGTAGTAGTTACAAACAAGTGTATTAACAGGTATATGCACAGATGCGGAACATATAAACGTAGATCTAATAGTGTGTATAGATGTACTGAGTATGATACTGGTATATAAGTGGATATCAGCACAGCTATAATACTGCCATAGCTGAATATAAACACAGATACTTCAGACCAAAGAGACTGATTGTGTGCTTGTTGTCTGGCCTGTCTCTGCGGGGCAGACAGCAATCTGTTCCCTTGCATCCCCCTGTAGCCTCTTTCTCAAGGCGAGCGAACTGCGCAGGGGTTGGGATGCTGCAGCTCCCAAAATAGTGTGTGTAGAGGACTCCACGCCCACATCATAGAGGGCAACACGAAGACACCAGGAGTCAGCTGACTACCCCTCTAGGCAAGGAGTCATAACCTCTTATAATGAGCTTTGCCCGTTCCCTGTCTGCACTTGCTGCCTCTTCATAGAAACCCCGCCTATCCTTTATACTGAGACCGGAGGAGAAGCGAAGTTGAGGGGTGCGGGGTGAAGGCATACAATTAGTTAAGATGAGCCTTGGGAGCTGGTATCTGTGCACACCGCACAGTCTGGAGGGCCCCCTCGGTGCTTAATACAGGAAAGTAAAAGACATTACCTGCTGTGCAGTTCAGCCAATGCAGCCGAGCGAGCCCAAGGCATTTGAGTGCCCGCTGCGTGCAAAGGGGAGTTCAGTAAGGTGGACTCCTTCTGCTGCATGCGCATGCAGCACAGCAGTTTCACCGACCTACATGAGCTGTGGGGCCCGCAAAGCCCCATTATGACTGCCTGTTTGTCCTAGTTTGTGTGGTAGTACTGTGGGAGGCCTTGCATCTGCAATTGTATTTAGGGGATAAGAGTTCCATTAGATGAAAGCAACTGTACACATCAAATATACTGCAAATGACACCAAACACACTACAGACAAAGAGGCTACTGCCACCAACAAACTGAAGCTCAGTCTTCAGCGGCTTTTGCGTGGGATGTTTGCCCAACCCTCCGGGGGAAACCTTCGCATAAAACCCGAAAAAGATGCTGTAACACTGTAGTTTCAATGGAATATATATATATATATTTATAATACATATATGTATCGTAACTCCCTGTACACTTAAGGATTTGGCTGCAGGCTCTATGAGGGTACGGGACCTCGGGGGGGGGCCCCCGAGTGCGTCGGTGGCGGGGGCCCCTCTCAGATGCCTAAAGCAGCAGATACTATAGCTTCTAATATCTGCGTATGACACGCAATGGTGGAGGCAGCAACCTCTTTTTATAGTTTTTGCCTGCGTCTGGGCTTCAGGGGTTTACTAGCGTGAGAGGAGAGGAGGCGTGCAGGCCTCTACTGCTCCTGTGTGGCTGGGGTCTAGGGTTTTTGTAGACAACATATTCTACTTGAGGGTCTCTAACTACACTGCAGACAGATCGCAGCCTTAAGGCCCAAGAGGGCCCGCGTACACCCCAATGGGGGGGGCCCCGGCTGCTGCTGCCACAGGCAGTTTAAGGCCCCTTGGCCTTCGTTGGTTCTCAAGCTTGGTGATTGTAAGCCAACATCCCTCTTATTATTTTCTCCGCTTTATTGATGAAGGGGCAAGGGCTGCGAGCCGATAATCCGGTCTTGTGTGCCCTGCTACTCTCTGCGTAGGGTTTAGGACCCAAGGGCATACTTAGGTTTTGAGGGTTTAGGGATTGGGGGTTTAGGGTTTAGTGGGTTGTGTGCAGAGTCGGGAGGCGCGGGCTGTCCCGTGGGAGCCACGGGAGGAACTTCTTCAGGCTAGAAAGGAGCCTCGTTACATGGCTGAGTGCAAAGGTCCACACCATATCTTCTTGCGCACTGTTCTTGCTGCTGCTGTTGTTGCTGCCGTTGCTTCTGTCGCTGATGCTGCTGCTTGTATTTCCTTTACACGCACAGTGTGGGGTCTACTGTCGAGTTCATTAGGGCCGTGGGCAGTGGCGACAGCTGCGGTGGTTGTACCTGCATTCTGTTCGTGTTGCTTTGGGGCTGCATGCAGGGACCCCGCGAATAGAATATGCTGAGAATATGATTGATGGAGTGCGCCTCCGTCCCACATTTAATCCGTACGTCAAGCTTACCAAGGCTAAGAGATACGTACTCGACAACTGGCCCTCCAGGTGACCTTCCCCAACACACAGAAGGATAGGGGATAAGCTCTATACAGACTGTTTACGGTTTAGGGTTTAGGGTTTACTTTGGGGTTTAGCCAGGTGCAGGGTTTGTGCTAGGAGCAGAGGCGTATGTTACCAGTCTTTCTCCGTTTATACCTCCCCACCCGTTTCTTGTACCGCCCAGAAAGCATGAACTTCGATGCTAAACCCTAAACCCTAAAACCCTAAACGACAGTAGCTTTAAGCCCTTTCTGCTCTCTCTACCCTTTGCTATTTGTCTCCGCTGCGAGTCTGGGTTTAGAATTTACGGCTTAGGGTTTAGGGTTTACTGTTTGGGGTTTAGGGTTTATGGACTGCAGGAACTGGGCGGACTGGAACCCATACAGCTGCTTTGTGAGGGGAAGCCGACGGCGCTATCATATCCCCAAAGACCTTATGCCGTATAAAGACGAACTTGGAGAGTGGCATCCCCCTCGGTACAGCACTCTCCAGCACGAAGAGCCAAGGGTTTAGGGTCTAGGACTGTGGTTTTAGGGTTTAGGGCCTAGGGTTTATGGCTGGGGTTGTAGGGGTTATGGGTTAGGGCTTAAGGCTTTTGTTTTAGGAGTAGGGATTAGGGCTTAGGGCCTTCGCTTCAGGGGGAAGACTTAGGGTTTAGGGGTTTGTTCTCATGGGGAGGATTTAAGGTTTAGGGTTTTGGTTTTAGGGTGGAGGGTTTAGGGTTTAGGGTTTTGTGTGCGGTCGCTAATGCAGACTCTCCGGTCGATACAAAGCTGACGTGGAGCGGCAGTACCGCCTCAACGGTAGGGCAGCGGCTCCAACCCTAAACCCTAATCTCTCTAGCCCTAAATTCCAAACCCTACCTGCGGGGGAGGGTTTTGGGAGGTGGCAGGCTTGTGTGGTCGCTTGAGCAGACAGCATTTATGTCCATTGATAAGGGTTTAGGGTTTGTTGAGGGTTTGTGTTTAGGCCTCGAGTGGGTGTGGGTGAAGAACTTCTACAAGGAGAAGATGCACATTCGAGACAGAGAGCCGTTGGGGCCCAAGAGATGGTATATTCGGGAGTTCAGGTGAGGCAAAAACGCTTAAACAAATGCAACAGAGAAGGACACACACTTTGCTAGACAGGGACAGAGGCAGCATATGTTAGACAACAACACGCGCGGTGTATGGACACTCGAAGGGAGCGGACCTTGAGGGCTCTTCCAATTTGCCTTTAGGCGTTCAAGTGCCGTCTTAGGGTTTGGGCTTTTGCTTAGGGTTTAGGGTTTAGGGCCTAGGGTTTCAGCTGTAGAGATGTTTGGTGACTGTCACAGGCAGCAACAAGTGAAGGAAGCGATGAAGAAAATGGATGACCTGGTGGCGGAGTATCGCAAGGTGAGCCATGGGTTTAGGGGTTTGTTGGTTGGGGCTTAGGGTTTGCAATTGGTGTATAATTGAGGGTTTAGGGTTTAGGGTTGCAGCTATTTCTTAGAGTCACCGCTTCACCCACGCAGCACCCCAACAGCGTGCGTCTGCCGCCAGCCGATCGAAGGCGTCCAGTCCTAGTCCAGTATAGCGTGGTGGAGTGTTGCTGCTGCTGCTGCTGTTGCTGCTGCTGTTGCTGTTGTTGCTGAAGGAGGTGAGGGACAAGCAGCGCTATAACTGGTTCGAGAAGGTGGTGCACGACTTCGCGGGCGAGCAGCTGTCCTCAGAGTACCTCAGGAGCAGAAAGGAGCCGAAGATATAGCAGCGGTTTTTCTTTAGACATCGGATTTACCTGCGCTGCAGCCTTTGTGTGCGGCAGCTGTGCAAGCCATCTGCAGCGGGGGGTTGGGTTTGTAGGTGGCAAAACCTTTCTGAGAGGTGCATGCAGTAAAGAGTGTCTCCTGCATAGTCTCCACAAGAGACAGAGACAGGGGCTTTTAAACGAATGCGGAGACACCCTATTTGACCAGTGCATGCAGGGAGGCCGACGACCTTTAAATGCAGTTCTGTTATAGCTGCCTCACCAGCTGCACAGACAGGCACTCCAGGAGAGGATGCCACCCCTCTTCAGTATGCGCCAATCTGTTCTTGAGGCCCGTCTCACTTAAGACTGTGGGGCTTCCTTGCTAGAGGGGTGGGGGGCTATTTGTGCTTAAACTCCGTTGCTTAATCTTTCCTTTAGGTAGTGCTGCTGTACACGGCAAGGCCGAAGGGGCAGAGAGGGTAGGCAACGGATTGTAACCCATGACGCTTCAGCAGCAGTAGTTGCTGCTGCAGCTGCTGCTGTTGCGACTCACCAATGCTAGCAACCACCACAGTAGGGTTTAGGGCTTAGGCTTAGGGGCTTAGGGTATATGAATTAACGTTTACGACGAAGCGTACAGGGGAGACCCTTTCACGCAAAGGCGTAGCTGCACTGCCCAAAGCGCTGCATACAGTACAGAATATATATTATCATATCTCTCGTACAAATATATATATATATATATATATGTATATATATAGAGATAGATATTGCATGTATAACTAGACATATACACAATGCATAGATGAATATATATATATATATATATATATATATATATATGCATCTATTCACAATTTATATGTATATATATGTATATGTATTATATAGTATATACATACATGTATATACATGTATAGAGTATATATATGTATATATATATGTGTATATAGTATATATATATATACATCTATTTGCGATTTCGAGGGGACTCAACAGCTGTAGGCAGCGGCGTGCAATGCTGTCTCCCGTTTCTCTGTTGTTCACGAGGCCTTGAGGCTCCCCGTCCCTGTCTCTACAGCCGGAGAAAGGAGACACTTGTTTATTTGTTTCACTTTGTCCACTACGACATCTCTTCAGTGCTGCTGTCTCCTGACCTGCCTTTTCTTCTGTGTTGCGGGTGCAACGCGGGGATATTGCGCTACCCTGTTATCTAATGTGTCTCTAAAGCATCGCTATCAGCCCCCTGCGGTGTCTTGGTGTCTCCGTGGCGCATATCCCGCTATTTGCCCTAAATCCTAGGCCCCAAAAGATGTCCAGGAGACTCCCTGATCCCTGTCCTTTCCTCAACTGTCTCCTTGAGGTGGCTACTTAGAGACAGAAATGAAGACAAAACAAAAAATTCACTTGTCTAAGCGAGCGTGCAGCTTCACTGCGTGGAGCTCTCCGCTGACGAAAGACCCAACGGGGTATACCACCACCTGGGCTTCAGCGGCAGACGATACTTGCCATCGAGACTGCACTGTCTCCTGCTGCCAGGTGTCTCCTCTCCACATGGCTGCGAGGGAAGGCCACATAACCGCACAGATGGGGCGCTGCTAATTGCAGCAGCATGTCTCTCTGCAGCGGGACTGCTCACCTTCAAGGGGACAGAGACGGCCTCATCGACGGTCCTGCTTCCGCTGCTGCTACTGCTGCTGCTGTTGTGGCTGCTGCAGCTGCTCCCCGCTGTTGTCCGTGGAGTGTTTGGCCTGCAGAGCGAGTCTGCAGCAGCAGCAGCAATACGCGGGCTGCTTGCAGCACTTCTCTTTCCAGTTCCTTCATCCTCCCCAGGGTGTAGCAGCAAATGAGGACAACGAGCAGCAGCACCTCGGCCTCCCTGTCCCCGAAGGAACCCCGCAGGCTGCACGATAAGGTTGCCCTTGGCTTGTGCAGGTGCATGTACCCGCTGCGGCACCTCCTGCTGCACCTCCTGCAGCATCTGCTGTTGCACATGCTGCTGCATCTGTTGCTGCACCTGTTGCTGCACCTGCTGCTGCGCCTGCTGCTGCGCCTGCTGCTGCGCCTGCTGCTGCGCCTGCTGCTGCGCAAACGACCAGGGCTGCGGTTGGCCCTGTGAAGGCTGCGGAACGCTGCAAGTAAGAACGGGCTGCAGCAGCTGCTGCTGCAGGGGTAGCATTGTTTGCTGCTGCTGCAGTTGCGTCTTTTGGTGCATCGCCTCGGCAAGCTGAAAGTCTCTTCGCAGCTGCAGCAACTTCATTTGCTGGTGTGGGCTCGGGTCCCGCTGCAGCAGCTGCTGCAGTGGTTGCTGCAGTGGCTGCTGCTGCGGCCACGGCTGCTCGGTGGTGTACTGCAGGGGGGCACGCAACACTGGCTGTGCCCCAGCCCTGTGCTGCTGCGTACCCTGCTGCTGCTGCTGCTGCAGCTCTTCAGGTGTAAATTGGTGCTGCACCTCCAGTGGGCACTGCGCAACTAGCTGCTGCAGCACTTTGGGGTCCCCAAAGTGCTGTTGGCTTGGAGTTGGCCGGTGCATGGGCTGTTGCTTGAGCTGCTGCAGCTGCAGCAGGCGCTCCTGCAACTTCCCCTGCTGCGCCTGCCGCTGCTGCACAGGCATCTCCTGTCGCCGCAAGAGGCTCTGCTCCCTCCCAAGGTACTGCTGCTGCGCAGCAGGAAGCTGCGTGGGGCCTTCCTGCGGAGTCTGCTGTGTCAGAAGCTGTTGCTGCTGGGGCGCAGACTTATCTACGGCCTGCAGTACCTCGTGTTGCTGCTTCCGCTGCTGCTGTTGTTGCTGCGTAGCATGCTGGAGGTGCTGCTGCAGCAGCGCTTGCTGCTCCACTTGCATTTGCTGCACCGCAGGCGGCGTTCCTAGCTGGCCCTCTCTCTGCAACAAGGGCAGCAGCTGCTGCTGCAAGAATGCTTGATGCTGCTTAGGGGCATTTGGCCTGTCTCCCAGCTGCCCCTCAACAAGGTGATGGTGCATCATTGGCTGACAAGGCAGGGCCTGTTGTTGTTGGTAGTGGCGGTGGGAGTGTTGCTGCTGTTGCTGTTGTTGCTGCTCTTGCTGCTGCTGCAGAGTGTTGCTTGCATCAGCGCATGCATGCGCAGTTTGTGGTAAGCCTACGGGGCTGGCGCTTCTCGCGCATGTGCTGTAGTCGGCTCCGCTGTCCCGCTGCTGCAGTCCCCAGTGTAAACTGCAGCCGTTGCATACCCCGTCCCCTGCTGCTGCTGCTGCTGCTTCATCTCCTTTGGGTGGCGCCTCACTGGCTACGGCGCAGGAACATGAGGCTTCTTCCAGTGCGGTTAGAGCTTCAAGACTGCAGCTGCAGGCGTCCCTCAGGTTCTCCAGCACGACTGCAGCATGGCTTAGGAGTTCCTGCAGGCGACAGTGAAGGGAAGAGAGGTGCTGCACTCTCCGAAACTGGCGCTGCCTTGCTAGCTGCTGCTGCTGCTGCTGCTGCAAATGCTGCAGCTGCTGCCGCCGTTGGTGCAGTTGTTGTTGTTGCTGCTGCAGTTGCTGCTGCTGCTGCACCGGCTCGGGTGTGGCTCGTGCGCTATGTAAGCTAAAAAGCCTTTCCCTTGAATGCAGGTTTGTCCTCAGCATTGAGGCTCCAGCCTCTTGTGCTGCTTCTCTTGCTGCAGTCGTCTCTGCTGCCAGGCGCTGCGTTGCAGTAGCTGCGCTGCCCCTGGCTGGAGCCAAGTTTACCTGTCCCGCTGCTTGAGGGCCCAAATGTGCAGCATTTGGAGACCTTTGCTGCTGCTGCAGCCAAGCGGGTCTCACTGCAGGAGGCCCTGGGGAGACAGGAGAGACACAGGAGCTACAGGGGGAGGACCGTATTTGCCTGTCTTCTCTTTGTGCTGCTGCAAAGACACCTGCACACGCACTAGACCACCTGCCTCCAGCTGGAGACCCTGCCCAGACGGAAGGATCCGGAGACACTGGAGACACCGCAGACAGTGGAGACACTGGGGACACAGAAGAAGCTGCAAATCGGGCTGACAGCTCCAGGAAGCAAGAGCCTGGATGCAAACAGTCGCCTTGATGCCCTTGCTGCTGCAGCGGCAGATGCTGTTGCTGCAGCAGCGGCAGATGCTGCCTAGGAAGCTGCTGCACGCTGTCCTGCAGAGCCTGTGGATGGTACTCCTGCTGTTCGCGTCTCTCCTGCTGCTCCGGCAACGGGGTTTGCTGCGGCCTTTGCTGGGGCTGCAGCTGGATCTGCTGTTCCTGCAGCCACTGGCTAGGCTGCTGCTGCTGGGAAGGCATAAAGCATTTCTGCTGTTGTAGGAGCCGATGAGACTGGTAGGGGGGCTGGTGTGGTAGCTGCAGCAGCAGCGGTTGCTGCTGTGGCTGTTGGTGTAGTAGCTGTTGCTGTTGTTGCACGCCCAAATGGTGCTGCTCAGTCTGCTGCGTCGGAGCAGCCTCAGGACCTTTTGCTCGCTGCTGCACGAGCTCTGATTGCTGCTGCTGATGCTGCAGTAGGGCCCTGCCCTCCGGCGGTGCCTCATCAACACGTGGCGAGGTAGAGAGAAGGCAAGTGCAGGTGCTGCTGTCTGGTTGTCTGCCTCCTTTTGTTGCTGCGGGAAGTTGTACAGTAGGCAATGCTCTCTGAGGGCGTCCTTGCTGCATGCGCTGGCCATCCAAAGCCCCAAAGGGTTCCTCAGAGGACCGAGTAAGCCCTCCGTGTTCATCATGTGTGTGTGCAGTCTGTCTTGAGGCAGCAGCAGCAACAGAAGTCTCTAAGACGGCCCCACTGGCTGCTGAGCCTGCGGTACCTCCTCTCTGCGCTGCATGCGTTGCTGTTCCCTGCATTCGCTGCGGAGACACGTTGGGGCGGGTCTCAGCCTCTGCGGTTGTCTCCACTTGGCCGTCGCGCGGGTTCGATTCCCCCCTTTGCATATTTGCTGCAGCACTACCAGATAATGCTGGATACGTAGGCTGCTGCTGCGCTGAACAAACACTGAACAGGCTCAGAGGCTTGGGCTTTGCCCTGGCGCTCCCTCGCAGCAGAGGCCTTGGCTCCGGCGCAGAGACAGTCGCAGCCGGAACTGCTGCTGTAGGGGGAGCGCCCCGTGCTGCCACACCGCACAAACTACGGGCCTTGCTGCTGCTGCTGCTGCTGCTGCTGCTGCTGCTGCTGGTAGTTTGCTGGCCGTTTTTGGCAGAGGCCCCCCGGAGATCTGCAGGGCCTCCGCTAACTACTCGCTGCAGCAGCGGCACGGGTTTTCTTGCTGCAAGAACAGCAGCGCCTTCAACCCCCCCTAAAACAGAGCCCAGGGCACTGTGGGGCTGCTTCTCTTTTCTGAGTGCTAGGCGTCCCTCTTGTGTCCCTTTAAGGTCCCTTGCCCTGGGGGGGATGGTGCTTGCTGCAGCAGCAGTTGCTGCTCCGTTGGTGCTGCAGCCCGTACTTTTACTGCCCGCAAACGCCGCAGCAGCAGGACCGGAGACAGCAGTCTTCTTGCTGCTGGTGGGTGCCTTCTGAGCCGCAGCCGAAGAGACAGCCAAAGCACGTCTCTTCAGCAGCTTACCGAACACTCTTCGGCGCAGGGAAGAGATAGTCCCTGCACCGCTGCGTTTGCCACATAGCTTTACTGGGAACGACGTTGTTCTTCGCTTCACGCTGCTGCTATTGCTGCTGCTGCTTGTGCTGCTGCTGCTGCTTGCTCCGCTGCTGCGACTGCTCCTGCTGCGACTGTTCCTGCTTCGGCTGCTGCTGCTTCGGCTGCTGCTGCTGCTTCGGCTGCTGCTGCTTTTGCTGTTCCTGCGGCTGCTGCTGCTGCGACTACTGTTGCTGCTGTGGCTGCGAGAAAGTTCCGTTTCGTTGCTGCTGCTGCTGCAGCTGCAAGTATAGCCGCTGCTTCTGCTGCTCCTAGATGAGCTCAGAGCAGTGATTGACGCTGTCTTTTTGCGGAGATTGAGTTTTGGGATCGATGGCCTGCCGATCCCAGACAGGCTAGCCGCCTTCTGGGCTTGTTTCTGCAAGTGCTGCAGGTGTGGTTGCAGCTGCTGCTGAGGCGGCTGCTGCAGTTGCTGCTGCAGTTGCTGCTGTAGTTGCTGCTGAGGCGGCTGCTGCATTTGCTGCTGCATTTGCTGCTGCATTTGCTGCTGCAGTTGCTGCGGCTTCCTCTTTTTCTCTGGGGGCATTGCGCTTTGTCCTGCCGGCCCCGTTCGCCTCTGCGTCTTCCGCAGCAACAACTCAGCAGCAGCAGCAGCAGCACCAGCTCCAGCAGCTTGAGATTCAGAAGACGTAGCAGCAGCACTCCTTACGGCTGCAACGCCGCTGGGCTTCTTTTTAAAGGTATTTGCGCTCCCTGCTGCAGCGCCAGCGGTCTTTTTGTCTGTTTCCCCAGGAGGAGTAACTGGAGCGTCAGCTCTCCACCACGTCTCACTGGCTGCTGCATTTGCTACTGTTCTTGCTGCTGCCTTCGCTGTAGCCACTGCTGCTAAAGTCCTCGTTACTGCCTTGAGAGCTGCTGCCGAAGTAGCTACGTTCTCTGGTGGTGCGGCTGCTGCTGCTGTTGCTGCTGCTGCTGTTGCTGCTGTTGCTGTTGCTGCTGTGGCTGTTGTTGCTGGTGCTGCTGTTGCTATTGGCCTTGCTAGGACTTTCTTTGGCCGAGAACCTGCAGGAGATGTTGGGCGCGTTGCTGTTGCTGTTGTTGTTGTTGTTGTTGCTGCTGCTGCCGCTGCTGGCAGCAGGGACCTGTACTTTGCTGCAGCCACAGCGGTGTGTATAAGATCTGTTGGAATATTGTGTGCGTCTGCTGATGGTGCAGCAGCCCGCACTCCTCCAGCTGCTGAGGGCCGTATAGCAGCAGGTCTTGAGACGGCAGCTTGTGCTGTTGTTGTTTGCCTTGCTGCTGCTGCTGAGAGGTCTCTCAAGGGCGCTGCAGGCCTCCCCACCTCCCCCGGTGCAGAACGCATCACCTCACCCCACGGGCTTCTGTTGGCGTTTGGAGGCTGCTGCCACTCTAAACCAGATGCCTCCTGCTGCCCTGCTGCTGCGGACCGCAGGGCAGCAGCCGGCGATAAGGGGGAAGGTACCCTTGCTCCCGCTGCAGCAGCAGCAGTAGCAGCAGCAGCTGCTACTGCTGCTGTTCCTGGTGCGTCACGAAACGGGAGGGCACCCAGAGCACGGTGTAACGCCCGGCCTGCTGCGCTCTCCAAGATCTGCAGCTGCTGCGGTTGTTGCTGTTGTTGCTTTGGCTGTTGCTGCTGCTGCTGCCGCCAAAGAACACCCTGGAGATGAGATGGCTCAGCGGGCCCTCTAGGCTCTACCATCCGTGCCAAGGGCACAGTCAGAGAGATGCAGTCCCTCAGCTGCTGCTGCTGGTGCTGCAGCACCAGCTGCTGTTGTTGTTGCTGCTGCAGTTGAATCCGCTCTTGCTGCTGAATCTGCTGCTGCTGAATCTGCTGCTGCTGAATCTGCTGCTGCTGCAGTTGAACCGTCTGCTGCTGCTGAATCTGCTGCTGCTGAATCTGCTGTTGCTGCAGCTGAACCCGCTGCTGCTGCTGTTGAATATGCTGCTGCTGAATCTGCTGTTGCTGCAGTTGAACCCGTTGCTGTTGCTGAATCTGCTGCTGCTGGCGGTGAATCGGATTCTGCTGTTGGTGAATCTGCTGCTGCTGCTGCTGGTGAATCTGCTGCTGCTGCTGCTGAAGCAGTAGCTGCTGCGGGCGGGAGGCGCTTGAGGTAAGAGGAGCCTGGGTTGCAGAGGCCGAAGACCTTTGGGTGGAGTCTGTTGTTGTTGCTTTTTCTGTTGCTGTCGCTGCTTTTGCTGTTGCTGTTACTGTTGCTGTTGCTGTTGCTGTTACTGCAGTGGTGCTAGTGAGACCTCCTGCGGGAGTGTCTCTAGGCTGCTGCTGCAGCAGCTCTTCTGGGTGTGGGATCGGGGATCCTGTTGTCTCCGATTCGCTGAAGTCTGATTCAGAAAGAGATATCTCGCGGCTGAGGGTGGAGTGAGACAAAGGAGACCCCCAACGAGGTGCTGTCTCCTGAGTCTCCTCAGCAGCTCCTGGCCTTTCAACAGGCATATTCCTGCCCTCGTGTCCCTGCTTATCTGGGTCCTGCTGCCGTTGCTGCTGCCGTTGCTGCTGCTGCTGCTGCGGCAGATGCTGTGGCTGCAGCTCACGCTGATGCAGCTGGTGTTGCTGCGGACGTTGCTGCTGCTGCCGCTGCTGCCGGAAATGGCTGAGTGGAGCTGGTGTCTCCTCCTCCTGTCCCTTCTCGCTCAGATGGTTTTGTTGAAGATCTGCATCTGGCTGAAGCGGCTCCTTTCGCTCTGTTGCGTGCTCCTCCGTCTGGGACTGCTCTGTTGGCCGGTGCTGCTGATGCAGCTGCTGCGTCTCTTGCTGCTGCTCTGACGACGTCTGCTGCTGCTCCTTGCGAAGGGGTGGCAGTGCAAGCTGCCCGTTCCCTTGGTGCAGCTGCGGGTGGTGAAGAGCTTCTTTCGGGCTGTGGCCCTCTTGAATTTGCTGCTGCTGTCTGCCCCACTCCTGCTGCTGCAAGTCTGTTCCGTCCTCCTGCTGGTGCTGCTGCTGACGATGGTGATGATGAGGAGAGTCCGTTCTGTCTTGCTGCTGCTGTTGAGAGTTGCTTCCGTTCTGCTTTTGTTGTTGCTGCTGCTGCTGGGAGATAGTTTCGTCCCGCTGCCGCTGCTGACGCTCCTGGCACTCGCTTTCTTGCTGGAGTCCCTTCTGCTGCTGCTGGTTCTGTTGCAGCGATACCAAAAATGTTTGCCGCTGCTGTTGTTGCTGCTGCTGCACCTGTTCACACTGCCTAGGGTTTGGTTGCTGCAGTTCGTGGATTATGCGTGGCAGTAAGGTGGCTGCTGCCCCTTGGGGCAGCTGGCACCCCTGTTCCTCCTGCTGCTGCTTCTGCTGCTGCTGTTGTTGTTGCTGCTGCTGCTGAAGATTCTCATTGTCTTGGGTGCGTGCAGCAGGCGATGTTGGCGGTGTTAGCGGGAGGGCTAGCGCTGGGGGCCCAATTAAAGAAGGTGGGGTCGGAGAAGGGGGCCCTGTCTCGTTCTCTTGTGAAGCTCTTTGAGGCCCCCCTGAGAGACTTGAGGTGGATGAAAGCTCTGGGGATTGCTGCTGCAGCTGCGGAGACACGAATGGAGACATCGGAGAGGCGGTCTCGTGCTGCTGCTGCTGCTGTTGAGGGGGCCATCGCCAGCTTGTTTACTTACTGTTATTCCTGAAGCTATAAGGGGATTCAAAGAAAACAATACCAAAGAGCAAATAGATAAAAATGCTTATTTCTAACAAATAAATAAATAAACACATGCAACAGGGGAACGCCACCCGCCGGAGTGACCTTCGGCCACGACCGATCCCGGGATCGTCTCCTTCCGGGATCGTCTCCTCCCGTCCCCAGCTCCACGCAGCCTCCCAGGCATCAAAGCAAAGGACGTAAAAAAGTTGTTGCTTTGCTTTACTCTTAAAAAATAAACAACAAGAGGAGGAAAGAAAGGATCAGAAGGAGACAGAGGGGGTGTTATGTTGTGTGCTGCTCTCCTGGCTGGTCGCGGCCGCGAGGCTGAGGTGTACAGACACCGCAAGAGCCATAAGAAGAAGCCCTCGCTCTGTTTCTTCAACTTCTACAGTTAATGAATACTGCCGTTTCACTGTTCCTACATGCATTTTCAAAGGTGCGTTCAGCCAACTACGGCGCTACCAGGCCGGTGAGACTTGCTGTGGCTGCAGCAGCAGTTGCTGCCGTTGCTGCTGCTACTGCTGCTGCGGTGTGTCTTCTATCTGAAGCCACTCCACGGAGCCCTGATGCAGTTGTATGTCTCCCTGTTTGTCTCCTCCTCTATATCCAAGCCTGAAGAGACCGTGTGCGAGCCGCCTCCGCCCCACATATCTTCCCCATCCCACCCCGTCCAGCTCCAGCTTGGGATCGATCGTTCCCGTTTCGCTAACTCTACCTCTCTCTTTCCATGTGTCACCTTTACATACCCTGGCCTGGAGACTGCGCAGGCCGCAGCAGCTCAGGTCTTGGGGCGGCGGACGCACCCCTGGGAGCCCGGTGATTCTCCAAGGGGCCCCCGTGGGTGCCACCCCTGTAATAGGGAAAGCGTTTGGGGGCCCCTATGGGGCCCTGTGGGGCCCCCCACTAGAAGGGAGTCCTTGCGGGGCCCCCCACACGAAGGTCAGAGGCGCTCTCTCTCTGGAGCGATCCTTCAGATAGGCTTGTTTATAATCCGCAGCAACAACTAACACCCAGCACGGACTCACCCGTAGCGCAGCCCTACCAGATAGCACAGACAGACAAACAGCTGCAAGCGGACACCGTGGGCGCAGAGTGCCCCTAACTCCACTAGGGAGAGATTGAGACAGTGAGGATACACCGCGAAAGACGAGACGAGACTCCACACGCAACAAGCGACAAGCTGCAATTGTCTCCTCCTCAGCTAAGGAAAACAGAGGCTGCCCATAGAGCTGCAGATGGCTTTAGCAAGTCTTCCTTGGGCAGCAGCCGCAGCGATATGCAGAGTACGCAGCGTCAGTGATACCCAGATGCGTAGAATTGTTTCCACTGTCTCCTTTTGTAGGGCTGCAGCTGCTGCTGTGTTGGCTGGCTGCCTCGTGCTTCAGAGCCTTGCTGCTGAGGTGCAGCATCTCCGTCGGTCTCAGGAGGAGACTCTGTCTCCTTAAGAGAGTCTGCTGTGTAAGCTGAGCTCCTCTCATGCTCACGCAGTGGGAAGTGTCTCCTTTCGTTGCACTGCAGCAGCTGCAGCAGCGGCTGCTCCTTTTGGGGGTTGAGGTCTTACTGCATGCATGTGAGTGATCTCAGCGCGCCCTTCAAAGGTGCATTGGTCGGAGGGCACCACACCGAGCTTGGCTAGCGGTAGCTAGCTGCGGCTAGGTGTAGCTAGCTACAGATCTGGCTAGAGACGCGCCCCCCCTGCGGACTTGGGAAGGGCATCACAGGAAGTGGGACCTCCTAACGAAGTACATCACTTCCTGAGCTGTACAGAGACAGAATGTCTCCTTCGGCTGTTGTCTTTGTGTAACCGGGCTCTTCATTCTTTCTTTAAAGCTGCAATCGATTCAAGAGAATGAAAGTGAAAGAAAGTCATTAAAATGCTGCATATTGTCTCCTTTCCTGTCTCCATACGCTCTGGGCATAGCAGCAGAAGGCCCCGTAGCTGAAGAGAGGAGACAGCCTGAGGTGAGTTGGGACGCCGCTCAGTGCAACTCATTTTATAAGGCGCTTGTGCATGCAAACAGAGTTAAATACCCTTTTGCTGTCTATAAGAAGGCTATAGGAGAGTGTTAGTACTCCTGCTTGCATGCACGGCGCCTTATATTTAGCATTTGCCTTGTGCTTATGCTACTTCGTCTGCTCATCGATCATAGACTCGAGAGCCTTCTTTCTAAAAACATATTATATACAATAACATATGTATACACTATATGCATACAATGCATGGATTACATATAATACATAATACATATAATATCTATATTATTTACTATATGAATGCGCCTTCGAATAATATATATATATTTCCTTTTTTTTCTAAGGCGCAATCAATAGACATATTTTCAGGTAATTAATTACCCACTAACACCCTGGAAGCAACCTAACAGACTCTACGACGTCTTAGGATAAACCCTACGGTGTACGTACACCTGAAGGAGTTTCTTATGAACATCCAACAACCATATAAAAGCCGAAATGATACAACGAGTTCAAAAGAAAATAACGACGAACAGCAGGACAACCACTGTGTCAACAAGCTGTGTTGGTGGTGGTGGTGCTGCTGCTGCTGCTCTCTGCTGCGTGCCTGCCTACGGACATATTGAGAATATAATGGGTGGAATATCGATATAAATACACAAAAGTGCGAAAAAAAATATTAGGATTCAGTAGCGACGAAATAAATACATGCAATCTCTCCAATATGCCGCAGTGGCCCCACTGCTGCTGCTGCTGCTGCCCTTGCATCCGCAGCAGCAGCAGTAGCTGTTGTTCTGTTTGTCTGTCGAGTCCTTTTGAAAGCTCCTGCCTACTGAAAGTAAGAAAAAGCCATTTTGCAGAAGAAGGAGGCAAGACAAGGGCCCAGGGGCGCTGCCGCCTCTCCCACCGGAGCAGCAGCAGCAGCAGCAGCAGCAACAGCAGCAGCAACTGTGGCAGCAGCAGCAGCAGGGGCTGAGTGGGCAGCTGAAGGCCCCGGTGTTAGGCGATTGTTCAAAGACTCCCTGGCGTCTCTGCCGGCCTTGTTGGTCTTGTTGCTGTTTCTCCCTCTGTTAAGCACAGAGGCAGCAGCAAAGAATTTCGTTTGTTTCGTTTGCTGCTGCCAGCAGCAGCAGCGGAGACGTCGGTGTGTCGCCGCCGCCAGTCGGCACATCTGCTGCCTTTTTGCTTGCTCGCCTTCTCTCCACGCTTTGCAGCACGGATCCACTTGTTCAGCAGCAGCAGCAGCAGCAGCAGCGTTCTCAGCAGCAGCGGCGGAGGCCACCCGAGCCAGCAGCTGCTGCTCTCGCTTCCTCCTTCAGTACCAACACCCCAGCAGCATGAGTGTCTCCTCAGCTTACTGCTTGTCTCCAAGGCGTCAATACTGCTGCTGAAGAAGGCTTCCGCAGCAGGGGCGTAACAACGCTCCATGCGGCCATGTCGCAGCAGCACCAGGAGCAGCAGCACGAGCTGCAGCAGCAACAGCAGCAGCAGCAGCAACATGAGCTGCAGCAAAGGCGCCACAAGCAGCAGCAGCTGCAGCAACAGCAACAGATGAAGCAACTAGATGCTGGTGAACCGTGCGGCGTCACTGCTACAAACAACAGCAGACATTTGTCAGAACCGCAGCATCAGCAGCAGCAGCATCAGCAGCAGCAGCAGCATCAAGAGCAGCAGAAGCAGCATCAAGAGCAGAAGGCGCAGGATTACCCGGCGTCGCACAGTGAGCAGCATGTCTTGCTGCAGCAGCGGGGGCAGGAGCTGGCAGAGCAGCAGCCAGAGCAGGAGCAGCTGCAGCAACAGCAGCAGCAGCAACAGCAGCAACAGCAGCAGCAAGAGCTGCAGCAGCAGCAACAGCAAGAGCTGCGGAAGCAGCAGCAAGAGCTGCATCAGGATCAGCAGGAAGAGCTGCAGCAGCCAGAGCAGCAGCACGAGGTGAAGCAGCACGAACTGCAGCAGCAGCAGCAGAAGCAGCAGCAGCAGCAGCAGCACGAGCTGCGGCCTTATGTCCGCGTACCCCCTCCCTCTGGTGGGGGTTCTGTATGCGTAGATGTAGCAGTGCTTGGCTCCAGCCTCTGCAGCACTCTCATCTGCGCTGCCCTAAGCCGCAGGGGCCTCCTATGTCTCCTCTGTGAGCCGTCTTTAACTTATGGGGGCCCCCACCGTAGCATGCGCCTCGAGGAGCTGCTGCAGTGGGCGGAGGGGGGGCCCGGGCGGGGGCCCCCCTGGGGCCCATCAGGCTCACCTGGGGGCCCCCCGTGGGGCCCTGATGACGAGGAAAGGAGACGGTCGCTCAAGAAGGGTTTGCCTCCCTGCCCTTGCTGCTGCCACGACACTGCAGCAGATAGGGGCCCCTCTGAAAGCCCAAGGGGGGCCTCAGGGAGCGAGCAGGTTGTAGCGCACGAGGAAGCTCCGAGTGGGGGCCCCAAAGGGGCCCCCTGCTCTCCTGGGGAGCCAAGGAGCCCCCGGCTGGGGCAGGAGCAGCAGCAGCAACAGCAGCAGCAGCAACAGCAACAGCAGCAGAAAGACATACCTGGTTCCCTAGGGAACGCTGGTGTGGGGTTCGCCCGCCTTTTGAGGGCCACGCGGCGCAGGGGCCCCTCCACTGCAGCAGATAATCTCCGCGGGGGCCCCCCTGTTGCGGGGGCTGCATCTGGGGGCCCCGGGGGTCTTGGTCCCTCTGAGGGGGCGGGTGGGGGGCCCCCAGGTTTGGGGGAGGGTCCTGATGGGGGCCCTGCAGGGCCCCCAGGCCCCCCTGCCCCACCAGGGGCCCCAGGGGCCCCCCATTTGTATAGGAAGGGAGAGGGGGGCCCCTTCGGGGACGGGTTTGAACGGCGGTGGTACTGCTTTGGGCCCTTTCTGGAGCCAGCAGAGGCCGTGGGGGGAGAGGAGACACTTGAGGAGGAGGGAGGAGACACTGAAGAAGAGACAGAGACAGATGCCAGCAGCACAGATTCAGCTTCAACAGACGCCACAGCAGAGACAAGCTACACTGCAACCACCAGCAGCACCACAGACACTCTACAAACCTCGAGAACCAACAGACCTGCTGCAAGACCCCCGCCGCTGCTGCAGCCCCCTGCTGCTGCTGCTGGCGCTGCTGCTGCTGCTGCTGGTGCTGGTGCCGCTGGGGGGCATTGGGGTGCGGGGCCCGTCAGCAGCCCCGCGCCTTCGCTCCAGAGGCCCTGTGGAGACTCTCCTGCTAGCGAAAGTTTGCAGCAGCAGCAACAGCAGCCGCAGCAGCCGTTGCTGCTGCAGCAAACCTCCAGCTCCCATCACGATCCTCTTACTGCAGCGCTTCATCACAGGAGACCTGCGGAGATGCCGCTGGCTGAACTTGGAGGAGACCGCAGCAGCACCCCACTGGCTTCTCCTGCTGAGCCACCTTGTGCTGCATCTGCTGCAGCAGAAGAAGAAGCAGCAGCGGCGGGAGCAGCAGCTGCGGCGGAAGCAGCAGCAGCAGCAGCGGGACCAGCAGCAGCAGCGGGAGCAGCAGCAGCAACAGCAGACGTGGGCCTGGCGGAGGCGGTCGAGGTGGCAGCGGCGGAAGCGGCAACTGCAGCAGCTCAAGCTGCAACTGCAGCAGCAGCAGCAGCCGCAGCAGACGCGGCAGCAGCAGCAGGGGAACCTCCCGGAAGTGTGGAGGCACAGCGGCTGCAGATGAAACATGAATTGATGGCAGAGGGGTCTCGCTTCCTTATAGACCTTATGCCCAAGTGTATATACACCTCAAGCGACATAATAGATGTGCTGCTTGAGAGCGGGGCAGCGAGGTACTTGGAGTTCAAGACCTGCGACGCAGCTGTACTGACAGCAGAGCTGCAGCAGCAGCAGCAGCAAGAAGACGCGGAGGTAGCTGTTGCAGCGCCGGTTGGCTCGCAGCAGCAGCAAGGGCGCGAGCAGCAGCAAGAGCAGGAGGAGCAGCAACACGACGGTGACCGCTCTGCTGCAGCTGCTTCAGTGGTTGTTGGGTTAAATGCATTCATTGCAGCTGAGGCTGCTGCTGCGGACATGCGCTCGAGGGCCCCCTTCGAGGGGGCCCCCCCGCGAGGGCGGGCCTCAGGGGGAGAGGGGGCCCCCGCTGCTGCACGAGATGCCTTAGGGGTGTCTCCGCTTATTGAAAAGATTGTGCTGGAGCCGACTCCTTTAAGCAAGAGCCATATATTTCATTTTGCTTCGCTGTCTCTTGCTGAGAGGAGAGCTCTCATGCGCTTTGTTGCTGCTGCGGGGGCCCCCCCTCCAACCACCGTCAGCGCCCCTTTTGCTTCTGCAGCCAACTGGAGGCCCCAGGGGGCCCCTGCTGCAGCGGCACGAAGCACAGCAGCAGATGCCGCTGCAACGACAGATACAGCAGCAACGAAAGCAGCAACTAACCGCGACGAAGGAGATTGCTGGGACTGCTACCTCGAGCAGCAAGGCTTGAACTCTCACCTGCGGCGGCTGCTGACTTATGGGGTGTGTCTCTGTGAAGAGCCCTTGCTGCCCGCGGCAGCCGCACCCCCAGCAGCAGCAGCAGCAGGAGCAGCAGCAGGAGCTGCAGCAGGAACAGCAAGGTGCAAGGGTGGACATGTTCGTCGTTGGAGTGTCTCAGAGGGGCAGAGCCGACTGCAGCTGTTTATTGCGGGCTGCGGTTTGTATGGCTGTAAGGGGGCCCCCTTACTGTACCCTCTTTACGGCTCTGGGGACCTGCCGCAGGCCTTCGTACGTGCAGCAGCTCTCAGTGGGGCCCTTTGCATGCTGGGGGCTGCGGTGGAGAGGCTGCAGTTCGTGGCTCCTCCCACACAGCAGCAGCAGCAGCAGCAAGTGCAGCAGCTGGAGCAAGAGCAGCAGCAAAACCAGCAGCAGGAGCAGCCGCAGAAAGAAAGCCAGCAGGAAGCCGAGACGGACGGGGAGGAAGACGCGGAGGAGCTGTCGTCGAAGCTGCAGCGCAGCAGCAGCAGCTTGGTGCTGCACTGCAGCAACGGCGAGCGGGTGCTTACAAAGCTGCTGCTGTATGAAGGCGGAGCCCTCCCTGCCCCCAACACAGAGCCCCTCATCTTGAGGAAACAGGCCCAAGCCTTCTACCGTTCGTGCTCCTCTGTCCAGCAGCAGCAGCAGCAGCAGCAACAGCAGCAGCAGCAACAACAACAGCAGGACCAGGACCAAGAACAGACGCAAGATAGTAGTAGCACAACTGAAATGGAAGGCAGCGGAGTGAACGCTACAGCAGCAGCCCCGACAGCAACAGCAGCAGCAGCTGAGGCAGCAGCAGCGGCTGGGCAGGCCGCTGCAGCGGCAACGCGAGCTAGCGAAACATCAACGAAGGCAAATGCCGTAGAAGATGCAGAACCGTCAGGAGGAGCAGCAACAGGCGCAGCAGCAGCAACAGCAACAGAAACAGGGGCCGCAGCAACAGCAACAGCGGCCGCAACAACAGCAGCAGCAGCAGCAACAGCAGGAGGCAGCAAGGAGATGGCAGTGGCCCCGTCGTGCTGCCGCCTGCTTGCAATATGTACAGAGCCTGTCTTAGGAGGTCCTGGCTTTAGAATGGGTGTTGTTGTCGCGCATGCAGCCTGCAGTGACACCCCACCGCGTGCTGCTGCTGCTGCTGAAGATTCCGGCAGCTCCAACAGCAGCACCAACACCAGCAGCAGCAGCAACAGCCACGCTGAGGCCGAGCTGCCCGTACATGTGCTGCAGACCGACTCAGCAAGTGCCGTTACCCCTAAGGGGTATTTCTTGCTGCACTTATCTCATGTTTGTTCTGCTGCAGTTCGTTGCTGCAGCGATTTTCCGCCTGGACAGCAGCTGCAGCAGCAGCAGCAGGTATTCCCTGCGGCTGCTTCCGCTGCCCCCGGTGCATGCGGCTGCTGCAGCAATGGGACGGGTCGTTTCCGTTGTATTGGGGGAGGGGTACAGGAGTCAGCAGCAGCACGGGGTGTACGTACAGCTACTTGCGGCTGCGGGGTTGATGTGCACTGCTGCTCCGTCCTGCTGCGGGTCCTGAGGGCTCTGTTGCGATCTGCAGGAGGCCTCCGTAGCTGCTACTTTCTCTGTTCGTTTCGGTATACTCAACATGTTGCTGCAGCAGCAGCAGCAGCAGCCGCAGCAGCATCTGCAATAGTGCCATTGCCTCTTCCTGCTGCACTGTCACAGCCTCAGCAGCAGTTGCAGCAGCAGCAGCAACAGCAGCAAGCCCAGTCAGATGCAGCCGCAGCAGCAACGGTGATGGCTGCAGCGAGTAACGGTGACGGAGCGGCTTTACCTGAAGATGCAGCAGCAGCAGCAGCAGCAGCAGAAGCTGGGGATGTTAAAGAGCAGGAGGAGGACCCCGAGTTGCTGCTGCTGGGGGCAGCAAAGACGAGGAGCAGCAGCGGGACGGTGCTTTCAACATCAGCAGCTCCGTGTGGGGTTTTGTCTCTTCCAGATGCTTGCGTGTCTCCTTGCTTCATGCTGCTGCAGGAGTGTGAGGGGGCGCGCCTAATGGTGCAGGAGCTGTTGCAGCAGCAGCTGCAGCCGCAGCAGCTGATAGGGAAGGGCCCCCAAGAGAGTATAGATGAAGGAGAAGGAGACACCACGAAGGGACTCGATGACACCCTGCAGCAACTCACCGATCTCTTGCAGGCGCAGCAGGAAGCAGCAGCAGCAACCCCACCCTAGTAACACATTACCCCCCACACAGCGCACAGACAAGAGCAAATCAATACAAATTAAATAAACGAAGGCCCTGCCAGCCTAGAGAGACAGATATATTCAGGTTGTTGTTGAGGCTCCTCCGTACTAGGGGCCCCCAAGCAGCCATTAAGGAAAGCAAGTTAAGTATGCATGCGTGGTACAGCTGAGATGTCTAAGGGCAGCAGCAGCAACAGCAGCAACAGCAGCTGCTGCAGCAGCTGCTGTAGCAGCACCGCTGCTGCTGCTGTGCCCACAGGAGGCAAAGGCCCGTAAACTTGCAGCTGCCTTCTTCTGTGAATGCATTTATGTAGATATCTCTTTATTTGTTTATTTTCATTTGCATTTATAGATGTATAGCGACGGCGCCTCCTGTAGATTATGCACAGATAAGGGAGCACAGACACCGCAACCTGCAGCTATTGCAGCTGCAGCAGCAGCAGCAGCTGCTGCTGCTGCTGCAGCTGCAGCTGAAGCTTTAGAGGCGTCTACTGGTGGCTGGCTATCTATGGTAGCTGCAGTAGCTAGCCAGAGCCACGTGTAGCTAGCTACAGCTAGCTGCGAGGCGCCGCGTTTGGAGGACTTACACACGGCACTGGAGCCTTTAAACAAAGGCTTCTTTTTAACTGTCTCCTTTTCTTGAGGGAGGGGACAGTGCTTGGGGCCAGCAGCAGCAGAGTGTTTCGATTAAGAAGACTACCTATAAACCCTACTAAACCCTAAACCCTAAACCCTACCGAATCCCTTGACCATAGATAGACCCTAGATTCTCTAGACGAACCGCTTAACCCTAAACCCTAAACCCTAGGGAAGCAGCAAGAAAAAGAGAAGCAAAACTCAGCAGCTGATAGAGGCCCGATCTCTGCAGATGGGGGCCCCCCCCCACCGCAATGGGTGGGCCCCTGAGGGGCCCCTAGTCTTCCTTCTGATGTTCGTTGTTACTGTTTCTTAGCTGCATTGAGCTTTGTTTTAATATATCCTTCGTTTTTTCTACTGAATGCCTCTTAATCTACTAGCTTGGGGGCCCCCCTGAGCGTCTCCTTTGCCTTCTGTGCCCTCTCAGGGGGCCCCCTCATTCTACTGGGCCCCACAGAGAGCTGCAGCATCTTCTAAGGGCTTTTATGGCTCTGGGGGCCCCTCTAAAGCCTAAATATTGCATTGGCTGCTGCTGAAGAGGCGCTGCCCTTAGGGGCCCCCGACGCGTAGCAGCACGGGGGGCCCCTGAGGGGCCCCTCCTCCGTGTACACCCCACGGCAGCAGTGTAGCAGCGCAGCAGCGCAGCAATGGAGACTCTAGATGGGGCCCTCCAACGCCATATGGGGGGCTCCCTAGGCCCCTGCGACGCCGCAGAAGCAGGAGAGACACCTAATGAGGAGGGCCTTAAAAGGAGCAGCAAAGGGCCCCACACAGCGCAGCAGCTAACTGTACCCAATGTCTCCTTTGCTGCAGTGGAGATACCAGGCAGGGCTAGCAAGCCGTAAGGCACTGATGCTGTTGTTGCTATTGCTGTTGCTACTGCTGCTGTTGCTGCTGCTCCTATTGCTGTTGCTGCTGCTACCGTGGATGGCTTATGCTGCTGCTGTTTGCTTGTTGCATTGCTGCAGAGAGACGGTGCTGCGTATATTGGGGGGCCCTGAGGCTGCCTCTCGGGGTGTGGCATTGGAAGAAGGCGGGGAGCCGTTGCTGCTCCGTTTAGGGTGCAGCAGCAACAGCAGCAGCAGCAGCAGCAGCAGGTGGGGGCATATCCTTGCCTCTCGTCAAAGTGCTGCAGGAATCCTCTTAAGAAGAAGAATCCGCAAATCTGGGGCGGTCGAATTCGCCCCCGTGGGGCGCGTCATGCAGCGCCACGTCTTTACAGGTACTGCCTGCTGCTGCTGCTGCTGCTGCTGTTGCTGTGCTGCTGTGCTGCTGCTGCTGCTGCTAGTGGGGGTTGCAGGAAGGCTACAGGGAAGGGGGTAGTGGAAGGGGGCAGAAATAGCAACACTTAGACCCTGAAGCTGTGGCCGCTGCAGCCAGCAGCTGCTGTTGCTTCTGCTTTTGTGGCTGCTGCTACTGCTGCTACTGCTGCTGTTGCTAGCGCTGCTGCTGCTAGTGATGCTGCACTGCTTTCAGGCCTTGCGGACTTTTACTTCATCCCTCCCCCGGGGCACCGCGGCGAGGAGACACTGGAGTCGCAGGTGGTGGCTGAAGCGCAGCGCGCATGCAGCAGCAGCAGCAGCAGCAGCAGCTCCCAGGGGTCCCCTTATATACCCCCGCCCTTCTTCTGCAAGGGGCAGGCGCCATTCCCATATAAAGTTGAAGCCCCAGTGCCCCCTGCCTTTGCTGCAGAGGCCTTTATAACGGGAGACACGCAGCAGAAACAGCAGCAGCAGCAACAGCTGCAGCAGCACAAGCGTCAGCGCATACAGCAGCAGCAAGAGCAGCAACTGCAGCAAGACCAGCAGCACCAAGAAGAGCAGCTCTCCGGAGAGCAGCAGCAGCAGCAGTTGGATGGCGGCCGGCGCCACAGCAGCAGCAGCACAGCTTCTGCAGTGCAGCCTGCAGCAACAGATGCAGCAGCAGATGCAGCAGCAGATGCAGCAGCAGATGCAGCAGCAGATGCTGCAGCAGGTAAAGCTGCAGCAGCTACACCAACAGTAACAGCAAACGGAACAGAAGAAGAAGCAGCATCATTTTCGACTGGGGGAGACAGCGTTGGCCTGTCAGTTGCTGCAAAGGCAGCAGCAGCACGTGCAGCAGCAGCAAAAGGAAATCGAACCCCCCGCTTCCTCCCTTCCCTCTCAGCAAGAGCAGCAGCAACAAAAGCAGCAGCAGCAACAGCAGACGCAGCAGACGCCAAATCACCCGAGAAGCAAACCCCTGCAGCAGCAACACCAGCCGCGGCAGCAGCAGCTACTGCTGCTCCAGCCCCAAATGCAGAAGCGTATGCTCGAGAGGCCCCATCTGAAGAGGAAGATGCTGCTGCTGCAGCAGCAACTGCTGCTGCTGCAGTTGCTGCTGCAGCTGAAGGAAAGGGCGCGACGGAAGCAGCAGCTTCAAACCCTTCAGCACCTACGAAGGATGGAGCAGCCGACGCTGCTGCTGTTGTAAACTCCACTGCAGCAACGGCAGCGGCTAGCAGCAGCAGCAGCAGCAGCAGCAAGGACGAAAGCTCTGCGTTTAACGCCGTTGGCCGCATAGGCGATGAACAGCTGCCCGTGGCGCCCCCGCCTGCAGCATCAAAGGCATTTGCAGGTGCCTCTCTTACATTCCTCTTCCTGCTGCTGCTGCTGCTGCTGCTGCTGCTGCTGCTGCTGCTGCTGCTGCTGCTGCTGTTGCTGTTGCTGCCTGCAGTGGTCATGGTCTTCCTGTTGCCAGTACTGTTGTTGCAGCTGCCGCTGCCGCTGCTGCTGCTGCTGCTGCTGCCCGTTTCAGTGCTTCTGGTGTCTTTAGCTGCTATTGCTGCTGCTGGGTCTGATGGTGCTGCTGCTGCAGCAACAGCAGCAAGCGGGTGTGCATCACGAGTGTGTTGTAACGATGTGTTGCTGCTTCAGCGGCTGCTGCTGTTGCTGCTGCTGCACGGCGTGTGTTTGCATGCGGTTATTTGGTTGCTGCTGCAGATGGCGATTTGCTGCTGCTGCTGACGGAGCTGCTGCAGAGACAGCCCGTGTGGCTGCGGTCTTCTCTTGACTCGCAGCTGCCCCGTTCATACACTGCATGGAGGAAGAAGCCTGCATATGCCAAGACCTGCTTTCTATTCGCAGGTGCTGCTGCTGCTACTGCTGCTGCTGCTACTGCTCGTGCTGCTGCTGTTCGTGCTGCTGCTGTTGTTGCTTCTTGTGCTGCTGCTTCACGTGTCGTGTGCTGATGCTGGTCGTGCTGCTGCTTGCTGTGCTGCTGCTGCTCGTGCTGCTGCTACGCGGGCTGCTGACAAGGGGAGAAGAGGCCCCCGCCGGCTGGCGAGCTCACCAGCAACAGCAACAGCAGCAACAGTGCAGCAACCGCAGCAGCTACAGATGCAGCAGCAGCGCCAGCAACTGCAACAACAGCAGCAACAGCATCCGCAAGAGCAGCAACGAGCAGCAACGAGCAGCAACAAGAGCAGCAGCAACAGCAGCAGCAGCAACAGCACTGCGTGCGTGTGTGCGTCTTGTGTGGCTTTAGATGGGCCCTTTCGCGGGTGCCTCTGCCGCCTTGGATACGACCCTCGAAGAGACCCTGAAAGCCGTCACTATCAGGTGCCTTAAACCCTAAACCCTAAACCCTCAACCCTAAATCATCGAGCTTCTTAAGCTTTAGGGTTTAGAGCCGTGAGAAATCAACATTGTGGCTTAGGGTTTAGGGTTTAGGGTTTAGGGTTTAGGGTTTAGGGTTTGTATGGGTGCACAGACCATCGACTTCAGGGATCCTTTCTTCAGAGCCACCCACTGGAAGGCCGCCGCTGCAGCAGGGGCCCCTGCTCCAGGCTCGAGACAGCAGCAGCGAGGTATAAGAGAATGAAGAGATTCTGCTGCTTCTCTGCTGCAGAGACAGCAGTTGTCTCCCTCCTACCCCATGCATGCTAACAGGATCAGCGGGGGCACAGTAGCCGCAGTTGCAGCAGCAGTAGCTGTAACAGGAGTAGGAGCTGCTGCAACAGCAGCAGCAGAAGCAGCAGGAGTAGCAGCAACAGCAGCAGCAGCAGCAGCAGCAGGAGTGCTGTGGTGTTCTGTGGCTTCTGTCTCCTTGCATGCAGAAGATGCATTTCTTGTTCCTCCTTCTCGCCCCTCCCAGGTGTATCAACTCTGCGCTATTCAAGACCCCGACATTCGCCAGCTGCTGCAGGAGGCCCCTGTGCTGCCGGCCTTCAGCAACGAGACAGGTGCTGCCTCGTGCTGCTGCTGCTGCTGGCGGGATCGCTGTTGCTGCCTTCAGTGTTATTGCCGCTCTTTTTCCGCTGTTGCTGCTGCTACTGCAACTTCTGCTCCTGCTGCTGCAGGAGTTGCTGCTGCTGCTGCTGCCGCGTTGCGTGCTGCTGCTGCTGCTGCTGCGGAAAGTGAAGAGACATTGATAGCAGCCTCCTGGAGTTGTTTATTTCTGCAGGGTGGCATCATAAGGAGACTCTGAAGACGCTTCGCGCTCTCATGGCCCTTAAAAGCAGACGCATGCGCGCGGCGGAAGGCGAGCAGCAGCAGCAGCAGCCAGGGGATTAGAATCGTTTAGCTGCGGTTCTGTGCCTTCTGACTTCTCTCCACATCTGTATAACACTGCCTCTTGAGCTCCAACGCAATGCAGCTAACGCAACAGCAACAGCAGCAGCAGCAGTAACAGCAGCACCAGCAGCAGCAGTAAACGCAGCAACAGAAGCAGTAACTGCAGCAGTAACAGCAGCCGCTGCTTTCTGAAGGCATCATCTGCTGCATGCACATAAAGCAGAGACTTCGTATTTAGGCTGAGCAGGCCTTAGTGGAAGGTCGAGGCAGCAACAGCAGCAGCAGCTGCTGCTGCTGCAGCTCTTCTGATGGCGCGCCGCAGCAAAGGCTGCCTCAATCAACCTTTAAGGGGACTGTCTCCTGTCTCTTTTGCTTTGCGCTCATGCCGAGGCAAAGGAGACAGGAGAAGACAAAGATGGGCGCCCCCAATGCATGATGCATTCAAGCCTTTTAATGCATGCAAGTATGCATGCACACAGACGCATGCATGCATGCCTACATCGCATGCATGCATAGGCCCCCGCTCCTCGCCGCGCGAGGCGGGCTGGCCGTGGAGCAGCAAAAGTGCTGCATAACTGTCTCCTTGAGGCTGAGTGTCTCCTTTTGTTTACGAGGCGCAGATCAGCAGTATTCTCCCGCTGATGTCTCCATAGACATCAACAGCACCAGAGGAAGCATACAGTCCTTAAGCCCAGTTGGCTAGCTAGCTAACTAGGAAGCTAGTCAGCTAGCTATGAAGTTAGCTGGCTATACATGGAGCTAGCTCGCTAGCTAAGAAGCTACCTAGGTAGGAGGCTAGCTAGCTAGCTAGGAAGCTGGGTAGCTGGCTAGGATGCTGGCTAGCTAGCTGGGAAGTTAGCTAGATAGACGTGAAGCTAGCTAGCTGTCTAGCAAGCTAGCTAGGAAGCTAGTCAGCTAGCGCATCCGTCTGGACCTGAATAGCTAGGTGTGTAACCCCTTGACTGGTCGGGCTAGCGCTAGCTAGCTAGACAGCTAGGCTCGTGCGTACTGCGGCAGTTTGCTCTGTCGCCAGCTAACTAGCTAGCTAGCTAGCTAGCTAGTTAGTTAGCTAGCTAGCTGGTGAGGTGACTAGGTGAGGGACTCAGCGCGTGGCGGGTGTTGCCGTTAGAACTGAAAAGGATGTTAGGAAAGGCCGCACACCAGCGCCACGAAGAAATGGTTGAGCGCTGGCAGCAGCAGAGAAGAGACAGCAGGAAGGAGCCAAGTAGAAAGGGGACAGTAGAAAGGAGACAATGCGGAGCCTCAGAAGCCCTGCGAGAGAAGCCGAAGGCCCTCTGCGAACCCATGGCTACGCTGGAGGCCCAGGTGTACATGCACTTCAGTTATACTAAGCGCGCAGCCAGACCCTCCACCACTGCCTCTAAAGGCCCCCAGCCCTTATAAACCCTAAACCCTAAACCCTAAACCCTGCAGCGCGGTCCTCCACCTTTTGTTTGTGCGCTGTCTCTAGGGTCACGCGGCGAGATACTGCTGCACAAGCTGAGAAGCCCTAACCCTTCACAAGGGTCTGCATCTTAGCATCTTAGGCCTCTCAGCAGCAGCAGGAGCAGAAGCAGCAGCAACTCAAGGAGAGGGGCTCGGGGGGTCTGAGCCCGTGGCTACGCCCTTTTCTTTTCCCCATTACCGCCTCAGCCTTCAGTACTAGCGTCTGTTGCCACTTCTTCTGCATGCATGCGTACCTGCATGCATGCATGCACACCTTGGTGCATGCATGCATGCATGAATACTGCGACGGAGAAGGCGGCGTTATGCAGTGTACACGATGATAGACGGGGCGTGGGGCGTGGGTGCATAGAGCGCAGCATAATAGGGTAAAAGACCTTGAAGAAAGGACAGATCTGTCAATGTTTAGGTGTATGCTGATGTCTGCGCTTATGAGGCATCAACTCCAGAGCCTTGCTGCTGCGGCTGCGTTTCTACAAGATCTAATTCATAGTCTTCTGAAGCTGCAGGGAAGCCGTGCGTCAGCACATAAGCAATGAGCATAAAAACGCCGAAGAAGATACATATCTTTAGAAGAGGCGACATCTCTCTATTTATCTTAGTCAGTGTTGCTCGAGTAGGCAAGAAGGTGGGGCCCACTGTTTGGTGTTGTAGGTGCGGTAAGTTGTCCATTATATCGTCTGGTACATTAAAGGGGAAGTCTTCGTCCTCATCTTCATCTGATGCATCTGCTGCTGGTCTTGCTGCTGGTGCTGCTGGTGCTGCTGGTGCTGCTGGTGCTGCTGGTGTTTCTTCTGGTCGTTCCTCAACTTCTTCAGTTGCGACATCATCCTCTACTAATACAGCTGCAGGCGCCTCTGCTGCAGCAGCATATGCATAGCCTCCTTCAGAGAGCAGCAGCTGCAGCTGCAGCAACAGCAGCACTGCCGCCGCAGCAGATCTCAACGCCCATACCATTGCACTCACCGTCTCTGCACAAAGGTAAATGCTGCAGCTTAGCTACAGCCTATTGTTCCCGGTGCTTGCGTACTTGCTGCTGCTGCTTGTAGCTAAGAAAAGCGAAGAAAACCCCCTTCGCTGATAACAAATCAACTAGCTTATAATTAAACAAAAAAAAAGATTAAAACACCTCTCAATTGAAGCCACAAACCTGCAGCTAAATACCCTATTGCAGTCTTTCCCCAGCATGCGCCCCGTTCCCAGCCCCCGATCCCAACTACCCCACGAGTAGAGTTCTCCTTACAAACGAGGATAAGAGGTAGGCGCATAATCTAATAGCCTAAAGAATATAAAAATATATAAATTAAATTACTTTACTATTGCTTTTTAAAACGCTTTCAATAATACTCTTTACTGCGGCTCCATTGACCCAGCCCAGCCTCAGTAGCGAAGCTGCCTTTTTCTATCAGCCCTACTACTGGCTTAAGAAAGAAGCAGCAGAGGTATTAACAGTCTTCGTCTCTCACGGAGTATTTTCTCTATCTGCAAGAATAATGAAATACATTTAGATAAGCATTTCAACAAAACAATGTAGCTCAGCTTTACGCTGTATGCGCCCCTCGCACTGGGGCCTGTTTATAGTAGACTGTAGCATAGGCTTAAAGAAGATAATATTTGAATATTTCGTTGGGTATATGAGGCTTCATTCACTCAAGAACAAGAATGCTTCTTTTTTACAGCCTTCTTTTAGGTATCAAAGGGGCATTTAACTCTGATTGCATGCACAAGCGCCTTATAGAATGAGTTGCAGGGAGCGGCGCTCCTACTCGTCTCAGTCTGTCTCCTCTCTTCAGCTACGGGGCCTTCTGCTGCTATACCCAGGACGTATGGAGGCAGGAAAGGAGACAATATGCTGCATTTTAATTACTTTCTTTCACTTTCATTCTTTTGAATCGGCTGCAACTCATTACGACAGCTCTAGGGGACTCTCATTACAAGAGTTGAAACGAGAGTGCCCAATCTTATCTATCTATATATATCTATCTATCTACATATATCTATTTATCTATCTATATCTATCTATCTATATCTATATCTATCTACCTATCGATATCTATCTTTGTCTATGTATCTATCCATATATAGCTAGCTATCTATATCTATCTATCTATATCTATTTATTCGTTTATTTATTTATATATTTATTTATTTATCTATCTATCTAAAGGGCTATCCTAAGCTGCAATAGATTCAAAGTACTTTAGGCAGGATTCCATAGAAGGCAGTCTCCTCGGTACAGCAGGGCAAGGACCCTGGGGCTAGGGTTGGGGGAGATAGGAGACAGCCTGAAATGAGTGAGTTTCAGCGAATCTCGCTGCAACAACTGCTGCAATGCAATGTTGAATACAACAACAGCCAAGCCCCATCGTCTTATGCATGCAGTCATACTGCTGACAGCTGTGGAACACTTACTGGGCCCTTTGTAGGCCGCATGCACGCAAGTGCATGGAAGTGCATGCACCAACCAAGCACACACAGGCCTTGCTACAATGGTTTGTGTGGAGCTAGTAGGGTAATTCTACTTGCATATACACTGAATATCGAGGGGGAAGTGACTGTTTGGCAGCTTCTTCTCCGATGTCTGTCCAAATATGCTGCTTGTCAACCCTAAAGAGTTGACCGGAAAGCGAATAGGCAGATGAAGATACGGTAGTACGATGCTAGGCCGGTAACCTTTTGAATCTCAGTGCAACTGTATGGGGAAAGTATCCATCTCTAAATGAACTGTACCTTCGTCAGATCTGGTTCGACTCCTGCTGCAGAGCTACGAAGCCCAAGACACACATACACACACACACACACACACACACACACACACACACACACACACACACACACGCACACACACTTGTGGGTATTGGCGCGCCACTGATTTTGACTGCGATGCGGTGTATTGGATCTCCAGTCTGGTATATCCTTGCTATTCACTACATCGATGAACTTGCAGTGTGCTTACTTCTGTTTTGGGTGTAGAATGGATCGAGTAATCTTGAAGATTCATGAGATCCCCTCGAAGAGTTGCATGCAGTTCTCCGTCGTTTTGGGCTCCTCTTCCCCAGTGAGTCTATGCTCCTTTTCTCCTTTCTTCTTGAGACTCTTCCTACCTTAACATAGAGGGTAGTAATGCTATTAGGAGCGCTGAGAGGCATACTACCTCATTGTTTTTGGGAAGATAGACCTCAACAGTCTCTTCTAGAGGTCGCATGCGGGTCCTCCACCGAGTCTCTCAAGGAATCCTTAAGATTCTTTTGTGGTGAGCTGGTCCAATGCAGAAGCCAAATCTCATAGTAGTACAACCCATTTCTGAAATAAGCGCGCCTTTTATGCCCATACTTTAGTTGATTGTGGTCTTATGCCTGCCCTCTCTGAAGCGTAGTCGCTGGGCCTGCGCCTGCGAATAGACGGGTAGGTTGAAGCACCTAACCATAGCTTATGCTCTCAGATCAGCTTCGCTGCACGCGCCAAGTAGTGCTAGCAACTCCTGACCATTAATACAGACTCGGATAAACGTAGATGAAGAGTTGACTCGTTCACCTGGATACGTATTGGAAATGGGAATTTGATTGATATAGCATGCAGCTTGTTTATTATTATGCCCTGTTCATTGGTAACGCGTGACCGTGAACATGGTGGAGTAGAGACCCGTGATGCATATCAGCAGTGCATGAGACCCAGTTGCAAAGGAAGCGCTTGCTGATGGGCGGAAAATGCCTGCGACGCCAACATCTGCGGCGTTTCAAAGAACTTTTGGAGACGACGGATCAGCACTGTGGGTTCTTTTCTGATAAAGCTCCTAAATGCTATCACATCAAGTGCACCGTACATGCGCATGCGAAGGTTCCTTGAAACTTATTCCACGCCAAAGATTACGCAGATGTGAAGGACCTAGGAAGAGCGCGGGCGTATGAAGACCTCGTTCAACCAAAGCGGGGAGAAGGGGTAAGGCGGGCGCAACTTCTGGAGGACTCCGCAGATGCAACAAATATCAAAGGGCTCCCAGCTGGTTAGCCACCTGCCGAACCCCCCGCGCAGCATCGAACTCATTCACAGTGCACTTACAAGCCATTTTTGAATGACTGCTGCAAGCTCAAGTAAATCTAATGTTACTGTGAGTTCCGTTGAGCTCTGGGTTTGAGAATCTGCTAGTAATTTCCAAACACCTGCCTTATCCTGGGTGAAGTAGCAAATGCTTTGCCTATGATACAGGACTTACTTGAGTGACAGCATCCACTATACAAGCAATCTCTGCAAGAATTTCTGTTGTGGCTGAGAGATTACTTTCGGGGTACAACGAAAACGCAAGCTGGAACTGGCATTAAGCGCAGGAGTTACTAAGAACCTGTATATATCAGTCAACACCACTCAATGCATACTTGCTGACAGACCCCAGATCGACACCCACATAGGCACCCATCAGCATGCTCTGTGCACACTTTGTAAAGTTGGGTTCTAGCTAGTGCTCTTGTTAGAAAAATACGCAGCGACTACACCCAGCAGCAATGAACGGAATACATAGACGGTATCAAAAGAGAAGAAACCCATTTGTATAACTACGAGCAAAACATCCAGGGGAACTGAATATGCTTTTGCCTTCGATATGGCCTAGAAAGGGCAACGAGATAGGCTAAGAGATCAGAAAGAGTGAACTCAGCCAACAGCTCTCCGCATTCTCAGAAGCAAAGGAATTGAAGTGTAGGGAGGCAGGCCTAACTAGGAAGCACTTCCCTTATGCTTCAGAGACACAGACGATTGCAGCGTAGTTTAGGGGCTCAGCTCTCCGACCGTGTGTGCTTTGAATGGCGGCGACAAAAGATAACCGCAAGACAAAGCTCTGAATAGACATTTATATTTCTGCCACCTCCAGCTTATGCATTTCAGTGACCCAGAGAACAAATATGCAACGAGACGACTAAGCCCTTGCAGAGTTTGCATGCACAATGGAGAGCCCCAGCCACGAACTCAGTTCTCTTTTGAGAGGTACAGGTGACTGTGCTTCGCCCGCTAGCTCAAAGGCACCGGCCGCTTTGAGCTCAAGGCCTCGAGCAAGCCTTTACTTACACACTTGAGTGCGGGAGGTTTTGACGTATCAGCAAAGGAAATGCTAAATGAACCTTTTTGGCGTATTCACACTAGTGAAGCGGATCGGTGGTACAAAAGCACTGCTAGCAGTAGCTACCTAGCTAGCTAGCTGGATGGCTAGCTAGCTAGCGGGATGGCTAGCGAGCTAAATACAACGTGCATGGAGAGGCCTACCCAGCTACCTAGCGACCTGGGCTGCATTGAGCAAGCCATGGCCTTCTTGAGTGACTGAGTAGGTAGCGGGCTAGCTAGCTAGCTAGCTAGCCAGCTAGCATGCAGGAGATGAGGTGCCTCTACAGAAGAGATGCTTTGCGGGGTGTTCCCTTCTGCGAGGGCCCGGCAAGTGTGTTAGGCCAAAGAGTCAATAGTCAAGACAACGCTCTACTTCGCTTTTGAAATAAGAGACAAAATATATACAATGACAGGAACAGAGACAAAGACACAGACAGTAGCACAGCCTTGCATTAGGCCTTTCCGTACCCGAGGCCCCAGGCTAACTGCCAGAGACTCTCGCACCTTGAAGAGATACAAGCGCTGGCTCACCCGTGCAATGTGGAGCAGCAGCAGCAGCATCTGCTGCTGCTGCTGCTGCTGCTGCTGCCAATGGTCACTCTCCTAGGATCCAGTAGCCGTGGCCAACGGGGCATTTGTAGTATTTGCCTGAGACAAGGAAGAAAGACACCTCAATCGCAAGGAAAATTTGTCTGTCTTCCCTTTCTTATTGCTGCTGCTGCTGCTGTTGCTCTTGCTGCTCCTACTTCCGCCGCAGCAGCTGCTGCTAATGGGGGTAGCAACCTTGTGGTGCTAGCTCTGCGATAGAGCGCGAAAAAGGCACTTAAAATGAAGAAGCATTATTCTAGGAGATATCTGCAGTGACCAAGGCATCTAGCGTTAAGCCCCAAACGAAGGAGAATTTGGGGTTTAGGGTTTAGGGTTTAGGGTTTGTGGGTGTTGGGCTTACCGGAGGGGACGTCAAAGTAGCCAATGAGTTGAGAGGAGAAGAGGCCCCCTGTGGGGTTAGGAAAGCCTGAAGAGACTATCTCTTCTGTGCGGCTGGTGATTTCAGGTGTATGTACAAGCCCTTGTGGCTGCTTCGAGCGGCTGCGGGAGACACCGAGAGTAAAGTCTCCTTCAGAGATAACACTCAGCAGCTTCCCTCCCACGGAGACAGCTAAACGCAGCATGCGGCAGTATACCCTCATAGGGACCTGCGAGCAGCAGAGGAGGAGGTCGCTGTATACAGAGGCAAATAAACAAGGAGACACTTAGATACAGAGGAGGAGACAGCAGTTCTAAGAGAAAAAGGAGCAAGCGCGTACACTGATACAGACAAAGACAAGAAAACAGTGCAGACAAACAACTACTAAAAAGCAGGCCAAAGAGAAGCATAACCCAGATAAATAGGGTACGCTTACAGACAAAGACAGAGCAAGTTAGTAACCGAAGCGGAGACAGCAGAGGAGACAGACACTCAGAGAAAAGGAGACTGCGAGGTGAAGGAGACAGTGAACAACAAGAAAGGGGAGACAAAGACAGAGATAGAGACAAACACAAAGACAAAGACAGAGAAAGAGACAAAGGCAGACAGAGAGGCAAGCGGGTAAAGGGATACTGCCAGAGAGGTGAAGACGAAGACGCAGAAGAGACAGAGACAGGAGTAGAAGTAAATGGAGACAAAAAAAGCAACAGAGACAGAGACAAAGGCAGCGGCCAATGGAGAAAGAGACAAAAACTAAAGGAGACAGAGACAGGAACAAGAGCATTAGGAGGAGACTATGCAGGAGACAAGTAAAGAGAGAGAGAGAAGGGTAAAGAAACGAAGTGCACGCACCTTGTCGCTGTTGAGGCTGTGTAGGAGTTTGTATTGGTGGAGCTCTTTGGGGGGTATAAAGGGACAAACTTTGAGTGTCTCGTGGATGTTGCTTAGATTGGGGGCTTTAGGAGTAACAGAATAAGGCTGAGGCGGCTGGTGTACATACACCTGAACATTCTTCTCGGCAATATCTCGCGGTGTCTGCCCAAATATCATTGCCTTCCCTATTACTAATGAAAACCCATGGGGGCTTCCTTCACTCGTAAACACTCGCGAAGTAGGGAAGTCGGCGAACAATGCAAACAAACCCCAAGGATAAAACTGAACCTAAACACCCCAAACAGCAGCAGCAGCAGCAGAAGCGGCAGTAGCAGCAGCAGCAGCAGCAGCAACAGCAGTAGCAGTGGGAGCAGTAGCAACAGCAGTAGCAACGCCAGCAACAACAGCAGCAGCAGGAGCAGTAGCAGCAACGGCAGTAGCAGCAGAAGCAGCACCGACAGCAGTTGCAGCAACAACAGCAGCAACAGCAGTAGCAGCGGCAGGAGCAGCAGCAGCAGCAGCAGCGGGAGAGGCTCAAAGCTCGGAGCAGCGAACAGGGCACTTAGGGCATTAAATAGTGCAGACACCCTAAAGAGTGGTTATAAACCTTTTCACTGTCTTGTCTAGAACACGCGGGTTGGGGATGGGTTTAGGGTTTAGGGTTTAGTGTTTAGAGTTTAGGGTTTTAGCAAAGCCATGTGAGCTTGGAGTCCAGACACCGGCCCATAAACCCTAAACACTAAACCCTGAACCCTGAACCCTAAACCCTAAACCCTCAGCTGAAGCAGCAGATTTACCTGTTTAATTTTGCGAGTGAAGAGGCCTGAGGAGACAGCGACAAGAGGAGACTGGAAGGCAGAGGAGCGGGAGACAGAGACAGCAGAAGTGAAGGGCCAGGAGGGGACAACTACGTGGCCGTATGGATGCACACAAACAGCAGAGGCCCCCATGAAGCTGCTGCAGCGGCTCAGACGACAGCGAAGGATGCGGTGGGGAGGCACGCGTGTCCCTTGCTGCTGCAGCTGCCGCTGATTCTCTAAAGACCCCCTTAATGCAGCAGCAGCAGCAGCTGCTGCTTCAATGTCTTCCGCAAGCACAGCCTGCCCACCGCCCTCCGTTGTAGAGAGACAGCTGTTAGCAGCAGCAGCAGCAGCAGCAGCAGCACGAGCTGCAGCTGCAGCTCCTGCTGCAGCAGCAGGAGCAGCACGAGCTGCTTGCACAGCCTGAGGGAAGGTAGAGTGTCTCCCTTCAACAAGTGAGGGGGTACCTGGTGTCCCCCTTGCTCCGGTGCCGGGTAGCCTCAGTAGAATTATGTCTCCGTCTTCATCTTCATCTTGTTGTTTTTCTTTTTCTTTTTCTCCCCCCTTTGTTCCCCCTCTATCTATATCTTTGTCTTCGTCTTTATCTTTATCTTTATCTCTATCTCTATCTTTATCTTTATCTTTGTCTTTGTCTTTATCTTTAGCTTTAACTTCTTCTTCTTCTTCATTATCTTCTTCATCGGTGGAGTCCCAACGCTCATAGAAATTGTTTGTTCTTTTCTCCCACTGTACGCAAGTCCAGGGGACACCGCTGAGGTGTATCTCCAGGTAGTCAGAAGAGTTGAGCAGCAGCAGCCACTGCAGCTCGTCTACCCGGAAGGCTGTGGGGCCCCACAGCGGCATCAGGCTGAACTCAGCAGCAAACTGAACATGAGGGTAACGACACCCATCAACACTCAGCAGCAGCTTCCCCTGTCTTCTATCCACAGCCAGATGAAAGGGGCGGCAGCTGAAGTACTCAATGCCGTTTATATCAGCACCGCAAGTACCCTCCGCTGACGTCTCCCTTAGGCGCCCCTCCAGGGGCCCCCCAGGGGGCCCCTCGGGGGGCCCCTTGGAGGGGGTCTCCGAATGTCCCCCCTTAGCCCCTGTCTGCCCTGATATAAAACCTGAGGCCAAGCCAGAAGAATCCGAAGGACTGACGGGGGCCCCCTTGTACCCATCGCTGCAGGGGGAGGCCCCCAGGGGGGCCCCCAACGCCTCGTGGAGGCCTTGCACCGAATCCCCGCCAGGCGCATGCGAAGAAGAAGAAGCCGGAGAATGCTGCTGCTGCTGCTGCTGTTGCTGCTGTCCATGCTGCTGCAGGTGTTGCAGCTGAGGTGGCCGCAGCCGAGGCCCACTGAGGTCAAGGCTCGGCGCTGCAGCGGAGGAAGCCCCACCGTTTTGGGGTGTACGTACAGCTGGAGACTTTGGAGCGGAGGTGTTAGAGGGACTGACCTGCACCTTCGGGGGAGAAGAAAAGATGTTCATTCTTCCTGCTATGGATCCCCATCCCGCTGATGCAGCAGCAGAAGCAGCCGCTGCAGCTGCAGCAGCAACAGCTGCAGCAGCCCCTGCTTGCGCTCCCTTCAGGAGGGCCCTTGGGTCTAGATCTGATGTTGGGGATGCCTCCCCAGTCCCCTCTTCTTGCCACTTCTTTAATTGCTGCTGCCACCCAAAGGCGTCTGCGTAGTGTTCCTTTTGGGGTCTTCTAAGGGGCCCCCCTGTTTGGAGGGCCGATGTGAGGACTGTGTTTGCTGCTGCTGTTGCTGCTGCTACTGCTGCTGCTGCTGCTGCTTCGCTCTGCTCAACGTACGGCTTCAAGCACTCTGGGGGGGAGTGTAAACGCTGCAATCTCCTGAGGCATGAGGTCTTTCTTTCGCGCCAAGGTAGGGGCCCCAGGGCCCCCCGATCATCGGGGTGTATAGGGTATACCCCATGGAACTCATCTACCCAGGCGTCTGTACACCAGAAGAATAGAGGGAGATATATAGGGCCGCAAGGTATACACCAGTAAGCGCTGTCTGCAAGGAGACGGACGAGGGTCTGCAGCACAAAGGCAGGCCCGCTACGGTGCAGGGGACTGTCTCCTTTCAGGTGACTGATAAGTGCAGCAAACCCCTCAGCCTCTCTTGGAAGTAGCTTAATAGCCCCACATGTAGAACGCCGGGGGTGTGCAGGCTGGGGACAGTGAGCGTTGGGGCCCTCTTGCTGGGGGCCCCCTTGATGGGGGCTCCTTAAGGGCCCCTCTGTCCCCCTCTCAGTGGCCTCTACAAGACGAGCCAAGAAAGAATCTCTCACTCTCTCCTCCTGCAGCACAGAGCGAGGAAGAGACACCCGGAGTCCCTCCAATGCAAAGACAACATCCGAAGAGGCATTATTTGCGTATGAGAGATGTAGAGAGGGGTTTACGGTCTCAGTATTATTATCTGCACCAAATGAAGAAGAGCTATGCGCTGCATTCCCCAAGCCTGAAGCAGAAGACATAAAAGAAGACTCCGCAGCAGTAGCAGCAGCAGCTGCTGCTGCAGCACGTACAGGGGCCCCCAAACAAGTAGAACCCGAAGCACCATTTAGGGGGCCCCTGGAGTTCTGTGCCACCGAAGCTTGCGGAATGAAGGAGGCCGCAGGGGCCCCAAATGATGGGGACTGAGAAGCAGGGGCCCCAGAAGAGGGGGCCCCACAGGGAGCAGCCCCAGTAAAGGAGGTCTCAAGGGGCAAGGCAGCAGATATAGGGGCCCCTAGAGGAGGGAGGAGACGAATGGCTGTTGGGGGCCCACAGGCTCCCAGGGCTGTTGCTGCCTGCGAAGAAGAAGGGGCCCCCTCGTGCTGCTGCTGGGGGCATTGGTGTTCTGCTGTGCTGCACGGCTGTGGCGTCATCTCCTTCGGGCCCTATTGTGTGTTCAGCGACGAAGACAGAAGGAGACAGGAGGAGACAGGAGGAGACAGAAGGAGACACAAGGAGACAGTTAAAGGCCCTCTGGGCTCCAAATAACAGACAATTATACCCACCGCTGCTGCGCTGCAGAGCAGCGGGGGCCGACACCGCGGAGACAGCAGGCGTATGGAGGTCTGTTTTCACTGCATTTGCGGGTGTAAACGATAATAAATATCATTTATTTATTTAATAAATAATTATATTTACATAAAAATAAACAAAACCGAGACAATTGCTGAGGCGCAGCCTCCAACTGTACAGACACCTGAACCACCGCAGCAGAGCCCCATGACCAGTGGTCACCTGCAGGGTGTAGGAGAGTTCTCTCTGTTGTTTCTTTTATTGAAATCTTTGAATAAATATTATCTTTAATTTAATATAACTCTTAAAAACACCTAAAGATAGGGTTTAACCCTCAGTCAGCCCCCCCACTACTACCCCAACGTAACAATGAACAAACACAAGGTGGGAGATCCCTAGAGATAGAGACAGCAGATATTAAAGAAAAGAGACACTTGAGAGGAATAGGAAGCCCCCATTCATGTTTCTGTCTCTACACCCCACTCCCCTGTACCCAAGAAGTTCCTCTAGGCTGCCTCTGTCTCCTTCTCCCTTGGGGGCCCCGTGCAGCTGCTATGTCAGTCTGGGCCCCTCAGCCCCGTACAGCTTCGGGGCCCCACATGCCCCTAACTAAAGCCTCATGGGGAGGGTGAAGGGGAACTCAGGCAGCTCAGCTAATGCATCAATTAAGCTAAGAGATCAACTGTCTCCCACCCTCTGAGAAGGGACCGACAGGAAGACAGACAGAGAAAGACAGAGACAGAGAAAAAGAAAGAGACAGACAGAGACACCCTGCACCTCTGTGGTCTATGGCCTCTACAACTAAAAAGGGGCTCCCCTCTTAACCCCTAATAAACACCAACACCACCGCTGCACAAACGGCTAAGTCAGAGACAGCCAACACACGATAGTAAGGCCCAGTTGCTCCCCAGCAATACGAAAAGAGACAGCCCCCCTACAAAGAAGGAGACAGAGAGTTCAAGAGAGAAACACAGACAAGGAAAGAGAAAGCACACAGAGACAGAATAAGAAGACAACACACGGAAACGGAGACAAAGGCAGAGATAGCTCTAATCCATCTTAAATAGCCCTTTTAAATGCGACAAGTACAGACAGTCCCAATAAAAACAACAAGAAATAATGTCTCCCTCGCGCTGCCGCTGCAGCAGCAGCTGCAGCAGCAGCTGTCCCCAAGTGGGTTGAGGAGAAAAGGATTGTGGGGCTGTAAGGGGTATTGTTTCAATGCCAATGTTAGAGTAGAGGGTTCATGTCTGCGGGGCCCTTGGAGGCCTCTCCCGCAGGCGGGGAGACAGTTGACTGCTGCCGCTGCTCCTGCTGCAGCTGCTGCGCCTGCTGTCCCTCTTTAGGCTTCTTCGTTCCCATGGAGCCCTCATCTTTCTCCGTACTGACTCTGCATGCATCACATATCATTTAAACTTCTTGAGTTGTTTCAGGTGTACAGACAGCTTGTGTAGTTAAGCAGAACAAAACAGCGGGGTGAGGAGAAGGGGCAGGCGCAACCAGCCACTCCCGGAGGAGCTGTTGCAGCAGCAGCAGCAAGTCAGCAGCAGCAGCAGCTGCTGCAGCTGCTGCAGCTGCTGCTGCTGCAGTACGGTCTGGTATGTTTGCTCACCTGCGTTTACTTGCTCTGCTCTTGGGGCCCCAATTGGGAGTAGGGTTGGGGAGCCAGCGAGGCACATGCTTCTCCGGATGTCTCTTCACCTCTTCAGCAGAAGGAGGAGACAGGTCGATGCCTTTTGTCCTGTAAACCGCAAAGAGACTCACGCGAAAGCACAAGAAAAAATCAAAGGGGGCTCACGCTACCTCCACAGCACTAAGCATGCACACTGCAGGCGCGCTGCATTAAGGGTGCTGCATGCATGCATGCACGCATGCATGCTGTACTAAGGATGTATGCATGCTTGCATGCATACTATACTAAGGATGCATGCATGCATGCATATATGCATGCATGCATGCATCCTTAGTACTGTATGCTTGTTGGTGTAAGTACAAAGACTAACTGAATGGGTTTGGTGAGGACAGGGAAACGAGAAAGATTTGATGGGGGACAGCGAGAAGCATGCGTTCTCAAGACATCAAAGACAACATTAGCAGGAGCGTCTGTCTTCACTGTCTGTGGGTCTCTGTGAAAGTGAGAGGTAGAGTAGCCTAAGCGCCTTAAGGCCGCCCTGAGGAGACAGCACAGCAAACAATAAAAGAGATAGGAGAGAGCAGGAGGTATGATGCATGCAGCAGACAGAAGGAGACAGGAGGAGACAAAAGGAGACAGATAGGAGACAAGGGAGAGACAGGAGGAGACAGCAAAACGAAGGCGAGATGCTGCAAGAAGGAGGCATAATTATGCATACAGGAGACAAGATACAGCAAAAAGAAAGAGAAATAATGCACAAGGGAGACAGGGGACAAGAGACAGAAGGAGAGATGATGCAGACAGGGGACAGCAGACGAGAGACAAGCGATACAAAGAGACAAGAGACAGAAGGAGACAGGAGACAGATGGAGACAGGAGACAGAAGGGGACAAGAGACAGGAGGTCGGACGTTGGCGGCAACAGACTGAATATAAGAGAAAGCAGACAGAAGGAATGAGACAGGAGACAGTGAACAAGAGGGCACAGACAGTGGATAGGAGACAGGAGACAGGATAAAGAGTGCTGGCCAAAAGAGACACGAGATAAGAGACAAGAGAAAGGAGACACCATAAAGAAGAAGGAATGCAGGAGACAGTTGCTGCCTTGGGCACAGCCACGGAGACCTCCCAGCAGGCTCGAAAACGGCATAACGACAGCAGCAGCAACAGCAGCAGCAACAGCAGCAGCAACAGCACTAGCAGCAGCAGCAGCAACAACAAAAGAGACAGAGACTTACATGAAGCAAGAAGGCCGAACCATTGTCAGTTTGTTGCGCGTACACAGGGAAGGCAGTTGATAATGCAGGGGGACATCTGGCAGCTCCTGAGGTGTATGTACACCGCAGCACACCGCAGCACAGGAAATCAACAAGACAGTCTATCTGTCTCCTTTATGTTTGCGCCTCTTTCCCCTGGGATGGGTGCAGGGCTGTCCCTGTCGCTGAGCGCCAGCTGCAGCAACAGCAGCAGCAACAGCAGCAGCAACAGCAGCAGCAACAGCAGCAGCAACAGCAGCAGCAGCAGTTTCGAAGCCCCAAAGTGCTGCTTTGCTGCGCGGAGACAGGAGACACATTCACAAGGAGACTCACCTCTCGCAAGGCTGTCAGCATACCGCGGATGCGGCCCCCCATCGTCAAGCCAGGAAGTGTCTCCTTTGCTGTGTCCAGCTCCTTCAGGCATAACTCCACGAACTCCTGAGGATACAATACACACAACCCAACCTGCTGCTGCTGCTGCTGCTGCTGCTGCGCCTGGCCCTTTTGCTGCAACGCTGCAACGCGCGCCGCATGCTTACATGCATGCTTCAGCAGCCCGCATGCGCTGAACAAACAAATGCTGCTGCATTTGTTTCTTATTGCTGCTTGTTTGTCTCCGATCTCTTCTCAGCAGCACTTACAGGATCGTAGTATCTCCCGCTGTACAGGGGGCCCCCTATTATGCAGCGGCCGCCGCACTCGCTGCACTGGGGCCCCACACCCTCTGGCACTGCTGCAGCACGAAATCGCATTCTTCCACTGCTTCCTGAAACACCCTCATCCCATATGCTGCTGCAGCAACTGCTGCTGCCGTTCATGCTGCTGTTGCTACTGTTGCTGTTGCTGCTGTTGCTGCTGCTGCTTTCCGCCTCCGCAACAGACTCTGCGTCCGCACTCCCTTCGTGTGAGCCACTCCCCGACTCCCCCTGCTGCTCCTGCTGCTCCCCTTCCTGCTGCTGCTGCTGCTGCTGCTGCTGCTGCTGCTGCTGCGTACTGTGTGCGGCGTTTTTCTTGCCATTTTTGCGCTGCTGCGGTTTGCTGAGGCCTCCTAAGGGGGCGACAGTGAAGGCCTCGCAGGAGGGACAGTGAAACACCTGCACACGCAGCAGCCGCAGCAACCCAACCCCCAGCTAGCCACGCAGAGCAGCGAACCGCTAGCTAGCTAGCTAGCGAGCTGTCTGGCTGGTTAACTAGCTAGCTATTTAGCTACCTAGCTAGCTAGCCAGGGACAGGAGCAGTTCCAGAGCTACTGCCTGCCGCCTCACACATCCTTTTACCTGGGGGCAATCGGAACAGCAGCAGCAGCAACAGAAGCAGCAGCAGCAGGAAGAGGAGCAGCAGCAACAGCAGCAGCATCAGAACCTACCATGGCTTCTTTTTGCTGCAGGTATTTGCACTGCTCCGGAGACTCCACAATACGCACAAAGAGACGAACATAAAAATCAACACTGAGACACAGCAGCGGCTGCACTGCCTTTCGATGTTTTGCTGCTGCTTGAGCTACAGCATGCAGCACCAACCTGCAGCAGCAGACAGCACACAAGAGACACATCCACAGACACTCAGTATGCTCCAGCCACGGATTGGCACACCTCTTGCTGCAGCTTGCTGCTGCTGCTTGTTGCTGCAGCTTGCTGCTGCAAGCATGTACAGTTGCGCGCAGTCAGTTGCATGCCTGCGTGCATGCATGCAATAGGCTGCATGCACCCAGTAGGTTGTATGCATGCAGTAGGTTGCATGCATGCAATAGGTTGCATGCGCCAAACAGTTTGCATGCATGCAACTAGTTGCATGCGTACATGCACCTGCATGCATGCATGCATGCATTGAGGCTTACCTGACGGCGACTTCATGATGGGGGCTGAGTTTGGCTGTGGCTCCTCCGTATTTATAAAAAGCTGTCTCCATAGCATTGCCTACGAGTGTAGATGTATCAGTGCTTGTTATACACAGCAGCCCCCCACTTCGTAGGAGCCCTAGAGCAGCATCTAAGAAAGGAGAACAGCTACCGTAAGGGTCTATATCTACTACATCAAACCAGAAAGGGACAGTACCATCTCCTCCCCCACCAGCTGCTGCTGCTGCTGCTGCTGCTGCAGGAGGGTCTGCTGCAGCATGAGCTGCAGAGGGAGCAGCAGCAGCTGCTGCAGCAGGAACAGCAGACACTGCAGCAGCATCTGCAGAAGCAGCATCAGCTGCTGCAGCAGGAGGAGCAGCAAGAATGGGTTTAAACAGAGGAGGGATAAGGGGGAGATCTGCAGGGGGACAGCTTAAGTCAAAGGAGACAGGTACTGCAGCACCTGGAGGCAGACTATGTATTTTCTTTAATACTCCACTGCTGATTGGTGGGTGGCTTAGCAGATGCATCAAACGGGTCGCCTCTGCACATGTCGCTAAAGAGACACAACAAAAAGGAGACACCCAAAAAGGAGACAGACACCTCAATGCGGAGACACCTCAATAAGGGGACAGACACCTCAACATGGAGAGGCAACAAAAAGGAGACAGACACCTTAATACGGAGACACCCGAAAAGGAGACTGACACCTCAATATGGAGACACCTCAACATGGAGACACCACAGCGAAGAGACACTAAAAGGGGGACAAATCAATAGGGAGACACCTCAATAAAAGGAGACAGCAAAAAGGAGACACCTCAATAAAAGGAGACAGCAAAAAGGAGACACTTCAATAAAAGGAGACAGCAAAAAGGAGACACCTCAATAAAAGGAGACAGCAAAAAGGAGACACCTCAATAGGAGACACCAAAAAAGAGACACCTCATTAGGGACGCCTGTTGGTGAAGGTGTCTCCAACTCACCGACAAAGCGTTGTGTAGACACCCCATTGTGTTTAGCATTTGCTGCAGCAGCTGCTGCTGCTTCTGGATCGAAGTCATTAGCAACAGCAACACGAACTGTCCCCTCCAACTCCTTTAAGTAGCGGAGACTGCGGAGGCCTGAAGAAGAGGACAGACAAATAAATACAAAATAAAAAAAGAAAGGAGACACTGAGATGCAAAAGGAGACAGATAGACGCAGAGCAGCAAAAAGAAAGAAGCTCCACTCAAAGCAAATAAAGAGGGGCATAACAAAAAGGAGACAGTCAAAATAAACACTTTATTAAGAAGACAAACAGACAAATAAATAAATACTTTGCTGCACCTGTTGCTGCTAACGCCTCCAGCACATTAAACCCCACAAACTCCAAAGGAGGAGGCTCCTGTCTCCCCTCCGCCTTGCAGCGTGCAGCAGCAGCAGCAGCTGCAGCGCAGCAGCACACACAGACAGACACACGCATATATACACAACCCCTAAACAGCAGCAAAAACAGCAGCAGCAGCAGCAGCAGCAGCAGCAAGAGATAGGACAGAAGAGGGACAGAGGCGCGCTCTTCATGCTGAGCTGCTGCTGCTGTCTCCTCGACCCTTCAGTAGGGGAGACATTCCTCCTACAAATCTGCTGCTACATAGCTATCTAGCTAGCTAGCTAGCCAGATAGCTATCTAGCTAGCTAGCTATCTAGCTATCTGGCTGGCAATCTAGCTGGCGAAGTGCATAGGCGGCTGGGTATATATTTCTGTTCTTGTTTTTGCTGTGCCCGGGTGAGGCGGCAGCTAGCTAGACAGCTAGCTAGCTAGCTAGCTAGCTAGCTAGACAGCTAGCTGGCTACGCAGGTTGCTAGCTAGCTAGCAGACTGGTTTGGGGAGGACTTGGAGAGCGTGTTCTGCTCACATCTGTGTTTAATAAGTTGCTGCTGCTTGACTCCAAAGGCCTTCAGCACTAAGAGAGACAGATCTCTATTAAAAACCTGAGCAGGATTATAGAAGACAGAGTCTCCTGGGGGGGCCTGTACAGACACCAGGCCTTCACGGATCCACCCCACAGAGCTGGGATCCGATCCCGGGGAGGCCGATCCCCGATCCAACGCTTCCTTCGCAACCGCTGGACCCCCCATTTCTAACCAGACAGCACCAGCAGCAACAGCAGCAGCAGCGGCGGCAGCAGCAGCAGCAGCAGCTGCAGCAAAAGAGAGATCAGCGGGGCAAAGGCCGATCAGGAGGTAATAAAGAGATTACACAAATAAAGAAAAAAGCAAATAAAAACAAATTTCTTTTAAAGAAGCCACGAAGATCGCCTTAGGGACTCTACTGCATGCAGGTGTGGGGCCCCGAGCCCAGCTGCTGCTGCTGCTGCTGCTGTTGCTGTTGCAGCTGCTGCTGGGCTTGAAGCGGCAACATCGACAGGGAGTAATGCAGCATTTGCTTTAAATATATTTAATAATTTAAATAGAATAGAGAGCAGATGCAACATAAGAGGGCCTAAGGAAGGCAGCCCTCTCCCTTCTGGGTCCTGGGGCTTTGTCTCCTCTTCTGTTAATAAGAGACTACTTTCTCTCTTTATAGGGTTATATTGAGGTGTATAGGCACCTCTTTAGGTTTATCTGGTGTTGTTCGGGTGTATAGGCACCTCTGAGCCCTCACCTCATCTGGTGTATATCTTCTTTGCTTCTTCTGCTGTATCTAAGCTTCAGCTCGCTGCAGCAGCAAAAACCTAGAAAGGCTTTAAGGGACCAAGCTTGCTGCTGCTGCTGTTGCTGCAGCTATTGCTGCTGCTGCCGGCGCGTCGGGTGCTGGCTGTGCGTTTAAAGCGCTGCTGCTGTTCCTGCGGCTGCGGCTGCTGCTACTACTACTACTACTACTACTGCTGCTGCAGCAGGGATCTAGAATTGCTGCTTGCGGAGACAGAATTTGTTTCAGAGAGCAGCAGAAAAGATGACAGAAGAGACGCAGCACCTGCAGGAGACAGGTGGGGCCCGGGGGCAGCTGCGGCCCCGAGTTGAGGGACAGCCACTGAAGATAGCGGAGACAGTTTTAAAAAGGAGACAGCAAGACAAAATCGCAAGAGAAGAAAGGGCCCAGTCTATTGCACAGGCTAAAAGAGTAAGAACTCTGGCTGAATGCAGCAGCAGCAGCAGCAGCAGCAGAAGCAGCAGCAGAAGCAGCAGCAGCATCGGCAGCAGCAGCAGCAGCAGCAACTGCAGCAGAAGCTGCGCCACCCGTTTCTACAGTGGTAGATGCAGCAGCAACTACAGCTGCTGCAATAGCCATACAAGGGGCCGAAGTAGCAGTACTACTGCAGCGGAAGCAGCAACAGCAATAGCAGCGGCAGCAGCAGGAGCATCAGTAGCAGCAGCAGCAGCAGCAACAGCAGCAGCAGCAGTTGTGAGTTTTGTTTTGCTGTACCCCTCAGGCCCGGAGGCGAAGAGAACAGCCAAAAGTGAAGACGGCGCAGTACTTCATTAAGAAGGCCCAGCAGGCAATGCTAGACAGCAAAAGGTCAGCAGCAGCAGCAGCAGCAGCAGCACCAGCAGCAGTAGCAGTAGTAGCAGTAGCAGCAGTAGCAGCAGCAGCAGCAACAACAACAGCAACAGCAGCAGCAGCACAATGTAGCAGCTGCTTATTAAGGGGCTGTCGGGGTCTGTGGGTGCTGCTAGATGGACCTGCAGCAACAGCTGCTGCTGCTGCTGAATGAGCGTTGATGCTTGTGCTGCTGCTGTTGCTGTTGCTGCTGCTGCTGCTGCTTGTGTACAGGCTTCGGGTGCAGCGCAACAGGAAGCCGAAGCAGCAGAGACAACCAGCAGCAAAAATTTATTGTGTTGTACGCAACCACAGACAAGGAGGATGTAAAAAGACAAGAGAGGCCCTGAAGGTGAGAAGAGACAGCGGAGACAGCAGAAGAGACAGAAGAGACAGAAGAGATAGAGACAGATAGAAGAGAGACAGCAGAGACAGAAGAGATAGAGACAGATAGAAGAGAGGCAGCAGAGATAGAAGAGATAGAGACAGATAGAAGAGAGACAGCAGAGATAGAAGAGATAGAGACAGATAGAAGAGAGACAGCAGAGACAGAAGAGATAGAGACAGATAGAAGAGACAAGGGATAGAAGAGATAGCAAACCGATAGAGACAGAGGAGACAGATAGAGACCGTGAAGAATACAGATAGAGACAGACAATGAAGCACCTCAGAGACAGACAGATAAATGCATGCAGACAGTTGGAGAAGGAGACAGCTAGCGACAGAGACAGAGACAGACAGAGACAGAGGAGACAGCAGCAAGAAGACAGCTTACTGGAGGAGACAGCAGCAGCATGAAGGGTGGGGTTGTTGTTATTTTTGTTATGTATGGGGCTCAGGCTTTGGGGCTTACTGCGCCGTACACTTGCACTTTCATTGCTAACGATGAACGCTCAACAACCACTTTAAGAGAAGTGTCTCCTTTTGTCTTCTACGGTCTCCCCTCTGCTAGCACTGTCCGGAGGCTCTTCCTCACCAGGTGCTGCTGCTGCTGCTGCTGCTGCTGCTGCTGCTGCTGCTGCTGCTGCTGCTGCTGCTGTCTCTTTAAGACAGTTAGATAGAGACAGACAGTTAGATAGAGACAGTTAGAGAGAGACGGTTAGAGAGAGACAGTTAGAGCTAGTCAGTCAGAGACAGTTAGAGAGAGAGGGACAGTGAGAGGGAGACACTTAGAGACAGCAATGAGTTTGTCTCTGCGTCTGCTGCTGTCGTTATGACTACAATAATAATAATAATAACTATTATTATAATTCTTATTGTTATTATTATTTCAGGGCCCGGCTGCAGCAGGAGCCAGGGGGCCCCAGCTGTATGCTCTCAGACAACGTGAAGGTGGAGGAGACATTTGGCTGCTTCGGTCTCCTTTGCGTAGAAGATCTTATTAACGAGGTATTCACCTGTGGGCCCCACTTCGCAGATGTTATGGAGAAAGTGGGGTAAGAAAACCTAAACCCTAAACCCTAAACCCTAAACCCTAAACCCTAAGCCCTTCACTATAGAGTCTTGTTGGCAACAAGACGGCCTTCCTGGAGATGCGAGCAACAAGCAGTTTCAGCTTCGCTAGTTGGATTTAGGGTTTAGGGTTTAGGGTTTAGGGTTAATTCACTTGGGAGAAGGTGCCAAGACACCTGAAAGAGACAGAGACAGCGGCATAGTAGAGGAGACAGCAAGAGACAGAAGGAGACAGAGAGCGATAGGAGGAGACAGCCAGATAAGACGGGACAGAGAGATAGAAGGAGACAAAGAAACAAAGCTTGTTTATAACAGGTCTCTTAAATATCTCTGCTATGTCTCTTCAGGGCCTTTCAGTTGTGCAGCCTCAAGCAGGTTGAGGGGTAAGCCGCCTAAGCTCTCTACCTGGTGTCTCTTGCTGTATCTGTCTCCTCTTTCTGCTGTCTCCTTTTGCTGCTGTCTCCTCTGTCTTCCACTCGGTGCTGCTGTGCATGGAGACTTCGTCCCTCTGTTGGCGTCTATATATATATATATATATATATATATATATATATATATAGTGCAGGTGTCTCCGTTTGCATCTCGGCTGTATGCGGTTGGCATAGTGTTTTGGAGTGTCTCCCCAGGTTATTATTCTGTCTGTTTTTCTTGCTGCAGCTACCTGTCTCCTTTGCTGCTGGTTGAGTGTCTCCCCACAACGCTCTCATTGTTTTTTTTTGTTTTTCTTTGTTGCAGCCTGGAAGCGAAGCGTATGGAGTACGGCTTCATCCGAGACAAAATAGATATGAAGGTTGCGCAGCTTGCATAGCAGTCTTTGGTTTGGAGTGTATGTACACCTGAAGCTGTCTGTTGGGGTGTATGCACACCTGGAGCTGTCGGGGTGTACGTACACCTCACGCCTGGGCTCACCTTCCTCCCTTTCTGCTGCTGCGCAGCAGCAGCTGGACACTGCGCGGTGTCTCCTTATAGCTGTATATATATATATATATATTTATATGTATATATTTATATTTACATTTATATTTATATGTTTCTCCAGCTGCTGCTGAGCAGCAGCAGCTGCAGATAGCGGGATGTCTCCTTATATACAAGAGACAGGAGACACCGAGGGGAGGCCACAAGAGACTTACAAAGCGAAGTTTACAAAAACAGAGACAAAGACGCAGAACCAGAAACAACTGCCGCAGACTTGTGGGGCCCCGTACACATTACGGGGTGTACGTACACCTCAGCACCAACAATACCTAAACTTCAGAAAGCCCAGCGTAGCAAGACGCGGTTGCTGCCTGAGCTTAAGTCCTCGTTTCACCCTTTCCTTGCGAACCTACCTTGGCAGCTAGCTAGCTAGCTAGCTAGCTAGCTGCCGAGATGTCTAGCTAGCTAGCTAGCTGTGTACGGACAGGTAGCTGGCCCCGCACCTAAGAAGCAGACAATGACAACTAGCTGTCTCCTCACGTAGTGCTGAACACAGCCTGCCACTACAGCTAGTCTACCATACAGGTGGCTTCTCTGGCTAGCTGGCCACCCAGCTAGCTAGCTAGTTAGCTAGCTAGCTAGCTGGGTAGCTGTGCACATGCGGGCCTTAGCCCCTCTTGCTGCTGCCTACAGAGCATTCAAAATGTACGGCTGGACGCACGAGGCGCTCAGCCCGCGTCACTAGCTGCTGCAGCTAGCTGCTGCGGCTAGCCACACCAGCTGGCCGCTGCAGCTAACCATGACAGCACGCTGCTGCAGCTGTGTACTGCAGGAAGCTGCTGCGGCTCGCCACTGCAGCTAGCTGCGGCAGCTAGCCACAACAGCTAGCTACCGCGGTCGTTAAGCAGTCTGACTTCAGGCGTGGAGACGAGCTTAGGGAGCACAAGCACTTCTCTGCCTGCCGTTAGAGACTCACCCCCAAAGAGGGAGTCCCAGGGGCTAGACAGCAGCAGCGCGTCGCTGCTGCTGCTACTTGGCTGTCCCTCTGCCCCTGCTGCTGCTGCTGCTGCTGCTGGTGCAGCAGAAGCAGCAGCAGCAGCAGCAGCGAACGTGTGCGGCAAACCCCTGCCTACAAGGCCCCCAGGGGGCCCCGAGATGGGGGCCCTCCGGTGCAGCAGTTGAACGAACGGCAGACCCAGAGAACCCGCACGTAGGGGTATTGCAGAGAAGGAGACAGTAACGCTCTTACCTCCTTCTAAGACATGCGCCTTGCACTTTGTCCCCGCCTGCAGCAGCAGCAGCAGCAACAGCAGCAGCAGCAGCAGATACTGTCTCTTGTCTGCCTTATTTTGTTCCCCTTCACCTGTCTCTCTTCGCCCTTCGCTCGTTTGCTGTACCCTGTATGCTGTCTTTACGGTCTCCTCTCAGCTGTCTCTACTGTCTCCTTTGTCTTCTTTCTGCTGTCTTCTTTCTGCTATCTCCTGTCAGCTGTATACCCTATCTGGTCCCATCATAGATGAGGCAGGAGTCCCCTCTGTATTGTCTAACTGTCTCCTCCCAGCCATCTAACTGTCTCTTCTGTCTCCTCCCCGCTCTCTAACTGTCTAACTGTCTCTTCTGCCTCCTCCTAGGCGTCTAAGTGTCTCCTTTGGGGTGTCTAAGTGTCTCCTTCCGGGTATCTAAGTGTCTCCTTCCGGGTATCTAAGTGTCTCCCTTTGGGTGTCTAAGTGTCCCCTTTGGGGTGTCTAAGTGTTTCCTTTGGGGAGTCTAGGTGTCTCCTTTTGGGTGTCTAAGTGTCTCCTTTTGCTCACCATTAGCCAGTCATGACATTCGCCTACTCTCGGGGATTTGGTTTGACTTTGTGTCTCCCCTGAGGTCCTCTGTCTCCTTCTTCCTGCGTTTTGCTGCTCCTGCCTATCAAACTCTAAACATACGCGGTGGCATATCTCGACTGTCTCCTGCAGAGACACATAGAGACAACACAAATAAAAGGAGACAGCTGAAGGCTCAGAAGATGCCCCTCTGTTGCTGTTCCTCATGCAAAGGCTGCTGCAGCAACACAAGCAACACCTGCTCCTGTTTTGCTGCTGCTGTTGCGGCTGCTGTTGCTCCAGTAGTAGCAAACACACCTTCACCAACAACAGCAGCAGCAACAAAAACAGCAGCAACACCAGCATTAACAGCAGCAGCAACAGTAGCAACAACAACAGCAGCAGCAGCAACAGCAGCAACAGCGAAGCACCTGTGTTGTGTTGGTGATGTGAAGCTGCACAAGGAGAGAGCAGCCGACTCGCCCCAGTCGGGGACACTCCACCTCAACCAGCAGCGGAGACGCTCTTGCTGGCAGCTGCAGCGGAACTACGTAAGACAGCAGACTGCTGCTGCTGCTGCTGCTGCTGCTGCTGCTGTTCGCGCTGCTGCCAGGGTCCCCACAGCGCTGCAAAGGGGTGTCTCCTGGATGTCCGCTGTCGATCTCGTAGGAGACAACTAAATCATAGAACACCATGCACGGGCTGTTACTACTACTGCTGCTGTTGTTGTTGTTGTTGCTGCTGCTGTTGCTGATGCTGCTGCTGTTGCTGCTGCTGCTGCTGCTGTTGCTGCTGCTGCGGGGGACAGGGAGAGGGTACTCCACCCTCACCAACAGCGTCTGCACGGCACTGGGCGGCAGCCGCGTATCCAGCGTAACTGTCTCTGAAAGGAGACAGCAGAGACAGGAGAGGAGACACTCGATGGGGTAGCAGCAGCAGGAAGAAGCACACCAGTAGCAAGAAACACCGCAGCAGCAGCAGCAGCTAACATGCATGCAGCACTACGCACGTCAGCGCAAATGCAACACATGCAGAAAGAAGAGCAGCAGCAAGAATGGGGACATCTGAGGCGGGGAGACACTCAGATATGTATCTCTGCTGAAGCTATTGCAGCAGCAGCAGCAGCAACAGGAGAAGCAACAGCAGCAGCAGCAGCACAGCAGCAGCACCTCACCTGCGGCCTGGGTCCTGGTCTCCATAGAGAGCGGGTTGGGTGGAGCTATGAGAGAGACAAAAGGAGCATCCAGCTGCTGCTGCTGCTGCTGCTGCTCTTTGTTACTACTAACCGTCGAAACTGCAGCCGCCCCACCAGCCTGCTGCACCTGCTCCTCATCTTGCTGCTGCTGCTGCTGCTGTGGCCTGGGTACAATGGTTGCAGACCTGAGTACAAGACTGTCTGCTGCAGCAGCAGCCTTTAGCAGCAGCTGAACGATGCGTACGGTATCAGAGACACGCGAAAAGGAGACAGTGTGAGTCAGAGCAGCACTAACCTCCACGCTGTGCAGCCGCAGCTCCACCACTTCCGTCTCCTCGTTGCTGCTGCTGCTGTCGCTGCAGCAGTTGCTGCTGCTGCTGCCGCTGGGGCTGCAGCAGGAGGCAGCATCCGGCAGTACCGTCGCTGGGAAGACCCCCAGCTCGTGAGGGCCCCCCTCATTGTGTGGGGTGGGTGTGACGGTAGTGTCTCCAGCAGCGGGGACAGCAGCAGCAGCAGCAGGCGGTGCAGCAGCAGCAGCAGCAGCAGGCAGTCTCTTCTTGCATGCAAAGGCCAACGCAGTGGCTACGGTTACCAGCCCCCTTCCTTCACCTGCCCCCAGCGGGGCCCTGCTGTGTCTGCTGCGGCTGAGGGATTCAGAGACACTGATGTTGCTGCTGCAGCGGCAGCGGCAGAGACCCGAAAGCCCTCCAGAGACAACTGACTCGCTGCGGTGTCTCTTCATCCCTTCACACTCCCCACAAGTCCCCTCAAAGCGCCACTGACGCCGAGACACACTCTGCAGCAAACATAAAAACAGCAGCAGCAACAAAAACACAAGCACACTAATGTTGCTGTTGCTGCTACTGTTGTTGCTGCTGCTGCTACTGTTGTTGTTGCTGCTATTGCTGCTGCAGGTGCTTCTGCAGTTGCTTTTGCTGCTGCTTTTGCTGCTGCAGGTGCTTCTGCTGCTGCTGTTGCTGCTGCTTACCCTAGAGAGGTCTGCTGCAGCAGCACCTGAGGAGACAAATGACTCTGAACTTGGGTAGCAGCAATCCCCTGTCCGCTGCAGGTGCAGCCCGGGGCCCCCAAGGGGGCCCCCACCAGGGGCGCAGCAAACAGAGACAGGCAGCAGCAGCTGCACGCAGGATCTAAATGGAGGCAGCGATATCCACCCTATCTCTTCATCCTCACTGCTGCTGCTGCTGCTGCTGCTGGTTTTGTTGGTTCGGGGCACTGCTACAACTACCTCCGCTCCTTCCGAGTCGCATATAACCTGCTGCTGCATTTGCTGCAGCTCGAGTCTGTTGCCCTTGCTCTCTGGTGCTGTTGCTGCTGCTGCGTCTGTTGGCGTTGCTGCTGTTGCTGCTGTTGCTGCTGCTGCTGCTGCGGGAGCGCCCCGTCTCCAGGGTGGCAGCGGCAGCAGCGTGGGGGCACCGTCGATAGAGAGACAGTGAGCCCCTGCCCAGTCTATTAGCAGCTGCAGCGGCCTAGGAGAGGAGACAGGAGAGCAGCAGCTGCTGCAGTGTGCGGGCATTTCTGGAGACGCTTGAAGACCGCAGCAGCTAGGGGTATCCCTCAAGGAGTCCCTCCCTTGCTGCGCTGCAGCTGCAGCAGCAGCAGCACCCGATGGCGAAGACACCCCCTGGCGGCCGTCTCTGCTGCTCTCTCTGCTGCTGTCTCTGCTGCTGAGCTGCTGCCTCTCACCAAAGACAACATGTGTGTCTCCCCTGTTCCCGCTGCCCCTGGGGCCCCCCTGGGGCCCCCACCCTGAAGAAGCCCTGCTCGCCTGCGATGTGGAGACACTCTCGGGTATCTCTTGATCTGCTTCGCTGCTGCTGCTGCTGCTGCAGCTGCTGGGGGCCCCCATACTTAATGCCTGCAGCACCCTTAGCCGAGGCGCGCTGCCCTCTAAGAAGCCCCAAGGGACGCTAATTGTTAGCAGCAGATAACACTGAACTCCTTCAAGAAGAATATTTGAGTTGCTGCTCTGCAGCAAATCAAGAAACAGCTGTTCCCCCTCCTCCTGCTGCTCCTGCTGCTGCTGCTGCTGTTGCTGCTGCTGCTGTAAGAGACGGAGTCGCTGCAGCAGCAGGTGGTGCTGCTGCGGGAGTAAGGGGTCTACTTGCACGGCAACGCAGGTGCTGGGGTGTCTATACTCCAGCATAAGCGGGTGCAGCAGTCTCTCTAGTGCAGCACATGGGTGCAGCAGCGTTGCTCCTGCTGGTGAGCAAGAGGAGACAGCAAAGGCGCGGGGATCACCGAACAGCCGCCCAGCAAATGCAGCAGCAGACAGCTGGTCGCCCCCGTCCTCACGCACGTAGTAAGGATTCGTTCTAGGCCTCACACCACCTGCTGCTGCTGCAGCAGCAGCAGCTGCTGCTGCTGCTGCTGTTCCTGTTCCTGCTGCTTCTCCTGATGCACCAGCAGGAGCGGTTGCTGCTTGAGCACCCTCAGCAGCAACAGCAGCAGGAGCAGCAGCAGCAGTGCCTACAAGAGCAGCCTCCATTGCTTCAGCAACCTTAGGGAGAAGCGCTGGGGGCGGGAGATCCCCAGCCCACTGCACAAAGACAATATCTTTATACATGAGGCAAATCTGCTCAATTAAGAAGACACCCGGCTTGCAGCAGCACCAGAGCAGCCGCAGCACATTAGCTCCTGGATACAGCACCAAAGCCCCCCCTTGCTGCTGCTGCTGCTTCTGCTGATGCTGCGCTCGCTGCTTCTGTTGTTGCTGCTGCTGCAGCAGAGAAGAAGCAGTTACCACCAACCACCCTGAGGACTCGGCAGCAGCGTTTGCTGCTGCAGCTGCTGCAGTTGGGGGTAGGGCGAGGCCTCGTGCTGCAGCAGGGACGCTGGAGAGGCGGAGAGCTACAGCATCAAGGGGCAGCGGCAGCACCAACGCCGAGTGTACGTACACCTGAATCTCTATTGTCTCTCCTAAAGCAACAGACAGCGAAGGGGTGCAACCCCTGGCGCTGCAGGTTTGCATAAGAGAGACAGCTCGAGAGCGCAGACGTCTAGTGGGGCTTGCTGGGGGGAGAGACAGTGCCTCGTCTTCAGAGCCAGCACTCAGCAGCTCTTGCTGCTCCTGCTGCTGCTGATGATGCTGTTTCTGTTGCTGCTGCTGTTGCTGCAGCTGCTGCTGCTGCTGGAAGGCAGCACATAGGGCTGAAACTGTTGCCCCCTCGCCGAGAGGTGAACCCTCTTCGAGTTTCCCTGTCCCCAACTGCTCGTCTGCTGCAGCTGCTGCTGCTGCAGTTGCTGCAGTTGCTGCTGCTGCATGCACCGGGGAGGGGCTGCGTGCTGGAGACGGCGAGGTGTCTCTATGCTGCTGCTGTTCATGTGGGGAAGGCGTCCCTCCATTATGCCCTGGGCCTGCTGTACTAGCTGGGGCACCCTGCAGCTTGTCCTGGCGCTCTGCTGCTGCTGCTGCTGCTGCAGCAGCAGGCAGATGATGTGGTGCGTCTCGTCCTTCGCAAGTGTCTCCTTCTGTGAGGTCTGCCTCTGATGTTTGCTTAGAGTCTCCTTCTGCTGCTGTTTCTGTATTTTCTGCTGCACCATATTGTTGTTGTTCTGCTGCTGCTGCTGTTGCTGCATTAGAGTGCGTGGCAGCAGCAGGGGCTTCTTGTGTTGCTGCAGCAGCAGGAGACGGTGGTTGCTGCTGCGCAGAGAGGAGGGGGCCCCCAGAAGAAGAAGAAAGGGCAGGTGGTTTCAAACCCTGGCCTAAGACCCCAGCGATTGTGTTAGGCTTCAGTCGCAGCAAATTGCATTCATACACCCGAAGGCTAGGGTGTATATCTGCTGCTGCTGCTGCATGCAACGAATATAGCGGCAGCAAATCTGCGAGCTGCCGCAGCACTGCATGCTCCAGTAACTCCTGACTCATAGAGTTCTGCTGCTGCTGCTGCTGCTGCTGCTGCATGTAATGAGCAGCAGCAAACCCTTCTCTATCCCCATACACTGAATAACCATCAGGGCCCTCTGCTGCAGCACCCCCAGCAGCAGCAGCAGCAGCAGCAGCATTGAGGGGGTGGGGGCCCCTGAGGTCATAGTCTCCCTGCCAGCCCCGGGTTGCGCCTCGCAGCAGGGGGCCCCCTGCAAGAGGAGACTGCAGAGACAAGCGAGATGTTGCTGTCCAGCTGCTGCCTGCTCGCTGCAGCTGCATGCAGCAAGAAGGAGACACTCCATCGTGTGGGGAGACACCTAAATGCAGCCGCGAAGGAGCTGCACGAAATAAAGGTAAGATGCCGCTGGGGCGGGGGCCCTAAGAAAATAAAAATATATAAAGAAAAACAAAGAGTTATAAAGAAGGAGACAATATATATATATATATATATAGTGTAGACAAATAGATATATAATATATATGTATGCATTATAAATATATATGAACAGAGACAGGAGACAATATACACAGAGACAGGAGAGAAACATACAGAGAGACAGCAAACAAATACAAATATAATAAATTTATAATATTATAATAGAGCATATATACACATAAAATATATACAATATAAATATACACCAAGAGAGGAGACAAATCAGCACATAGAGACAGCACGCAAACATACAGACAGACAGCAGAATAATAATAATAATAATAATAATAATAATAAATAATAACAATAAATAATAATAATAATGAGACAAGGAGACAATCAATACGCATAAAGGAGACAAACAAAACACACAAATAAAACAGACACAAAAACAGAAGGGAGGCAAACACTAACAAACAGAGGAGACAGACAGCAGCAGACAGAGGAGACAGACAGCAGCGAACAGAGGAGACAGACAGCAGCAGACAGAGGAGACAGACAGCAGCAAACCGAGGAGACAGACAGCAGCAAACCGAGGAGGCAAACAAACAACGAACGGCAGACAACGAAGACCTGCTCCCGTACGCAAACCCTAAACCCTAAACCCTAAACCCTAAACCCTAAACCCTTGTCTACTTACATACGGCAGATACGCTACGGGGAGAGCAGTGCGCTGCTTCTGCTGCTTGTCAGGGGGGCTTCTGTGGGGTGCTGCTGCTATCCACGCAAATAGATTAGGGGCGGCCTTGAGGTGTACAGACACCTTATTCAATAAAACTGCAGGGAGACCTATATCCTCCTGCAGCGCACTCCACGAACCAGTCTCTACCTCACCATCATCATGTTGCTGCTGTTGCTGCTGCTGCTGCTGCTGCTGGAAGGAGGAAGGCTTTGCAACTGCTGCTGCTGCTGCTGCGTCTGCTGCAGTCTCCTGCTGCCCTGTGCTCTTTCTTGCTGCTAAGGCGAGGAAACGACGGAGACAGCCATCGGGGCCCTCTGCGTCTATGGTTTCAAGACAGTCGACCTGCTGCTGCTGTTGCTGTTGCTGCTGCTGCTGCTGCTGCTGCTGCTGCGCGTGTTGATGCTGCTGTCTCCCAGCAGCAGCAGCGTTGCTAAGAACAAATAATGTCGCTAGGGTCCCTCCTCTGTCTCCTTGTAAGGCTTCCGCTCGAGCGAGCAGCTTCTGGCAGCAGACCCACAACTGCGAAGCAACAAGACAGCAGCAGCAGCAGCAGCAGCAGCAGCGGGGGTGTCTCCACACGATCATACTCAGTCCCTGCTGCAGCAGCAGTTGCAGCAAGGGCAGCAGCAGGAGGGACAAGGCTTAGCTAGCCCTTGCTAAAAAGAAACAAGCGCAGAAGAGAAGAGACCCTCAAGACACAGATAAAAAGAAGAGAGACAAGCAGCAGCAGCAGAACTTTCCTAAGCAGCCACAGCTGCTGCGCGTGGGGAAAGGAGACAGCAGCAGCAAGGAGACAGGCGAGAGACACTTCTAAGCACGCAAAAGACAAAAGGAGACACCCAGCGAGCTCAATGCCGTCCACCCCTTAAAATCTAAAATAAAGAGACAGTGCTACGAGACAGCCTAAGAAACAACAGCCTCAGGAGACAGACGAGGAGACAGGCTAAGGAGACAAACTGAAGAGACAGTGCAATCACTCAAGCAAAAAGAGACAGCAAAAGGAGACAGGCTAGGGAGACAGACTAAAGAGACAGGCTCAGGAGACAGGCTAAGGAGACAGTTGAGGAGACAGACCAAGGAGAGAGCTGATGAGACGGACAGCTGAGGAGACAGCTGAGGAGACAGCAGAAGAACTGAAGATTGTTTTGTTTGTGTTTGTGTTTAGTCTTACGTCTGTCCAGGGCTCCTTTAGAAAGAGAGGCAGCATGCGGTGTATAGCCAGCTCACACTCGCGGCTGTCTCCTCTTTGGAGGTGCGCAGCAGCAATCTGCAGCTGCAGCAGCGCAGCATGACGGAAGAACCCACAATTAACATAATGCTGTCCCCCGAGCAGCAGCAAACGAAGAGACAGCGCCTGCAGCTTCTTAGGGCTTGCAAGAGCTGCTCTAAGATCGGCTGGTGTGTACACCTCCAGGGTGTCTCTCATCTCATCTACAACATCAGCAGGGAAAAACAGGAGTGCGTTGTCCCCTCCTGCTGCTGCAGCAGCAGCAGCAGCAGCAGCAGCAGCAGCTGTGTCTGCTCGGGCTTGCTGCTGCGACTCTGTCTCCTCAGCAGCCTGAGCAGCCCCATTGAGATCTACAGAAGGAGAAGGAGACAGACACCCTGGGCCTCGCGGGGGAGTAGGGGGGAGGAGACTAAAGGAGACACCCCATTCAGCACCTGTCTTCAGGCGAGCAAGGCGAGGCAGCTGTTGCGTAACAAAGGCATACAGAGACGCAGCACTCTTCGCCTGCCCCGAAGCGGTGTCTCCAGATGAGCCCTCACCGCTGCTGCTGCTGCTGCTGCTGTAGATGTCACCAGCTCTGTCTCTCCCCCTGCTGCAGCTCCTCCGTGTGGGGGTGTTGCTGCCTTCGCCTTCTTGGCGCTCTCGGCCTTCTCCTCCCGTGCGAAAGAGAGTGCGATGCCGCTGCTGCTGCTGCTGCTGCTGCTGCTGCTGGTGCGTTAGGGGGGCTGCGTCGGTGTCATCCTTCAGTCTGCTGCTGCTGCGGCTGTGCCCCAGCTGTCTCCTTGAAGGTAAGAAGGTGAGGTGGCTAGGAGCAAAGCGAGTTAGAGTACGAGCAACAGCAGATGTGGGGCGCCGCAGCAGCGGGAAGGAAGAAGCAAAGACATGAGAGACACCTGAAGCGCGTCCTCCACTCTCTCCTGTGTCTCCTGCTGCTGCTCCTGCTGCTCCTGCTGCTCCTCCTGCTGCTCCTGCTGCTCCTGATGTAGCAGCTGTCGATGAAGACGTGCAGACACCCGAAGAGGCGTCATCACAATCCTTCGCAGCGAGGGACTCGCTGCTGTTCATACACTGCAACAGCAGCAGCAGCACCAGCAGCGCAGCAGCAGCAGCAAGGGATGACGAAGAAGGCAAGCGAAGGAGACAGACAGGAGCAAGCGAAGCAGCAGCAGAAGCAGCAGCAGAAGCAGCACAACAGCAACCCTGAAGGGCCCAGGAGAGAGGCCCCAGCAGCAGGGGTAGAGGAAGAGACACAAGGAGACAGCTGCAGCAGGAGAGAGGAGACAGAAGTAGAAAGAAGAGACAGAAGAAAGAACAGATAAGAGAGGCAACGGCAATGCAGACAGAAGGAGACGCTTAAAAAGCAAAGGAGACAGAGACGGAGGGAGCAGCAGCCGTACAGACAGACAAGAGACAGAAACAGAGCAGCAGCAACCACAGCAGCAGAACCACCAGCATCAGAAGCCACAGCAGCAGCAGCAGCAGCAGCAGCAACCGTAGCAATTTGAAGTGTCTCCTTTTTACTTTAGCAGTAATAAAGTTCGCGAGGTTGAGTGCCCCAACAACAGCCCAGCACAAGACCTTGATATAGGCTTCAGGTGTCTGGACAGCTGTTGCTGTTGTTGTTTTTGTAGTTGCTGCTGTTGCAGCAGCAGCAGCAGCTGCTGCTGCTGCCTTAACTGCACCCTCGAAAAGAGACAGTCCCCTCGCCCCCAACTCCTCTATTCTCCCTAATCGAATCAGCAGCACCGCCTGTCTGCTGAATATAAACTCTCGCGTCTGCAGCAACCCTAAGGCCCCTGAGCGCAGCTGAGGAGACAGTACAGAGGCCCTTGAAGTACAAGCCAGCAGCGGCAGCCCATCCACGCCCCCAACAATAAACTCTCCTGCTGCTGCTGCTGCTGCTGTTGCTGTTGCTGCTGCTCCTCCTGCTGCAGTAAGAGACAAACGAGGCCCCACCAATGAGTCAAGCACCTGCAGGGCCTCTTCGTACCGACCGCACTTCCCTAGGAGACAGGCAAGAGCATCTTTGGCTGCTAAAATGCCTGCACTTTGCTGCTGCTGCTGCTGCTGTTGCTGCTGCTGCTGCTGCATGCGCTGCAGCACATCCTCTGCCAACAGCATACGGTACTCAACGGCGCTTGCGAGGGCCTCACGAAGCCTCAGGAAGAAGGCCTAAGAAGGAAGAGACAGCGAAGAAAATAAAAGGAGACAGTTATCTGCCGAAAGCATCCTTGGCTGCTAAAATGCCTGCACACTAGTGCTGTTGCTGCTGCTGTTGCTGCTGCTGCAACAGCAGCAGCAACATTTCTATCTCATTCTCTGCTGCTGGCTTCACAGCTGCTGTGCTGCTAAACAGAAGAGGAGACACTAGAAAGAGGAGATAGAAGAGAAAAGGAGACACCAGAAGAAGGAGACAGAAAAGAAGAGGAGACACCAAAAGGAGACAGAAGGGGACAGAATAGAGAAGGGAGACAGATGAGGAGACACTAGAAAGAAGAGACAGTCAACGGGAGAAGAGAAGGAAAGAAAAAAGGAGACAGCAAAAGAGACAGCAACACAGAGGGTGCAGAGACACTGAAGAGGAGACAGTAAAGAAGAAGAGGGACTGAACAAAGGAGACAGAGGAGATGAGGAGACAGCTGAAGAGATGCCGCACCTTCCACAGCTGCTCAGCTACGGGTTGATGCGTGGGATCGTACGATCCCAGGGGGAGACGAAGGACTCTGTCTTTGTTGCTTAAGTCTGTACGAATCTTATCTGTATATTTCTTTTGCTGCTTTATAACTGCTTCGCTGCTGCTGAGAGGGCTAACAGCAACAACCAACCACTCGTCATGATGCTCCAGGTGTCTCTCCACCCAAGAACGCAGCAGCCGCCGTTGCTGCTGCCTATACACCTCAATGCTTTCATGCTGCAGCAGCAGCAAATAGACAAACGGCCGCTCTGCTGCTGTCCAGAGGAGACTGGGAGACACCGCTGCGCCTGCAGCAGCAGCAGCAGCCGCTGCTGCTGCTGCTGCTGCAGGCGCAGCGGGAGCAGCAGCAGCAAGCGATGCTGCAGCAACACTCACACCCAGGGAAGCCAGGGCACCCGCTGCTGCCTTCTGTGCAGCAGAAAGAGCAGCAGGGGCCCCCTGTGCTGCTGTTGGTGCTGCTACTGCTGGAGAGGACGAGACAGAGAGACTCTCCGCTTCAAAAGACAAATAAACAGGGCTGCTGCTGCTGCTGCTGCTTGCTGCTCCCCGCAGCAGCACTGACTCCAGAGGCAGACGCCTCTCTATGGCTGGTCGCAGCAGCGGCCACACATCGCTCTCATCTGAACCACACAAACCCTAAACCCTAAACCCTAAACCCTAAACCCTAAACCCTAAACCCTATGGTATGGATGCTAAACACACAGGCAATAAGCACTAAAACATAAGTCTAGAAGCATAGACCCTACTATGAAGCACGCAAACCCTAAACCCTAAACCCTACTATGAAGCACACAAACCCTAAACCCTAAACCCTACTATGAAGCACACAAACCCTAAACCCCAAGCCCTAAACCCTCCACCTAAACGCCGAAGCCCTAAATCCTAAACCCTAAACCGTCGACGAGAAAAAGCCACAGGGTAAGGATTAGGGTTTAGGGTTTAGCATGCGCTTAGGGTTTAGGGTTTAGGGTTTAGGGTTTTGGTTGCGTACCGTAGTAAGCGACAAGGAAGGCATCTCTCTGCCCCATTGTAGAAGCAGCAGAAGGAGACACCTAGCCTAAGGAGAAGAAAAGACATTGAGGCAGCCGCTCTTGCGGCCCTTGCTGCAGCAGCTGCTGCTGTTGCTGCACTTGCTGCTGCCCTTAATGCTGCTGCTGCTGCTGCTGCTGGTCGTGCCGCTGCTGCTGTTGCTGCTGCTGCAGCGCTTGCTGCTGCGGCGGCAGAGGAAAAGCCCCTAACAGGGGCTGCGCCTCCTGGCAGGCATGCGGGCGATGAAGTGTCCAGCAGCAGCAGCAGCAGCAGCAGCAGCAAGGAGCTTGCTGCTGCGGGTGTTCACGTGAGACTGCTGCGACAGTAGCAGCGACAGGAATGGAAGCAGCAGCAGCAGCAGCAACAGCAGCAGCAACAGCTGTGACTTCCGTCTTGCGCGTCCCCTTAAACCAAAAGACTCCCCGCTGTCTTTCAGTGTTAGCTGCTACTGGGCCAGGAGCAGCAACAGCAACAGCTGCAGCAGCAACAGCTGCAGCAGTAACGGCTGGAGGAGCAGCAGCTGCAGCAGCAGCAGCAGCAGAAGGAGACTGCAGCAGGCTGCGACGGAAGCAGAGACAGGGGCCCCGAAGGATACCCGTTGGCCCTCTAAGACACTAAAGAGATATTTGTGTCTTGAATGGGGGCTGTGTCTATGTGCAGCTGCATGTACACCCCAGCAGAGGGAACGGCTTCCCTTATAAAAACAACAGGCGAAAATAATCAATAGAGCCGCCTTTAAAGCCCCGTTAAGCCCGCACACAGTGCATGCAGTAGCAGCAGCAGCAGCGACAGCGAGCAGCTGTAGCAGCAGCAGCAGTAGCAGCAGCAGCGACCAGTACTACCAGCTACAGCAGCACCAGCAGCAACAGCCGATAGAGAGGAGGAAGCTCTTTACTTTTAGTTGACTCTTCGCATTTCTGTTATTAACAATAAAATATATACAAATTAAAGCTAAGCAGACTCAGACAGCTACGGCACCTGCAGCCGCAGCAGCAGCAGCAGCAGCAACAGCAGCAGCAACAGCAGCGGCAGTGTTGTTGCTGCTGCTGAGGCCCCTTACGCAAGCTGTAGGAGAGATGTCTTGTGTTGTTGCTGCTGTATTCTTTATCATTGACAGCCCTTTGTTATTATAATTATATTTATTTCCTGTGTTCTTCTTAGTGCAGCTGAGGTGTATGTACACCTCAACAAACTTACCCTCTGGGCCCTTGAGTCTTCTCTTTCTTTTTTAAACTCTCGGCCTTCGTCTTTGACGCCTATTGGACTTCTTCTCTTTTCTTTCAGCTGTACATACACCTCAATCTGCAGCAGAGAGACGTATTACAGCAGCATAGCCACAGGCTAGAGCAACCCCAAGAAGCTCTTGCTGCTCCTGCTCCCGCTGCTCCTGCTGCAGGCGCCGCGGCTTCTGCTGTTGCTGCTGCTGCATCTGTATCTATTGCTAGCAAGCAGTGAACAGATGGAGATCGAAGCAAAGACAACTGCTGCTGCTGCACCCCCCCTCGAAGACACTGGGGGCCCCTCAGCTCCAGCACAAAGGGTAAAGGGCCCTAAGCCGTCCCTTTCGTGGGGCCCCCTAGGGGGCCCCCCTGGGGGCCCCCCAGGGGACCCAACGGGGGACCAAACAGGGGGCCCCCCTGGGGCCTCCGTGGAGGCCCCACCTGCTGCTTCAATGGAGGCCCCCCAGGGGGATTCAATGAGGGGGGCCCCCCAGGGGGGTTCAGTAAGGGGGGCCCCCCAGGGAGGTTCAATGGGGGGCCCCCCGGGGGCCCCTAAAGGGGGCCCCGTCGGTGCAGGTGAAGGGTGGAGTAGCTCTGCAGGGGTCCCCCCAGTGACTTTGATAGCGAAAGATTTTTGCTATGCAATTCGTAAGAGAGGGCCTTTACCCTGCAAGCGTTTGTGCTGCAGCAGCAGCAACAACAACAGCAGCAGCGGCAGCAGCAGCAAAGCCACAGCCGCACAGATGGAGGAAGGCGAGACTCCCGGGTCAAACACGGGGGCCCCAGCAACTCAAACCTCTAGCAGCAGCAGCAGCAGCAGCGGTAGCAGCAGCAGCAGCAGCACAGAACTCAATATGATTCTTAAAGATATTAATATCTGCGTACGCCCTGGCTCCATGTTAGTTATTATGGGCCCCAGCGGCTCAGGGAAAACAACACTGCTGAATGCCTTAGCAGGTAAGGGTTTAGGGTTTAGGGTTTAGGGTTTAGGGTTTAGGGTTTAGGGTTTGCAGAGCGCAGATTCTGCTGCTTCCTGTCCTGCTGCTACACGAATGTGGATCGTCTCCCTCTCTGCATAGCTGCTGTCAGTGAACTTCCTGTTGCTGCTGCTGCTATTGCTGCTGCTGCTGCTCTTGCGAATGCTGCTGCTGCCCTTGCTGCTGCTGCTGCTGCTGCTCTTGCGAATGCTGCTGCTGCTCTTGCTGCTGCTGCTGCTGCTGCTGCTGCAGGTCGGTCTAGGGCTTCATCCCGCGTGATGATATCAGGGACGCTTGTTTATCGCGGGGTCCCTGCTGGGTCTCCTTTGTCTTCGTTTGCTACTTATATAATGCAGGTATGTTGTGTGTCTCTTTCTCTCTCTGTCTCTGTCTCCTCTCTCTCCGTCTGTCTCCTCTGTCTCCTCCTCTGTCTCCTCCTTTGCCTCTGGGGGAGTCTCTGCACACTGGGGTTTCATCTGTCTCCTTTTGGAGTGTATACACAGCAAGACGCTGTCTTTTACTAGATTTTATGTGTCTCCTTATGGGGTGTATACACAGCATTTGGTTTGTAAGTGTCTCCTTTGGGGTGTATATACAGCATTTGGTTTGTAAGTGTCTCCTTTTGGGGTGTATATAAATAATCTGTTTTGTAAGTGTCTCCTTTGGGGTGTATATGCAGCATTCATTTTGTAAGTGTCTCCTTTGGGGTGTATATAAATAATCTGTTTTGTAAGTGTCTCCTTTTGGGGTGTATATACAGAAGGACATCCTCCCCCCTTACTTAACTGTGTGGGAGTACTTATCTTACTTCGCTGCACTCAAGCTTCCGGGTGTCTCTAAAGCAGTAGGCGCTTGTCTCCTTACTGTCTGCATCTTTTGTTACTTGTTGTCTCTTCTTCTTTGTCTCTTTCTTCGCTCTTTTATGTCTGTCTCTATCCCTTTGTCTCTTCTTTATCCTCTCTGTCTTCCTCGTGTCTCTCGCTGGATCTTCTTCTGTCTCCTCTTGTGTTTTTTCTGTCTCCTTTTTGTCTTGGGCTGCATCTCTACTGTCTCTTGCTTTCGTCTTGTCTCTTTGTTGTCTTTATCATGTTTTGTTTTGTCTCCTTTTGTCTTGTTGAGGGTCTCTTCTGTTTGTCCGTCTGTCTCCTATTTGTGTTTCTGTCTCTTCTGTTTCTTTCGCTGTCTCTCTCTCTCTCTATATATATATATATGTCTGTATATCTATATGTATATATATATATATATCCCTCTCTCTCCCTCGCTATTTCCATCTCTCTATATTTATATGTATATGACTGTAAATCTATGTATATCTATATATCTCTTTAACTATATATCTATATATGCACATATATATATGTCTATATGTCTATATGTACATATCTATATATCTATATAACTATATATATATATATATCTTTATTGTATCTCTTTATTGTCTATATATATAATATATATAATATATATAATATATAATATATCATATATATAATATATATAATATATATGTATATATACAGTATATATATAATATATATATTTATATAATATATATATATATATATTATATGCAGGCGAGAGAGGCGCGCATGAAGGAAGTGCTGGAGTCGATGAATTTATATCATCAAAGAGACACTTTAATTGGGGGCTCCGCTAAGAAGGGTATTAGCGGAGGCGAGATGAAGAGGGTTGCGCTGTCTGTAGAGCTTCTCAATAACCCCTCTCTTCTCTTCTTAGGTAAACAAATAGATAGAGGAGACAGTTTAATAGAGGAGACAGTTTAATAGACGAGACAGTTTAATAGAGGAGACAGGTTAATAGAGGAGACAGTTTAATAGACGAGACAGTTTAATAGAGGAGACAGTTTCATAGAAGAGACAGTTTAATAGAGGAGACAGTTTAACAGAGGAGACAGTTTAATAGAGGAGACACTTGTCAGATACAGGAGACAGATAAATAGAGGAGACAGATAGAGGAGACAGATACTACCACTACTCCTACTACTCCTACTACTGTCTACTACTACCTACTATTGCTGCTGCTGCTGCTGCTGCTGCTGCTGCTGCTGCAGATGAGCCTACATCAGGGCTTGATGCAGCTTTGGCGTTTGATACGATGCGGCTGCTGCTGCGGCTGGCGAGGACAGGGGGTCGGACAGTCGTCTGCACTGTACATCAACCGCGTTCGCAGGTAAGAACAGCAAAGGAGACAGTTAAAGAGAAGAGAAACGGAGACAGTTAAAGGTGTTTACAAGAATAGAAACGGAGACAGTTTATGGTGTTTAAGAGAGCAGAAAGGGAGACAGTTTATGGTGTGTAGAGGAGACAGTTTAAGGTGAAGAGAAAAGGAGACAGTTTAAGGTGTATAGATGAGGAGAACGTTTGCGGTTTGTGTAGGAGACAGTTTGGGGTGTATAGACGCGGAGACACTGCTTTTGCTTTTGCTGCTGCGTGCGTTGCTGCTGCTTGTTGTGCTGCAGTTGTTTGCAATGTTTGATGAATTGCTGCTGCTGCACCGTGGCGAGGTAGTCTATCAAGGAGCAGCAAGCAGCTGCAGCAAATACTTCTCTAGTTTAGGTCTCCGCTGCCCCCCTCGCTTTAATCCTGCTGATTTTCTTCTTGATCTCCTCACTTTAAGAGTTGAGCCAGAAGAAGAGCAAGCTCAACTTCGAGGAAGACACACGGAAGAGAGAGTCCTAACTTTGCCTGCATGCAGTAGCAGCAGCAGCAGCAGCAGCAAACCCCAGCAGCAGCAACAGCAGCAGCAGCAACAGCAGCAGCAGCAACAGCAGCAGCAGCAACAGCAGCAGCAGCAACAGCAGCAAGAGGCTGAGAGGGAAGAAGGAGCAGCAGGACATCGTGGGCTTGTACGTGAAGGGAGTGCTGCACATATATTAATGGAGACAGAGACGGAGGAGACAGAAACAGAAAAGGAGACAGCAGGTTTATTGTCATATTATGAATCTCATATGGTGCGAGTTACTGTCTCTCAAGAGCAGGTTAACCGCCTACCTCGTCTTTTTAGTTCTTCACACTTTGCTGCTGCTATTAAAGATAAAATAGAGTTAGAGCTGCAGCAGCCGCAAGACAAACAAACAGCAAAAGGGCTGCATCAGCGTCTCCAGGACCACAGAGCGTTTCTGTACGCAACACCACCTTCTAAGCCCTAAACCCTAAACCCTAATAAACCCTAATAAACCCTAATAAACCCTAATAAGCCTTAATTAACCTTGATAAACCCTAATAAACCCTAATTATTTACCCTAAATCCTAAACCCTAATCAACAATACAGAACAACAACAATAAACCCTAATTATTTACCCTAAACCCTAAACCGTAATCAGCAGCAGTAAACCCTAATCAACAGTAGAAAAGAACAATAGTAAACCCTAGGACACACAAGTAAATAAACCTCAGGATAAAAACCCTAATGAAGTTTAATATACCACACTAAACCACCTAAACCCTAATAATTTTTTATAAACCCTAGAAAATTAAATCAGAGCAAACCCTAATACTGCCTAATAAACCCTCGGTATCCATATACACATTCATACATGGATAGATGCATTAATTTATATTAATTTATATTTATTTATTTATATTTATTTATTTATTTCTAAGGACGCGGTGGGGCACGGAGCTGTGCGTGCTGATGCAAATGACGTCTGTAAACTTCGCGAGAAATCCGCTCGTCACAATTTTGCAGTTTTCACTGAACACCCTTTTGGGGTTTATTGTTGGTTAGTTTGTCTCCTTTTGGCTGTCTCCTTTTGGCTGTCTCCTTTTGGCTGTCTCCTTTTGGCTGTCTCCTTTAGGCTGTCTCCTTTTGGCTGTCTCCTTTCTTCTGTCTCCTTTCTTCTGTCTCCTCTAGGGTCTCTCCTTGCTTCTGTCTCCTTTCTTCTGTCTCCTTTCGTCTGTCTCCTTTCTTCTGGCTCCTTTAGTCTGTCTCCTTTATTCTGTCTTTCTTACTGTGGATTCTTTATTCTGTCTCCTTTCTTCTGCCTCCTTTATTCTCTCTCTTTTATTCTGTCTCCTTTTTTCTGTCCCCTTTCTTCTGTCTCCTTTCTTCTATCTGCTTTCTTGTGTAGTCTCCGCAGCAGCTACAGCAGAAACTAAAGCATCTGCATCTCCAGCAAAAGCAACAGCAGCAGCAGTAACAGCAGCAGCAGCAGCTACAGCAGCAGCAGCAGCAGCTTGCATGCATAGTTGTGTGTCTCTTCAGGAGCCATATTTTGGGATGTGCCTTCGAAGGGTCCGGTGGAGATAGCGGGGCGTAATATGTTAGGCTGTCTCTTTTTCTTAGCTACACACATTGTGTTTACTCCTTTAGATTGTCTCTGTCTCTTTGCTGAAGACCGAGAGCTGTTTAATAGGTAAGGAGACACACAGGAGAGTGTCCGTCTCTGACTCTCCTTCTCTCTCTATTTTTATCTGTCTCGCTCTTGCTGTCTCTCTCCGGGCCCCTCTTATCTGTCCTTCTGTCTCCTTTTCTGTCTCCTTTTCTGTCTCCTTTGTGTGTCTCCCTTTTTGTGTTTCTTCGTCTGTCTCTCTGTCTCTTTTTCTGTCTCTCTCTTATCTCTTTCAGTGTCTCTCTCTGTCTTTTTTGTCTGTCTGCTGTCTCTCTCTCCTTTCTCTCAATTCTGCTGTCTCCCGCTGTCAGTCTCTGCCTTGGCGAGCTGCTTATATAGAGCCCCTGCTGCTATTGCTGCTTGCTGCTGCTGCTGCTGCTGTTGCTGCTGCAGAGACACTGCGAACGGTACATACACCCCATTTGCTTACTTCATGGCGAAGTCAATTGCTTCGATGCCTTTTCAACATCTTCCGCTGACTACTGTCCTCGTCATTGCCTACTGGATGGCTGGTGAGTCTCCCTCAGGTGTACATACACCTCAGGTGTATATACACCCTAGGTGTATGTACATTTCAGGTGTATGCACACCCCAAATACCTGCAGCAAACCCTCCAGCACCTCCTGCAACTCGCAGCTGTACAGTGAAGCTAGTCTAACGCTCCTTACTGCCTCGTTGTTGTTTCAAACCCCACCGACCATTCCCTGTTCCCTACCTAGCTAGCTAGCTAGCTAGCTAGCTGTTTAGGTAGGAGGAAGAGAGAGCGTTAAGGGTCTTGGTTGCTGATTGGGGTGTCTGTACACCTCAGGGATGTCTGCGGACGCGGGACGCTTTTTTCTGTATTTGGTAATCGCCCAGCTCTCTATCTTTGCCTCCACTTCATTCCTCTTCTTCGCTTCAACCATTTGTAAACAGCCTCACCTCTCCCTGCTGCTGCTGCTGCTGCTGCTGTTGCTGCTGCTGCTTCTGCTGCTGCTGCTTCTGCTCCTGCTCCTGCTGCTTCTGCTCCTGCTCCTGCTGCTTCTGGTTTGGTGCTGCTGTTGGTGCTACTACTGGGATTGCTGCACATAGACTCTGCTGCTAGAGGTCTTCGCATTACACCACCGGTCAAGCTGCTGCTGCTGATCCTGTTGCTGCTGCTGCTGCTGCTGCATGTGGTTGGGGTGTATGCGCAGCTCCTCGTCTTTCGGTGGCGCAGAGTTTTTCTCCAATGGTCCTCGTCATCATTTTGCTCGTTTGCGGGTTTTACATTAGAGAGCAGGATATCCCAGTAGGTCTTTACTTCCCTTTTCAACAGCTAGCCAGCAGCAGCAGCAGCAGCAGCTGCTGCTGCTGCTGCTGCTGCAGCTCGTGCTGCTGCAGCTGCTCAGCAGCACGTATCGAGGGGTGCAGGTTCTGTTCAGTTGCTGCTGCAGAAATTGCTACAACACCAACAGAAGTTTATCACTAGCAGTTACCACTGTGTCTAGCAGCAGCAGCAGCAGCAGCATTAGCAGCAGCAGCAGCAGTAGGGCGAGTAGATGATGAAGAGGAGCAGAGGAGCAGTATGAGTGTGTTTGTATGTGATGTATTGTTGTTGTGTGTTGTGTATATGCATGCAGCCCTGGATCCGTTGGCTGAAGTATATATCTTTTATTCATTATCCTTATCTATGCTTTGCTGCAAATGAGTTTAACAACAACCCCACCTGGTCTTCATTACCCCCTGATTTCCTTGCTGTCTCTGGGGGCCTCAGCGACACCCGGCTCGGTCCTAACTTGTGTATCTTAGCAGCACTTGCGCTTACCCTGCGAGCGTTTGCCTTCCTAGGTCTTAAGTACTGCAACAGACGCATAGGGTTAGAGTGTTAAAGACCCCTAAATCAAGCATATGACGCCGCTGCTGCTGCTGCTGCTGCTGCTGCTGCAGCAGGGGTTAGGCATAACACCTGCTGCGGCTGCAGCGAGGCTGCTGCTGCTGCACCAGCATGGCGGGAAGGGGGTGGGGGGGGCACCTGCTGATGCTGCAGCGAGGCTGCTGCTGATGTTGCAGCAGGGGAGGGCCACATAGACTTGCTTCTGCTGCTGCACGGTGGGGGCTCGCAGCCTTCTGCTGCAGCAGCAGGGCAGAACCACACTACTCTGCTGCTGCTGCAGCAGGGGAGGGCCTTACAGCGTTGCTGCTGCAGCAGCAGAAATGGACCATACAGGGCCGCTGCTGCTGCTGCAGCAGGGCAGGGCCCCACAGCCATCTGCTGCAGCAGCAGGAGGCCCTACAAAACGCAGCTGAAGGGCCCTTAGGCGCCAGCTGCCAGTGAAGCGGAAGGAGACAGACAGTATACAGACAGTATTCAACAACAAAGATGAGGGTACAGAAGAGACAGAGACAAACGGAGGCGGGCCCTACTGGCAGCACTTGGTTTTTTTGCCTCCCCTTAACTGTCTCTTTGTCTCTGCAGCTGCGTCTAGCTGCACAGCTAGCGGTTAGCTAGCTACACGAGTCAGCAGCAAGGGCCTTTGTCCTCTCGCTGAGGGTCTCTCTTTTCGTATTGCAACGTGGCAGCCCCAAGCAATGCGCCTTAAGGGGGACCTCCAACTCTTCTAGCTAGCTTGCTAGCTAGCCGCCTATTTAGTATGCTAGATATCTAGCTAGCTAGCTATCTAGCTAGCTAGCTAGCTGTGTAGTTAAGTAGCTAGCTAGGAGACTAACGAGTCACGCAGAGGGGTATAGTGTACGGGTGCGGGGAGGGGGCTACGGCGTTGTCTCCTTTTGTTTTTTGTCTCCTTCTGCTGGGGGGGCGGTTGAAGCCCGCTGTCTCCTCTCTATTACTTTATAGGGAGAGCTAACCATTGGGAAAAGGCAGAGACTGCAGCAAAGACGTAGAAGCGCTCTGCAGCAGCAGCAGCAGCTGCTGCTGCTGCTGCTGTAGAGACCGCGAGGGGTATTGGGGCAGAAGAGGTGTTTGTGAGTGCGTGAAAGCAGTTGATGCTGCTGCAGCAGCTGCTGCTGCTGCTGCTGTAGAGACCGCGAGGGGTATTGGGGCAGAAGAGGTGTTTGTGAGTGCATGAAAGCAATTGATGCTGCTGTTATTGCCGCTGCTGCTGTTCTTGTTGCTGCTGCTTTTGTTGCTGCTGCTGCTGCTGGGAGACGAAAAGAGACGCCTGAGGCGTCTCTTTTACACCAATACAGCAGCGAAGGAGACACTTAAGAGTACGCTCGCCCCTGCATCTGCTCGCTAATATAGGCTGGCATGAATCTTTCTAATGCCTCTTATAGGGTATTAGGGGCCCTAAGGGGCCCCTAACGGCCCTCAAGGGGCCCCCTAGGGCCCCTAGGGGGCCCCCAATGACCCTTATGGGGGCCCCTAGGGGGCCCCCAGCGGCTCATATGGGGGCCCCTAGGGTCCCTTAGAGGGGTCCTAGGGTCTCTTAGAGGGCCCGTAATTGCTTTTATGAGAATCTGCGAGCTGAGGGAAAGGTAAGAGCTGTGGCTGTATGGGTTGGGGTGTATCTGCAGGTGTTTTTTTAAAGTTTAGTCTGTTTGATAGGCTTGTATTGAACGATAAGCAGCAATAGAGAGGTATAAACTCAAAGAGAGACAGATAAACAGCTTCTAATTTAATTATTGTCTCCACTGGGCCTCAACCTTAGGCCGCTGGCTGTCGGCTGCGGGCATAGCGTAAGGCTGCGGGCCTCGGGAAGCTGCTTTTTAATGCTTTGTTTGTTTTATTTTTCATCTCTTTTAATAGCTTTCTTCCTTTACTAGCAATAATACCTTTAAAAGGAGCACAGCATCTTCTTAGTCTTTCTCTCAGCCGCCGCTCAGCGAGCGGCGGCTCTCTTCGGGTGTATGTACACTGAAATAGAGCTTTGGGGGGTTTATTGAGGTTGTTAAGGGCTTTTATTTAGCTGTCTCCTTCTTATATTTATCTAGTCCTTAATAGAAGATGCAAGAAGAAGAGACTCAGGGCCTCAGTCATCTGATGGGGCCTCCTCACCAAGGGCCCTCAGGGGCCTCTCAATGCCGTCTCTTCCTAAGGGCTACCAGGGGCCCCAGCAGCAGCCAACTCCAAAGCAGCAGCAGCAGCAGCAGCAGCAGCTGCAGCAGCATCAGCAGCAGCAGCAATAGCATCTCTGAGGGGCAGACGAAGCCGAGACGACGCGGGAAACTCAGCCCCAGGGGGGCCCCTTCGAAGAGGGGGGGCCCTGAGGACAAGGGGGCCCCTGGAGATAGGGGGCCCCGTTCTCCTCAGGGGGCCCCCGGACACAGGGGGCCCCCTGAGGTGGAGGGGGCCCCTGGAGACGAGGGGCCCCCTGAAGTCGGGGGGCCCCCTGTGCCTTCTGGGGAGGGCATTGAATGTATGAGGAGTCGGAGGCATAAACAGTCTCCTAAGAGCAGAGACTGTCTCCGCGTAGCACCTTCAGCTAGAAGCCCTTGGGGAGGAGACAGTACCCAAAGAGGAGACAGTCTCCTCCCCGAAGGAGACAGTCTTCAGAAAGGAGACAGTCTCCTTTACAAAGGAGACAGCCTTCAAAGGGGAGACTGCATGCAAAGAGGTGACAGTCTCCTCCCTCAAGGAGACAGTTCTCAAAGAAGAGACAATATCCTCGTAAACGGAGACAGTTCAGGGCGAGGAGGGAATCTGCTGCTGCCCCAAGGAGACAGACCCCAAAGAGGAGATAGTCTCCCCTCGCGAGGAGACAGTCTTCAGAGAGGAGACAGTCTCCTCTCTGGAGAAGACAACTGTCCCCAAGGAGGAGACAGTCTGCAGGGAGGAGACAGTAACCTCCATAAAGGAGACAGTCAAGGAGGAGACAGCCTGCAAGAAGGAGACAGTCTCCTCTTTAAAGGAGACAGTCTCCGGCGAGGCGAGGGTGTACCCCCCAGTGGGCGACGAGGAGACAGTCTCCTTGCGAGTCCCAGGAGAGGAGACAGTTTATTGAGGCCTCTTTGTCTGCACGAATCTGCTGCTTCTGCCTCTGATAGTGGAGGGACAGGAGACAGCTCTGCTGAAGGAGACTTAGCGCAGCGCGTAGCCTCGCGGCTGCGGCGTCTCTCTATGCGTCTGCGAAAGATAGAGCAGCAGGAAACAACTGGGGTGTCTCCAAGGAGACTATTTGCTCCCCTGTCTCCTCGATGTGCCTCTGCAACAAGCAGAAGAGACACTCAAGCAGGAGGAGACACCTCCACCACTACAACAGACAGCCGCTACGGCCTTAGTGCTCTAGCCCACTGTCTTGATGAATTGTTTGAAGAGGCTTCGCTTGCAGCAGCACAGGTGCTGCTCTACTGTCTCCTGTCTCCTTTTAGGAGACACCCCTTGATTCCTTCGCTGCCCCCTGCACACAATACACCCGCAATCAACTCCCTTTAGATTGCCTCTAAAGCTCACTCTTGCATTCATATGCAATCTCCTCTTGCTGCTGCTGTTGTTGTTGCTGCTGCTGCTGTTGCTTCTGCTGCTGTTGCTGCTACTGCTGCTGCTGCTGCGCAGTGTCACAGATGGAGTGCCGCCGCGTCTCGCCAGAAGCAGCAACTCAACTCTGCCCTAGAAGAGAATGAAAGGCTGGTATGTCTTACCAGCTGCTGCTGCTGCAGCAACAGCAGCAGCAACAACAGCAGCAGCAACAGCAGCAGCAGCACCAGCAGCAGCACCAACAGCAGCAGCACCAACAGCAGTTGCTGATTGATGTCTCTCGAGTGCCTACAAATGCACAGTCGTGGCCACTACACCTCTCTTTGGCGGTGTCTCCTGTCTCCAGTGTCTCTCGTGTGTCTCCTTATATCTCTTCTGTCTCTTCTGTCTCTCTTTAATCTGCTGCTTCTAGTGCTGCTGCTGCTTCTTGTTTGCAGCTAGCAGAGAATCAGGGTCTATACGAAGAGTTGAGCGCCACCAAGCAGAAGTGTTTAAACGCTGAGGCGGAGCTGCAGCAGCTCTTTAAGTATAAGGTCTGTCTCCTTTTACTGTCTCCTTCTGTCTCCTCTCTGCATGCACTTGGAGACAGTTTATATTATGCTGCCGCGGGGGCCACCACCATCGCCCCCTCCGTGCATGCAGTAACGCATGCAGTGTATATCTCTCTCCTCTTCTTGTTTTAGGGTGTATAGGGCTTATAATGTGTATAGAGTATATAGGCTGTACAGGGTGTATAGAGTATAGCATATAATATATATATCTTATATAATATTTGGCATATAGTATAGGGTATATAGGGTGTATAGAGTATATAGGGTGTATATTGTTTAGAATGTTAATAGGGTGTATAGAGTACGTTATAGGGTATCTACTGTGTATATTATATTACTTTTTAAATCTTATTGCGTTGGGGTGTATGCACAGAAGTGTGAAGAAAAGCTCTTTGCTAGTCAAACGCAAGTGCAGCAGCTGCAGTTAGAGCTGCAGCGGCTGCAGCGGGGGTTTGAAGCTTTTGTGCGGGCACATACAGCACAAGAAGAAGAATTAAAACAAACAAAGGAGACAGCAGCAACACTCAAACAGCGTCTCCGCGATGCATGCGAGGAGGTGAGGAGACACCACAACACAGAACGAGACAGCTGAGAAGAGAGGTGGAGACACCCGGAGATAGAAGGAGACAGCAGCAGACACACAGAGACAGCAGCAGACATAGGGAGCCAGCAGCAGACACACAGAGACAGCAGCAGAGAGAAGGAGACAGCAGCAGGAGAGACGCAGAGACAGCAAGAGATAGAAGGAGACAGGAGGAGACAACAGATATTACGAGAAGCTTTTAGGGGGGTTCCCGTTGCTGTTAGCTTAAAGTGCATGCAGTGTCCTGTGTGCTGCGCTGTCTCTGCTGCAGCTGGCTCGGAGTAAACAAGCTGTCTCCTTACTCTCTGCCTCTCGTCAACAAGGGGTGAGGAGGGGCTCTGCAAGTAGAGACACAGAAAGAAAGAGACAGAGAGACAGAGACAGAGACAGAGAGACTGAGACAGAGAGGCAGAGACAGACAGTCAGAGAGTCAGAGATAGAGGTAGAGACAGAGACAGGCAGAGTAGCAGAGAGAGATAGAAACAAAGACGGAAACATATATAAAGAGAGACAACAGCGGAGACACAAATAGAGACAGAAAGAGACAGAAACAAAAGAAGGGGACAGAAGCAGCGATAGAGGTAGAGACAGGATGAGAGACGGAGACAGAGAGAGAGAGAGACAGACACAGAGACAGAAAGAGACAGTAATAGAGAGAGACAGTAACGCAAGCATACAAAGAGAGACAGCGGGCCTAGAGGGCCTCTGGGGGAGAGGAGACAGCCAACTAGCGACTGTCTCTGTCTCCTGTCTCCTTTAAGCAGCCTTTTGCTGTCTCCTGTCGCTGCCTCAGCAAGTTGTGCTGCTGCTACCTCATGTTCTGCTCTTGCTGCTGCTGCTTCTGCTTCTGCTGCTTCTGCTGCTACTACTGCTTCTTCTGCTGCTGCAGTTAGAGAGTTGCTCAGCCGGTAGAGGAGGGGCTCTGCGTGCGGGTGAGAAGAATAAAGAAAAAGATATTATGTCTGTCTCTAATGGAGGTGAAGGGCCGAGAGGCTACTGGGGTGTCTCCGCGAGATCTTCAGAGGACTCAACCGCTGTAGGGTCCCTCTTCTCAAAAGGAGACAGCTCCGATTCGAGGAAGCTAGCAGCAGCAGCAACAGCAGCAGCAGCAGGAGGAGCAGGAGCAGCAGGAAGCGGCTGGCGTTACTCCCGCTATAACAGTTTGCTGAGGGGCTATAGCCTGAGACACAACCTAAGGGCTTCTTTGTCTCTTGATCGGATAGGGCCTCATCCCCTGTCTCCTGTCTCCTCTTCAGGGTCTCCTCAGCACTGGCATTGCATGCGCTTTGCCTGTGCAGAAGCCAGCAGCAGCGCAGTAAGCTCTGCTTCTCAGCTGTCTCCTCACCCTACGGAGACACCTGTACACTCAAGACCCCGTACACCCCACGCCGGGCTGTCTCTCTTTGAAGAACTCGCAGCTACAGCCAATGCAAATACGCCTGCGGGGCCCCACACCCCAGCAGCTCCTGCTGCTGCTGCAGAGCAACAGCAACAGCAGCAGCAGCAGCAGCAGCAGCAGAATGTGCAGGGAGAGGAGACAACCGAGGTGAAAAAGACAGCGCTGCAGCAGCTCCTAAGCATCGCTGCACAGTCTCCTGTCTCCTTTCAGGAGCTGAAGGCTCAGGGTCTCAGTGCTGCGTGTCTCCTTGAGGTGTCTAAGCAGCGTAAGCGCCTGCGTGCAGCAGCAGCAGCAGGGGAGGGGAGACAGCAGCAGCAGATCCCCGGCTCTGCAGCAACTGTCTCTTGCCAAGCCTGGCTGCTGTCTCCTTTGTCTATGCGGCTAAAGGAGACACTTTTATACAAACTCCCTGCTGCAGTTCAGCGCTGCTTGCATTGGGCCTGGAGGGGTGCCCATCCCCCGCATGCAACGCATGCAGCTTCTTTGCTGCAGCAGCAGCAGCAGCAACCCCCCAACTGGATGCTGCTGGGGGCCTCACTGCAGTGTACGTACACCGTGCTAGTGCTGGCAGCAGCAGCTCTCGCCGCACTGTGGGTGCGGCTGGGGGATCCCAGTACAGCCTGAGGTGTCTCCGCAGGTGATGTCTCCTTTTAGCAACCCCACACTGCTGCTTTGCAGCAGCAACCCAACAATAACGCAGCAGCAAATTTATATAGACTTCGCTCTCTGTCTCTGTCTCTGCTGTCTCCTTCTCTCTTGGCCTCAGCTATCCCCTGCCTCTAACTGTCTCCAACTGTCTCCTCAGCGTGCTCTTCTGCTCCCTCAATACTAGCTACATTGTTATTATTATCAATTATTATTATTATTTTTACTCCTACTACCATTATTATTATTATCACTAAATATTATTATTTATTAATTTATTTACTTATTTAATTATTTATTATTACTATTAAGTGCAGCGACAGCAAGTAAAAAGAATAACAACCCAAATTATATATATACATATAAATACATATATATATATACATATATACATATATGCATATATATATGAATATATACATATATGCATATATATGTATATATACATATATCTATACGTAGGTATATATATATATATATATATAAGAATAACCAGTAGAGTGTAGAAAGCGGATTAAAACAGCAAAGACAAGTTAAGACAACAAAGATGAATAAGAGAGAAGTTATTACTCAAATAGATTAAAATAAATAATTAAAACAGACAATGCAAATTAAACATAAATGAGTAATTAAAAAGCCAAAATAAATTAACAACAAATAAACAAACTAAAAATAATAAAGACGAACTAAAAGAAAATAATTTAAACACTTCTGCTAATTAAAAGGACGAGAAGAATATAAAATAATATTAATTTATACAGTCATATTAATTAAAGCAATTAATAACAGTTAAAACAATGCATATATATATATATTATACGGGTATAAATAAAATAATAAATATAAATAAATAAATATATATATATATATATATCCATATAACAATTAAGACAATTAATATGAACTTGAAAAGAAAATTAAGAAGTAATCTTAATTAAAACCCTTCAGCTCGTTAGAATAGTTATTGTTAATATATATATATCTATATCTATATCTATATCTATATCTATATATATATATATAGATATATATATATAGATATATATATATTTATTTATTTATTTTTTTCTTTATCTACATCTATATATATATGTATATTTAATAATAAAAGAAAACATAAATAAATAAGAGTAAGACTAATGAATAAAGAAGAAATGGTGTTGAGTTAACTGTCTCCTTGGAGACACTTAGAGCAGCAGCAAGAGAGAGACAGCAGCAAACCTATTAATTGCGCGTGTGTCTCTGTTCGCCGTGCTGCGCAAACAAAGCGTTGCGTGGCTGCGGAATGCTGCCGTCAGCAGCAGCTGCTGCTGTTCCTGCTGCTGCTGCTGGTGCTGGTGCTGCTCCTGCTGCAGCTGCTGCTGCACCTCCTGCTGCAGCAGGGGCTGTCGACAGTACAGCAGAGACAGGGGTAGGGACCGGTGGCTTCTTAACCTTGTTCCGTGAGCCAGAAGATCCTCTGTTGTTGCTGCTGCTGC